ATACAAATGGGACGGCCGGGTGATCCATAAGATTCTGGCCGACATGACGCGAATCAACAATGACATCGATATCGAACTTTTTCAGTTCACGTGCTGGGCCGACGCCACTCAGCATCAAAAGCTTGGGGCTTTCGAAGACGCCCTCCGAGAGGATGACCTCACGGTCTGCGTAAACGTTAATGTCTTTGCCATCAGTAGTCGTGACTCGCACGCCACGGCAGATTCGGTCGGCATAGTTGATCAACAGCTTCTTGGCGTGAGTTTCGGCCAAAACTGTAATGTTTTTTTTATCCTTGAGGAAGAGATAACTTCCAGAGCGGACTCCTTTATAGATGGTATCGACACAGTGATAGAGGCCGTTCATTTCGCCGTCATAGATGTTACTCGTCATGGGTTCTCCGCGCGATTTCCAGGCTTTCTCAAGATTATCGCGGAATGGTTTCATCTCATCAATAAGTTCGGCGTGAGAGATGTGAATTGGCCCTCCTCCTCCAATCTTCTTAAGCTCAGGGAGATATAGCTTAGGATCATCGTGATAAGTGGCACTCTTGCGTAGGTAAGGAACGAGGGGATCCCAAGTCCATTCTTTGCCGCCCCATTCTTCCCATCGATCAAAGGTCGGCTTGCATCCAGGGACCCAAGTGAAATAGTTCAGCGACGAACTTCCACCAAGCATTTTGCCTCTCGAGTTTGGCTTTTCGATACGCTCATAATCATCACGCCTGACCATGGTCGTCTTATAAGCCCAATCGTGAGCACTGCCACGTAGGTTCATGGCATTAGATGGCGTGGTAATCTCAGGAAGTTCTTCCGGGTTACCAACACCGGCTTCAATCACCAAGATGCGAACCTTGGAATTTTCAGCCAGGCGACCAGCAACACAGTTGCCGGCAGTACCGCCACCGACAACAATAAAGTCGAAGCGGTCTCCGTCTTTCACGTTGACGCCCATGTTGTTGGATTGAATGGGGACAGTGTTTTTAGAAGACATAAAGATAGATAAGATAATATGAGTCGAGTAGAGAAACTACCAAGAGGTTCTCAGTAGTAAGATCTGGTGAACAAAAGCTTCTTTACGGGCGTCTCGCAGCCACCTTTATACCTTGATTTCCCCAAATCTCCCTTGATATCATGTAAATCCCGTCGGAACGGTCATCCCGCCAGAGGCAACCTCTTCGGGGTCTCGGATAACTAAGAACGGCAATAGCAAGCCATGTCATACATGGCTATCCCGCTTCGATCCCGATGAGGGCAATATCGAGAAATCCTGCAACAGCTGAACCCCGCCTCAAAGAGGGGTTACTACTGCTTCATTTCGTATCGATCTCACACATTTTGCCGGTTGTCGATCTCGTCAAGTGGAACTTTGAGTTTTTGTTGAAAGATATCGAATCATTTCACTTGATGCCTTGAACATGGATGCATCTCGTGGCTTCAGAACGCGAGTCGGGACCTCTTCTTGCATTTTTCTTACATATTAGCTCCTTGGCCTGTCTCAATTGAACGAATAGGAAGCATCGTCCATTGTTTCGCAAGGAAAGGTTGAGTCCAGAGATGCATGAAGTTGCCATAGTTCAACGCCATGAACGTGTGCTAGCTTTGATCCTATTGGCTGTGGCTGCGTCTACACTCTTACAGGAATGGACCGACGCGGCGTAGGAAACAGCTTAGCTGATTGATATCTCCTCCGTACGCTGCCAAACTTAATTCACGTCAAGGTCCAATCGCCTGCCTCCAAGCTCTGGCAGACCTACGTCACCCGCCGTCAACTTCGTTTCCAGTCTATTTTGGTCATAGTTCAGCTCATAAACCAGTTGGGATTTTCGCTGGTAGGACCGCCATCATTGCAATCGCTCGATGGATCGCGGCCTGAGCTGGACACCTCGCTCACGCATTCCCTTTTCGTCAATCGAAACCGCCACAAAATATATATCATTCGACCAATAGTTGAAAACATTTACGCCTCATGCCAAGGTTGTCTTTGACGATGTTACGCGATACCAGGATGTGCGTAATGTCAGAAGCTCCTAAGACCTCAGCTGCATCTATCTGCACAAGCTTCAAGCCATTGACGAAACCAATCATTTGTACAATTTGGAGAATTTTAGCCTGAAAATATTTCAATTGAGTGCCTTCTCCTCCAATAGATACTGCAAAATGGATGCTTTCACACCTCAATGCAGCTACGCGTGCATTGCAGCCCAGAGGTACCTTGTAAATGAGCATATCATTACGCAGCACCGCTGCAGTAGTCTGGAATGACTTATCATAGCTCATTAGCCGGATACCCGACTCAATGAGACAAATAAACTCCAATCCATGCACTTTCATATACAAGCCAAGCTTTTGACCTGATCACCTCATATCTGGCAAGCTTGAGGCGAAGAAGCGGGATGGCCGGGCTAGTCAGACATGGGCAAGCTGAAGTGAAATCATGATGTGTGCTATAATCTTACAAGTCGACCACACCAACTGCATCGTTGTATTATTAAATGTAGAATGAACTCACGCCAATAAATGGTGATGAAAAGCGAGATGTTTATAAAAGAAGCTTTACTTCTGCACTCAGCTCTTCTATACAGAAGGCCACTTCGAAGTAAACTCGATGACTTCCAAGATCTGATAAAAGCTGAAACGCCACTCAGTTTCGTAAAGCATCTACATTGAGTATGGTCAAGAAAAGTCTCCGTGTCCCACTACGCATAGGCGAGGATCCAGCTCTCTCTCTATCACTTGTACCAGATCTGCCAGCCTCTCTCGATCAGTACCACCTAGTTCGTCCGAATCCCACTTCCCGGTGTCCAGCTTCGAATCGGAAGATGTGGCGGGCTAGTGCTTGCGTTAAATCATGCAAACCACCAAAATCCTTGTTCACATTAGCCGAGAGCGAATTGAGGGGTATGAGAGGGTTTGAGCAGAAAGAATATCATGTGAATCGATGAGCGTCATTGCTGATATTGGTGATTCTTGCAGCTTATGTGGCGCCCAGTCATATTGGCATCGTACGTGGAGAGTTCCTATTCGTGAAATCTAAAAACAGGTCGACTTCACCAACGATACCATGCGACGTTCTGAGTACACACAAGGCTACTTCTGATGGCTTTCCTGGGCATAGAGAAATATTGGGATCTTGACCCACATCATATTTGTTGCTTCGCTAGCACATGCAGCTATAGTGGTGGCCTCGGCGGTGCCGACTCATCTCTACCTGGCCATGCTAGAGAATAGTAGAATAGTCGCCTCGGAGCACAAGCCAGAAGACAGCACTCACGGTAACATTAGACCACCCAAGGGGTTTGTTCTACTTCTGGCATGTTTTCCAGTGAAATGGGAAAAGAATCACTGGAAACCCAGCCAAAAACTACGTTCACATTAATGTTTCCATGCGTTTCCTCTTCTTACTGCTGGAATGAAAAATGAAACAGCATCAGCTACACATATGTTCTAACAGTATCATTGGCTACGGCAGCAGTTGTCTCTACCCAATAAGTTCCAATATTAAATAGAATTGAGAACCTAAGCTCCATAACCATGATACCGCGTGCCCACTTCCGCTAAAATCCTCAAGGGCCGGATAGGGGCAATAGCTCTGCAACCCATGTTGCCTCATCTGCAGAAAGAGATGGCTAACTCTCCCCTCATTTACTACACCACTCATACGTAGCTGAGAGCATACCCCACTAGTTCCAAGATCAAATGAAGCCCAACTGATCTGAGCCACTCTTGAAGAACCGGCTCAAGTACGTGGCGTCACAGCCTTAACAGCCCGACGATACCGGCAAGACGGCACGATTACCAACGCCAGCAAAGCCAACGCGGCTTGACCCACTGACAATCTAGTATGAGACTGGCGAGGGAGAGAATCTCATCTTCGATCTGCGGGAGAGACTATGGTGGAGTCGCATTATATTCGCCTGCCGCGGCTCCACCGTAAGGCCCGAGGGTGTCCGAGCAGGGTGATGCTAAAGCTAGAGCACCGGCAGATGTCCTGTTTTGCAATTTCTTTGTATGCTTATCCAGTGGCGTTGGTCCACGTGCTGCATTTCGGATGTACGCTTCCGGTGATCGTTTCTATCCTAAGATCACAGAGTTGATGTTGGCTCTAAGCGAGTTCCTAGAGTTACATGGGATTCACTTGGAAGATCTCGCAAGAAATGACGAGCATTGGACTCGGAGACTCGGAGTTCGCCTAGATCGCAGCATCTAATGCACGTAATGACTCGAAACTCTTGTGATACAGCTTGGCAAGGGCAGTGTGGAGGATAGTTTTCGCATGTAACTCCAGAAATAGTAGATAGGCCGAGCTGTTGAATGTCATGACATGCCGGCAGTTGGAGAATTTACAATAGCAATGTCGGCAATTTGTTGTCCTGAGATTAATGAGTTCTTCACCTGATGCATTTAGAGGATCGTCGAGAAAGTTTTGGAGCGTATCGCGCTGTTGGTGATACAACAGACAATCAAGAACCCGTCGGATAACTACTGAGTAAACAAATGCTAGTAACATGAAATTCTTTCTCAACTCTCTGTTCACAACGTTCAACAGTTTATTTCACTCCTTGTGGGGACTGCTAGGACAAGGATGTGAAGACCAATAGTCCGTCACATAAGGAAGCCTGCGCCAATACGGGCTATGTATCAGGTTAACGTCTTGTCCAGTATCGCAAATAAGCAGGCAAATATAGTTGGCTAGTAAAGGGTGACCACGTATCACAACTCATAACATCGAGAAAGAGCTTTCAGTCTGTCAATCCTCATTGTGTCTGGACCTGGTGATGCTCTTTGACAAGCTGACAAGTTGAAGGTACAAAACTCTCTGTGTTCTGCTATGCTGATGATCTATGCAGGAGGGAAAAGCTAGCTGCAAACAGCAGCAAACAGAAGGTGGGCTTAAACAAGGAGATGGTCACACAGATCTACGTAACAACCCAACACCTCTCCCCAGGCCCAACTAATCATCCAAACAAGGCCATCACAGGTTCTTTCAAGTCTCTCCAAATTTACAATTCATACCTACCATCGGGCTCGGATGACGGGGTAGAGCGATGCTTCCATGTCGTGATTGGAGACGGAGAATCAACATGGCAGCCTCCAGGTGGGCAGGAGAGCGGACGGCTGGTGACTTCTGGGAGACAAGACGTAATGGTCTTGATGGTGGTGGAGGTTCTCACGGGGATGTTCTTGGTGTGGAACCCGACACCAATCTCTTTGCCCTTCTGAACCTTGTACAATGGCATTCGCCTTAGGCCCACATAATAGCTGTCGTGTTGTTTCTGTTCTTGTAGATACTGAATATGCTTCGTCTGTTCGTCCTTGCCTCCAGCCATCACCGTCAAATATAGCAAAAGTTAATATTTAACCTTTACATATCACGCCAATGCTCGTTTGTGAATCGACAGGCATTTCTCATCCTACGAGCCTGTATACCAGCTACGCTATCAGTGGATACTAAACAGCCGCAGTCTTGATACCTTCAATATTCTTTGCACCCGGTGAATCAGTCCCTTGAAAGACACTTGAGGAAGCTGACATGTTGCCCATTCTGCGGCACATCAATGGTTCATGGGGCGATGCTAATAATGCTAATCGCCATAAGCAAACTTGTGTGATGCCAGTCAAAATAGTTGGGGATGTTGACTGCATACAAGTCGGTATTTATGTGGAATTTCACCCAAGCAAACTGGCAGTGACACGTGACAGAGAGCCAGGTGCTCATTTCTTCCAGGGGTTTTTTTCTTCTTCTTTTTCATCACTTATTTACATGCATCTGTCACAGCCACACACTTGCAAAGCGTGCACTTCCCGCTCTACGGTAGGCAGTCTAGAGCATTGCTCCCGATGACGAAGCCATGAGACGGGCAAGGGCAAGACAACGAGAACATTTCAAGATGGTTCAAGCGTACATGCTATCTCGGCACTCAAGCGACCAAGATTTTTGCTTTGGCCTGCGCCCAGCTCCTGCCAGTTGAATAATGTCCTCGAGTCGCGACCATTGCCGTGCCAACTCCCATTTAAATATTGTTCTGACGTCTCTCAGCTAGCTGTATGTCACATACCCAACCTTTTCGCGCCGCATACTATTCCGAAACGACGACTTTCATATTCCTACGTGCATTATCGGCTGCGTCTTTACAGTATTTCGTTACCTCTACCTGCCTCGCACATCATGAATCGGCTACCACGTCTGGAATCTCTTCCGGACGAGTTATTGACGTAAATATGCCGGGAAATAATCGGCCATCTAGACGACCACGTCGGTGATCTGGATCAAATCAAGGCAGAGTTACAATATGATACTCCGTCGTTAGCTTCTCTCTGCCGCACATCAAAACGGCTCAGGGACATTGCGACGCCTGTGCTTTATTCTCGCTTCACGACACTCAGAGGGGCTGAGACAGCTATACCTTTCCTGGTGACCATTTCCCAACGACAACACCTGGGCCGACATGTAAGAAAACTTGATCTCTGTCAGGGGACCTCTATGGATAAAATTATCGACCAAAGAATATTCCAAACCACTCGGGTGGACGGGAAAATGACTGAGGCGCAGAGACAAATACTCAACGAGGCGGCAACTCGCTTGGACATTGATGAAGCTTCCATTCATCTAGAACAGTTCGCCACTATTGTGCAATTGATCCTTGCTTACACGCCCTTGGTGACAAGCGTCCACATTGCCACATTACTGGCGGGTACTGTGCATGACAGATGGGGTTACACAATACTCAAACAGTTGGCTGCCCAGGTTCCAAGAAGGGTGTCGTTGGACTATCTCAGAAACCTCTATTTGGAACATGTAAATGACATGAACCTTGGAAGCAGTTACAGTCTTCAATACTTTGCGGGGATATTTAAGCTCGCCCCGTCCATAGATACTCTTCATATGGATCCCTGTTCAGGAATTGATCTGCCTCGACAGATTACGACGCGACCTCAAGTCTCTTTGGCAAACGTGACAACTCTGTCTCTTACTCAGGGAAACACCCCGAGCAATGCAGTGAAGTGGATGGTTCGAGATTGTGCTCAATTAAAACATTTCCAATACTACAGTTCAGGGTACCCGGTCGTGAACCGCGTGACCCCCAAAGAAATTATCCAAGTCATACGGCTTCATAAAGACAGTCTCCTCAGCCTTTCTCTCTTGTTGAAAGCAAAAACAACGAGGGAATTTAATATGAGTATACGCATGCCCCCTTGTGCGGATGGTGAGCAGATTGTATCCCTCAAAGCTTTTACAAAGCTTGAAATACTTGAGTTAAATGCGCCTGCGCCTTCGATTCGATTTCCAAAAGCGAATACACCCGGGTATCACACGCATGTCCTCAACGAAATGTTACCTCAGTCGATCAAACACTTCCGTTTTACTACTCCACAGAAGGAATGTATAGCCAATCTCAAAACCGTGGCTTATTACCGAGCTAATTGTTTCCCTCATCTTCGAGGCGTCTATTTGACGAATAGTTCTAGAGTTTTTCCAGAACAAGAGACGGCTTTCGACACAAACGAGATTGAAGCCGTAAGAGAGAAGCTGTTAAACGCTAGAGTGCGCTTCGAGCACGTGGAACTAGCCAGTTCCTAAGAATGACGAGGAAGCAGATTTGTGTGCGCAGCGATCATTCAGGATTGGCGGTCACCAGCGTGATTTGGTTATTTCAGCGTTGGACAAACAATGTTTTATTCATTAGCTACAGAAGACAAAAGAAGGATATATGAACCCTCTTCCCTTGTTGTAAATCTTGGCTCTGTACATGTGATGCTCGTTTCAAAATGCGATGTCCACTATCCTAGCTCTCGGCTACGAGTGTCTAAGCTAGGAGTAGGAGAACTGTTGAGTATAGCCGTCTGATGTAGCGCAGAAGATATCCATGCACCCATCCTTGCGAGATGTGGAAGTAATGGAGCTACCGGGCACGCAGCGAATACCGCTACCAGCCAAGGAACTGCTAGTCCACTTTCCTGTGCTCTCATACCAGTATGCGTGGTTAACAGAGCCATCTGGAGCGGTCCAGAACACCTCCATGTGCTGGCTGTTCATGGAGACGGCCGTTAATGAGCCCGGGGCAGCAGTGAGGTCTGACAGCTTCTCAAATGTCCAAATCGTTGGCTGTTCACTCTTCCAGTAGCCCTGGTATACCTTGTTGTCATTTCCAATGTAGAAGATGTTCTTGCGGACGTTGCTTCGCGCGAGCACAGCCATGCCAGAGCTGGTATGTGCTGTACCAGCCGCTCGCAGATTGCCGTACTCCCAGCTGTTGAGAGGATCCCAGGGGGCATAGTTGATGGCACCATCCGTGGTGATCCACTAAACCTCCGCACTCTGGTCGTTTCTGGTAAGAGCTCCGAAACCCTTGTTCGTGGGCTTCCCATAGGCGCCATCGACAAAGTCCTGATCAATCACCCACTTACTACCTGAATTAGTAGTGTAAGAGTGCATGAGATTGCCGTTGGTTCCAACGTAGAAGATCTCCATGTGCGACGATTCGCGAGAGATTCCCTCAATATGAGTGCCTGGGGCAGCTTGAATGGCTTTGTCTACACCAGAGTTGCCCCAGCCACCACCTGATGTCCAGAAACGGCTGTGGATAACGTTGTCTCCCTCTGAGTAATAAAACACCTCCATGTTTGAAGAAGTGCGGGCAATGGCAGTTAGGCCGTTGTAGGCATGCAGGCCAGTCAAGTCCGCAAATCCGACAAGAGACTCCGCAACGGGTTTCGAGAGTCCCTCGTTTTGGTACCTGTGCCATGGCTGCTGATTCGCCGAGAAGAACAGCTCCCAGTTTGTTGGAAGGTAATGAAGAACGTGGAGATCCGCGCCCGGGGTCCTGGATAACGGCTTGCAGTCAGTAATTATCTCCTCCAATGCTCCACTCCCACGCATCTGATACTGCAACGTTCGTTATATGAGATCAATGATGGTTGCTAAGAGTTTTGATTGGAGCAGATACGTACAGCTTGGCAGTCTGGCCGGTTGGGCCGGTCCAAGTCATAAAATTCCAAGAGGAGCGAGCGTGAAGCTCATCACCGCGGGGCTCTATCTCCGGAAGAGCCAGACCGTTTGCAGCGAGGGAGAAGTATCCTCCAAGGAGGAATGAGGCCGAAAGATGGACCATTTTTTGCGGAATTGCAATTGCTTAATGAGGTGAATAGATGCCCACAAGAACATGCGCACTGCTGATTATATACATCATCTGAACAATAGAACGCTCTCGCACGATTCATGAGCTTTGTTCATTGCGAAGAAACATTGAAGGGGGTTCCCAGCAATGCCCCCCGAGATAGCCTGCGAAACCCCGAGATAGCCTGTGATACTCGAATTTAGCAAATGGACCGATATTGAATCAGCCTTGTGGATATATTTGTCGTCGACTGTTATCTATTAACTGTTAAAAATATACCAAAGCTGAATTATACGAGCGCAAATAGTGACTAGGGATAGTCTAGAGTGTCACAGAAACCTCATAACTAGCGAAGAAATCGGAGACTAATATAAGGGGTGCAAGGTTGATAGCTTACTTGCATCTACCTAGGACTAATATACTAGATTCATGCCCAAGTCCTCCCATGGGGCTCAACAACAGATCCGGCGTGACTCTTGTTCGTATAAACAGCCCGTAGGGCTGAGTAAGCGCGCTGAGCTTCTATTTTCAAGTTGGAGTAGGCAAGTTTTCCCAGCGAAGACTCGTACCGTCTAGTAGATTCCACGGATGATTCCCCAAGTCCCACGGAATCTTCCTTGTTTGAAACCTCCAGCCGATTAGGAAGTGCGGCAAGTCTTTCTTTGTTTACTTGTTCACAAATCCGGCGATCCCAGCTAATCCGCCACCCTCAGCTCGTCCCAACTAGGCAATCTGATCACCGCCGCAGACATCTCGGCATTAGTAGTGGGACTAACAGACAGTTGTGGACCGTTAGTGGATCAGCCGCTCGCACACAAGTCGGCGTGAATTGTGGATTTTGACTCTAAACAACGGCGTTGATAGGCTGTCGCAGCAACTCAAATCTACGATGCTAGTCCTGTTTGCCTCTTTCCCGGGGCGGTCTCGCCATCAACTCGGGGATGCTCGTGGGGTTGTTCTGTTATTACCGGGGGCTTGAAAATCGACCGCCGGCTCTCGCACTCCTTCGGCATTATCCGCGGAGTGGATAAGGCTCTTTGGGGTCTGAAACAATGAAGAAGAATTCAACGGAGAGAGGTTGCTGGAACGTTGTAGCTAAGACCATGTTATCATTTCCCCAGATACGCGCGGCTATATTTGGGGATAGAAGTGGATGGGCGCTGTTCGTATTCTGCTAAAAGTGTTAGTTGCAAGGTTGCCCGCTCGCTTATGCGTCAAAAGTTCGACCGGTGTTGAGGGCGAATGCGAATGCGGTAAACCACACGCGCTTATACCTTGACCTTGACGATACCAACACATCCGCTAATGGAAATAATCCGAGCGGCGGGAGTTGCAGTTTTCAAGATTTTCGATCCTTCCCGCTCCCTATCGCCGCGAAAGACGCCGCCACTCGGCGATTACTGTCCAGCATCTCCTGCTCTTATCGCACCGATTGCTCCATGTCCCCTTCGCTTTCGGAAGGGATTCAACGTCGCGAGCCCTTTAGAAACGGCGGTTGCCATAAGCTGAATGGAAACCAACTCGCTAAGATCGCTTGTTTAGGCAACTTCTCCTACGATTTCAGCCTCACCGGAGATGAGCCAAGGATTTCTCTTCTGCATACATCGGCAAATGACATCCGTTCAGCCAAATCAAGAATTAATTTGTATATTGATGACTGATCAATGTAACACTTTGCTATTTTCTTCTTTCTTTTCGTATTCAGCGGCCGTTGCGCTCGTAAAACTGTATCGTTTTCTGACACCGAAAATTTAATGGTTGACCGTAACTCAGTCTTCTAACTATAGCAAGCACAACTCTTCTGTCAAGTCAGTTGCAACTAGATACAAGCAAGTTTAGAACAATACAATACACATGACCAGGGTCCGTTCGTATAACTCTATCAGCTGTCCGAATGTCGTTCGATCGTCAAGGCACACACATAATCTTCCGCTTACGCCTACACGAATGCTGGGGGCCGGGCCACAACCCGCCTTATCTGGGACGTGCAACAGATCTGTTCCACGTTGCCACCCCCTGATGGTCAGACTAGGCGTTTAAGCTTTGCAGTTCCCAATCATGTTAAGCATCGGCTGTCGTCTATTCAGTGGGCATCAAGCGCGCCTGATAGGATCATGAGCCATGCGGCACTCCACAAAGAGGCTGGGAGGTTGCAAGTTTGCCCGCTTGCTAGGATAAAACGGAAATAGAATTGATGACTAGTCGACGGGTGCTTGAGTTAAAACTCAGCCAAGACGTTGGGAGAGGCAACTGTATAGTGTCCTAGATGTCGATACTGCAAACTGGAATTGCTTCTTAACGTCGGAGATGGCAAAAAGCGGAAGTTTCCGTTGACAACTCCGTCTAGCAAAAAAAAAAAAAAAAAAAAAAAAAAGACAGAAAGTAGAAGGCTTCAGTAGACATAAATACAGTTGCAATTCAGTCTTCAAAACTTGCAACAGGGCAGCTTCAATTACAGCATAATTACAAAGCGTCTTCGGTGAATCCGCCCATCGAGATCGCCTCAATCTTATTGATCATTTAACAATTTTTCGGTCTATTCACGTGACCCAACTACCTTACACTATTTCTCTTTACGAGAAGGATGAGGCTCGGTATTACGCCTCCAATTCGGAATCCCTAGCTGTCTAATTCCCACCAGTGGAAATGTGGCTGCCGCGACCCTGTTAGCTGTCATCGATCCGGTTAAAATTAGTGGAGTCTCGGCATCATTGCGACTTAGCGACAAAAGCCCCGTATTGCGAAGCTGGTGCGCCTTGTAGGTCAGCTTTCGGGGGAGCCTAGCTTTGTTGATTGGCGATGCCTTCGCTTGGGGTATATCAAGACAGCATGGACTTATAAACAACCCAATTTAATACGGGGGGCTGACTCTTATTAGACGAGCTGGCTAAAAGATGTAATGTGACTCAGGCATCAAAAAGAAGGGGAAAGAAATAAAAGAGGTAAATAAGATCACCAGTTCCTCGCGAAGAAAAAAAAAGTGGAATTTCAAAAGAGTAATAACAACTCGGCGTCTCCTAAACAATCTCTCTACTCCGATTCCTAATTCATGCATTACAGGCGAAACAGGTTGCCGCGCTTCTATTCCGTCACAATGCCTGGAGGCGATTCAGCAGCAACAGAAAACATACCGGCTGGGGACTTTGACCTGCTGCTCTTCCGGCGGCGGCGCTTCCGTACAGCAAAAGCTTGTTATCCATGCCGTCGACGAAAGGTCAAGTGTGACCTAAACCAGCCATGCGGGACGTGCATCAGTCGGGAGCATCCCGATTTGTGTGACTACACGACCAATACCTTTGCTGGAGCGGAGTCGTCTACCTCCGAACAGAGCCCGAGTGTTCGAGAGCAGCCTGAAGAGGCTCATGTAAACCCTCCAGCTGCAGAAATAGCTCAGGGGTTGTTTGTCGACTTGGCATTGCCGTTTAGCACCAAGGTGCATCTCGGGTCAGAGTCCCTCCCTGGAATCTTCTCGATGTCTGGGAGAACAGGAACACAACCATCAACGACCCCCGTGAAACTTTCGACAGATCCAAGGTTGATCTTCGAGCTCTTGTGTCTCCAGGACTCTAGCACCACGTTTCCTTTTACCAACTTGTGGATGCCAGGTGATGGCATAGAAAAAGTGTACAGTGCACTGCCCGAGGACGATGTAATTTTGAAGTAAGTACTCCATATTCTGCTTCTCTCCCTTTCCCCTTTATTGCAAGAAATTCAAGCTAACAGCTACGAGCCATTTTCGATTATATCAAGAATCTCTCTTCCATCTCGAGCCTTCGATCGTAAACCTACGAAATTTCGAAACTGTACTCCTAGAATTCCTGCGTAAGCGAAGAGCTGTTCCGCCAAATTCGTACCTGGAGCCTCTGTCAGAAAGCACAAGCTCGTGGTTTGGTCTCTTATTTGGCATATTATCATGCGGTGCCCAGCTTGCTGTAGTCGAGGGGGTCGAGGGGGAGCTGGATACCACGAAAGCGTGGGTTTTTGGTAAGTGGCGGACAAAATATCGATTACGTGGAAGTATTTGATTCTTATACTAGGATACAGCATGCTGCTCTTTCCAGTGCTTACGATTTTGCAACTTTACTTCATACCCTAATATCGAGGTTGTCCAAGCCCTAATAATGCTGGTCAATTATTTGAGAAACCAGGGAGATGCAGGGGCTTCGTGGTCGATGTTGGGTGAGTAATCCCATGTACACTCCTTTTTTGATAGGGATTTGCGAGTCATTTTCTTACATTCAACTCCGCAATAGGCTTAGCCATACGTCTTGCCCAAACTCTTGGGCTTCACTGCACACCAGATCCCAACTCCATCAGCAATCCGAGGAAAAGGGAAGAGGCTATTATAAGATCATCCATATGGTAAGCCTATATCCAACCTAGTCTCTGTTGACTCATCTCTAATTTGTGGCAAAATCATAGGCGCTCCTTAATCTGGCAGGACACTCTCGCCTCCCTCTGCTACGATCGGCCGTCTGGAATCGTTGTTTTAGAATCTATTCCATCGAACACTGCCTCACCTCGATTCTATTCATTCTTCGATAGCTGCCATCATTTATTTGTGACGGCAAACAAGATTGGCCATGCCCTAAACCAAGCAAAATTTGCAGGAGAACGACTTTCCCACGAGACGGTACTCGATTTCAGAAAGCTTGTCAACATCATCGAGACACGATCGGTGCCCCATTTACAAGATCCATCCAAGTGTCAGTCCAAGAATGACTACATTCAGCACTACATATTCAGACTCTTCACCGACTCGGTCATGGTGTGCTTGTATAGGCCAGCCATGACAGGTGACGAATCTCAAGATGACGATATCACGGATTATTACCTGAATCGATGCCGTTCGACACTACAAACATACATGGAACTTATGAATTTGAATGCTCCATTCCAGAGGCTCTGGTTCTTTGTTCACATCACATTCAGCAGCGCCCTGATCCTGGGCCAAGCTGCCTATGCGCGCAATGTTCATTCCGATAAGACATTTTTGAAGCGTTTTTTTAACAGTCTCTCGCAAAATCGAGCGTTTGTTAGCGTTCCAGTGTATGAAAATGCCTGGAGATTACTACACGAGTTCTTGACGACAAACGATAACAATATGGAGGAATAGAAGGCGAAAGGGAACATACGAAAGATATGACAGTGCTTTAGCATGGCGCGGCCGGCCGCGTTTTTATACCCTTTGTAAGTAACGAATGATGTTATGTTTTGTTCAGATCTATTTATATAAGAATGAAAATCTTGAAACTTCACGTTACACATCAATTTGGTGATGTTGAGCTGCTGTAAGATTTCTCGTAGCGACAGATGCCGCCACGTCTATCCGGAATCCCAAGCAAACAAGAAGAGCGTGTCCTTCCCTGATCTTGGCCACTCTTCTGGCTAAAAAACAAGCATTAGAAGTTTATTATTACCACTATGAATGGCAACTGTCCTCCCATGTACCATGAAACAAAATTCGGCTGCAGTGTCAAGTCGGATGTCATCAGGCAAACAAAGAACCTTATGACCATTGCGAGTGACCCAGCGTCTTGTAGTGTCTAAGCCATAGGGCACAACTCTGACACCACAGGACTTCCAGTCTCCGAGAATGCTGATGTTAAGAATGAGGTTTGGTCGCATTGTAATGTTCGACAGGTTGTTTTTGAGCCTGGTAAGTTATCAAAGCTCCATACGTTGGTTGTATTATCGTAACTTGAGCCAGAGATCAACTGTTTGCCATCCGGTGAGAATGCCACCTTGATGGCATATCGATAATGTTGTTTTAGTGTTTGTACACACTTGTATTTACCTTCACTCTCGCTCCAAATCTTGAGACAATGAGCTGAGTTCGAGGCTATTGTTTTTCCATCCGGTGAAATAGCCGTACTTAAAGATTGGAAATCGCTAGGCATAGGGTGCTGCCAAGTTTGTATGCATTTTCCTGAGATCGTTTCCCAGACTTTTACAGTGCCGTAGTCAGAACCCGAGACGAGGATTTTACCATCTTTAGAGAAGTTGATAGATATTGGTGTTACAACACCGCAGTCGATTAAAGTAAGGTAAGACGACGTGGCGAGATCCCAAATCCTGATTGTGTGATCGGTTGCTTCTTGTGAGAGCTTTACGTATGATGCTGATGCTAAACGTTGGGAGTCTGGTGAGAACTTTACTGACGTGATCTGGCCGGTATGGCCTTCCAATGTCTGTATGCAAACATTCTCTGCTATATTCCAGATATTGACACTATTGTCTGATGATCCGGAAGCAAGGAGCTTGCCATCTGATGAAATTGCTATGCAGTCAATCGCTCCCTGGTGACCGATCAAGGTCTGGACACGACCGGTCGTAGCTGTATCCAAGATTGTGATGGAATTTTCATGGGAACCTGATGCGAATTTACTTCCATCTGTCGAAAAAGCCATCGGCAAGTGATACTCCTCATGCCCCTCCCACATATCGGAATCATCCGCTTCTGGGTCTATGTCCCATATTCAGATAGTCCAATCCAATTCTGATGAGGAGATCAGTTGACTCCCGTCGGGCGAGACCTCAACTGAGCCAATTTGGTAAATATGACGTCTTAAAGTCCTTAAAACTTTATTTGCATCAATATCCCAGATGTTTATGCAATTACAGTGTACTCCATCATTCGCAGTAGCCACTGCCAGTTGCCTATTTGGAAGAAAGGTAATGCAAGGTTCTCCATTCATAGGCCTGTCCCATTTTATAACCTTGATATATTGAAAGGAGCTTAAGTCCAAGATTTTGATATTGTCGTTTAGATCGCGGAACACCAGGAGAGATAAATCCGGCGAGAACCGCAAATTCAAGCAGTGATTGGGAGTGTTGTGAGTCGTTTTCCATGCTTCATCTAGAGTTTTTTCCTGTATGCATTTACCCGTGTCATCCCATATTTTGATTGATCCCCCAATTGAACATGAGACCAACAATTTGCCGCTGGGGGAAAACGATACTAAGACGACTCTTTCAGTATTCTCGAGAGTTCGCATACGCCTACCCGAAGCTAGGTCCCAGATAATGATGGTGTCTTCGTCTGACCCAGAGGCGAGGTGCTTCCCATCTGGTGAAAAAGATAGATTACAGCCCAAGTGCATATAACCTTGTAGCCTTTGTATGGGTTCACTGGATGCGATATCCCAGATAATAATCCCAGCCCATTTTTCGTCAACCGCGGCCAGATGCTGTCCATTTGGTGAGAAAAGCAGATATGGATCATTGCGATAAAAAGTTGCAAGCTCTTGATCGGGGTTCTTGAGAGTCTTTAGGCGAGACCCAGTGGCTATATCCCAAATTGTAGTACCTGAAAGGGACATTGATGCCAAGAGCTTGCCATCTGGCGATTTAGCTAAAAGTCCCGGTGTTAAGCCTGTATCTATAGTTTGGACACATGAATCCCACCCAATCTGCATGCCATGCTTCATTTCAAAGAATGTTGCCGGGTCTTCCAACGATTGTTGTCGTATCTGGCTTGTGATTGGACATATAAGAAGGGCCGATGGATGAATTTGAAGGGGGAAACTCTCAATGGTCTGTTTGGCTGCCAATATGAATCGATAGGCATCTCGAATAAGGCCAGTCGAATCATATATCATTTCCTTCTTCTGTGATTTCTATAAGTTAGCTATCGAGTTCTTGACACTCCGCAAACTAAAGAAAGACTGGAGAATCTCTAGTTTTGGCAAGACTAACATAGACTTCCTGCAACTTTCTTATTACCATTATACCCTCCGGTATTCGTCTGAGTAAGCTGAGAGCCTCAAGCCAGAATAGATACTTCCGCTCAATAAACGCTTTGGTGTCATCAACAAGTGTTTGCCAGATATCTTCTGTTTCTGTTGTTTTTTTCTTGCTCGTAATTGATTCCACAAAATGATCAATCCAGAAAACACAAGAGTACCCAATGGCGGTCAGAGGATTCGGATCAAGGGCTTGAGCATCATCAATATGTATTCCTAGATCGCTCAGATTATACATATCCCGCTTTAAAAGCTCAGACATTAGATCTAAAGATCGTGATACTATATAATCATTGACCTTCGCAATCTCTAGGAAAAGCGTTTGCTCCGTGTTCGTGCCGACTAAGAAGTCTTTTGCTGACTGGTGCACAAAATAGACGACTTCATCTCGAATGGTGAGAAATGAACCACATTGCGCTATGAGGTCACAAATGGCTGGTATCTTTTCGTCTAGCTCTCCTGGGGTTTCAGCAAGTGCTATCAACTCTTGGAGTGTAAGAGGTTGGCGAGCAACAGTGATAACAGCAAGTATGCGTTTGCAGATCTCAGCTTCACTAGACTTGGCTAAACCATTGATCATCTGCTGATAAAACGAATCGAGTCCCGGAGGGTACGCCTTCAATTTACTCAGGGCGTTCCATGCCGAGACCCTCTGCAAATTTTGACAAACCAGGGCTACCCAGAGGAATGTGCCGTCAGCGTTCTCCTGGAGATATTTTCGAACTGCTTCTTCTCTGTCCTTCTTATATCCTTTGCTTTCGCTTAACTGTGAGACCTTTTGCTTGATGTATATCTGGACGGCACTGGCTACAGAGTTAACGTTCAGCTCTAGGCTAAGCTGCGCTTGCGGCCCTAAACTCTCAAGTTTATCTATGATTTGTGGCCAATTGCGACTCGAGACGACCCATTTGACATAGGGGAATTCATTAGACATCTTAACAATAAAATCGAGAAGTCGTGACATGTCTTCGTTCACGCACTCATCAAGTGCATCGACAAGAAGACAAGTCGGCTTCTGACTATTGTTTAACTCTGATAAAAGTGATTGTAGGATATCAGGCAAAGCATACCACGCACTCGGCGGCTCGAAAAGAGATTTTCCTTGACGGGCATAGTGCTCCCGTAAATGCTTTAAAAGGTGCCGCTGTTGATCAACTGGCGAGAAGATCAACCCCCGTAATACTGAAATTGAGTTATTGATCCGTTCATCTGTGGCCTGGCAGAAGAAAAGTGAGACAAGACTAGAGGGCGCCAATTTCTGCAGGTTATCGACGATGCCACATAAAAGCATCGTTTTGCCTTTTCCTGGATCTCCACGGATCCAGAGGAGTGGACGGCTGGGATCTTCAAACCACTGACAAAAATGGTCGTTCTCAAGTATCCAGTTCAAAGAGTATTGTAAGAAACCCCCCTTTGTATCCTCAATGCGTTTCTTTTCCGTATAAGGATCGTGCGACCACAATTCCCTCAAACAGGTTTGATCCTCTACGGAGATTTGACGACGGAGTTGCTCCTCTAGAGCCTTTGCAATGCTTTTGATCTCCGATTCTTGGGTTTTGGCATGGTTCGCAATGAGTTCGAGGCGTGATCGGGACTGTTGGCTGCCGTATACCTCAGCATCCTGGCGTAAGCTGTCTTCAGCTTTCTGTATATTTTGGACACTGACTGCCCAGTTATCAAGCTTTATTAAATCCCGCAAGAATCCGTAGCCACGGTTTCTGTGGTACGAGCAAACACTCTTCATTTGATACAGGAGCAGAGCTTTGTAGAGCTCGACCAGCCGTTTCTCAAGCTCACTCTTCATTCTGGACAAGGCCGCGCCGTCAAGAGTGCTTTCATTAATTAGCACACTGGAAACATTTCCATACTATCTGATGCGAGTAATGACGTATTCGATCCCATCGCGATTTGAGGCAGTCTCTTTGACGGCGCTTTCGAGCACCTAAGTATTTGTTAGAACACTTAGGATATGATTCGAACTCAAGACCACTTACTCCCAAAGCAACGCATACACCAGACCAGGCAATCGAGGCTTGTGGAACGGCTGATATGGCCGTACTAACCATGTCCTTTAAAGAAAGGACAATTCCCATCGCTGTCCCAAGGCCATCTTTCACTTTGGCCTCTCGTGCCGTTTTATCAAGGCCCAGGCGGATAAGCTCATTCATTTGCTGCCGTCGCGCATCTGGACTCTCTGCAATAATGGCGTTTGGAGGTGACGTATCTGAATCTGTGGTGGAGCCGTGACCCTGTAGATATTGAGAAAGAATTCTCTCATACCCCTCGGCAAGTTTGGCGTCTTCATGCTTAATGGCATCATAAGCTTCATCCCAAAGTCGCTCTGCTGCATTAGAAGGAAGAGTTTCCAAATTGGGCTCCTTTGCTTGAGGAAGCTTGGGGCCATTGTCGATGTCGACTGAATCAGTTTGCTGTAAAGCAGTGGGATGTACTGATGTGCAAGAGGGAGACGCGTCTCTATTCTGGACCGTAGGCGTAGAGGCTGTGGAAAGCTTGGAACCATTCACGGGATCCTTTTCGGTCTTGAACTTTCTGCGCAAGCGCCGAAATACGCTTGGGGGCCTTTCCGACATGGCAATTCACGAGATGATCGACCTTGATTCAACGAACTGGAATACAACAAACGGGACTGCGGTTGTTGGAGGGGAAAAGTTGCTCTGGAGCCAACCGCGAGCCGCATCGATGTAGGATTTGCACCGAGTCAGGGAAACTGACCCCGCGCAACGCGGATTGGAGGCTCAAGTTGGGTCTTCACTTTATGCAGGGGATTAGATGTTACACTGCAGCTGAAGAGCGGCAACCCGGCTACGGTACACGATACTCTTGCTACTTTAAAGAATGAATTGACTTAGTTCTGTCAAGTTGAAGGACATGCTCATATACAAAGACAAAAAGAATCTCCGATATCTGCATTTAGATTAAAAACTAATCCGTTTTGCAAAGATATCCGCTTAACAGATAGAGAGATATTATATTTTGAGTTGTAGAATAAATGCATCTGTAACTAGAGCATGATAATTAGTTCCCTGTCAACGCCTTTTGCTTGTAGTCCTCCGCCAGACGATTGAGAACTTCAACAGCTTCTTGCTCCCTTCCTAGTGGTATAAACAGATGATCGTGATAGAATCCGCTAACTGGATTCACCCCCATATTATTTTCTGCCAATTTTGTCGCGATCACCGCCATGAAGCCGACAGCCTCCAAACTTGACGTTACGTTGAGCGTAATCATCTTGCAGGGAAAGAAAAAGTCAATCTTATGCGCTGTCGCATATTCTCTGCTGACTATGACTGTGATTCCCTCTTTCTCTTTGAACAAGAGCTGTGTTTCTTCCAGACGCGGGAGATCCGATGCGTTGGCAAGTGTTGCAAAGACGAAAATGGTGTCGTCCAGGGTGGTGGTGAGAGTTGCCAAGAGTTTGGCAAGTGACTTCTCCCCTGGATCGCTTGCGAGTACAGACATGGTGATAATAGTCGATTGGTGGTTCAATTAAGAATGAACTTGTAAGGCGTATTTTCGTGATATGTCACTGTGACCTCTTTGTATTTGTTGTAAATAGACAATGCTCGAACATGGATTTGAAAGAATGAAGCCATTCAGTTTTATACGAAAATGAGCTAAGCGCTAGTCTCGTTCACAGGGCGCGCCTGCGTGTACATACGAGGTAGACTATCACCAGATTTGGCTAGAGGATATACCAAAATATACGTGATAAGTTTGGCTATCTTTCTCAAGAGTCAAGGACAACAGAGAATGACGCCTTGCACTGAATCGTATTTCGAACCGGTTCCTCGAATGATGTAAAGGGTTGGAATACAGGAGTTGCTAATAGTACATGTACTGTCTTTGTATACAGTCTTGACAGATGATATAGAGCACATGCGTCAGCTGTCATTGGGATATTGACAAAACAAGGATGAAGCTTGTGCGATGTGATGCAGGAGGAGGTATTCAGATCCTTGGGCGCTAGATAATATTGTACGTAAACTAAAAAGTTGGTAGTTAAAGATTTGAGTTGTCTGCGTTCTTGAAAACACCATGCCGTCCAGCCCCAGCGCTAAACTGGGCAGCTCCCTTGACACTCTCCTTCGTGATTACTGGAGCTCCATTTACAAACTCATTTCTCAGTGCATCTTCAAAAGACGTCGCGTTGTAAGCCGAATAGTAGCAGTTTGATCGATCCACGTTCATGCAGAGCTGAGGGAATCCTAGTAGCTGCTTCGCGATCTTTGTAGCCTCTTCAAGAGACTGGCCCTTGGGGACAACACGATTTGCGAGACCCATCTGAAGAGCCTCCTGTGCTCCAACAGGTCTACCGGTGAGAATCAGATCTAAGGCCCGACCGAGGCCAACAATGGCCTGAAGCCGGACCGTTCCGCCATCGACGAGTGGCACGCCGAAGCGCCGACAAAAGATGCCAAAAACGGCATCCTCTTCAACAACGCGGATGTCGCCAATAAGAGAAAGCTCCATGCCTCCAGCAACGGCGTACCCCGCAACAGCACAGATGACGGGCTTCTTGATCTGGAGCCTTGAGGGGCCGATAGGGCCGATCTGTCGGCCGCCCGTCACGGTGTGGGAGGCATCGACAATCGGGCCAAGGTACTCATTGTCTCCGGGGCCGTTCCACTTTGCTACTTCGTGTAGATCGAAGCCCGCGCAAAAGTAGCCATGGTCGCCGTGGAAGACGCAGACTTTCTGGCTGGCGTCGTCTTCGAAGGCTAGAAAGGCTTCGTGCAGCTTTCGCGCAGTAGGGCCGTCAACGGCATTTCTGCGGTGATGTCTGTTGATGGCGATGATGGTGATGCCGTCGTCAGACTTTGTGACTTTCACAGACGAAGTCTCGGCTTCGGTGGATGCCATCTTTATGGTACTGGGAGTATGTAAGAGTATGCTGTGAGGCTAACCGGTGAAACACATGCACTTGATGAAAATGGATGAATATTATTTTCTCTGCAATTGATGAGATGTATATAAAGCAATGCTCCCTCCGCTCACCCGACCCAAAGGCGTAATTTACACCTCATCTGTGAGGAGTCCGGAGTCGGTGCGGAGAAAGATCACCGGCACATGGGAATAAACTTCACTGCCATAATGCCGTGAACAGCCGGCACTGTGCTTATATCAATCGCATTCTTATTCGGACAATGGCGCCAGAGCTTCTCAAATGGTGAATACATTTCTTTAGTCATTCTCATTTGAGATACAATTTGCTTCAATGCCTCGGCAAAGTTGAGCATCTGTGCGAGAATTGGGCTAACTTGGACGCAACTACACGTGCCTTGCCGAAAGAGTGTACAAAACCCGATCTTGGAGGGGATAATCCATGAAAAGACGCTTCCGAAATATAAGCGTACCAAGCAAAAATACACTAAAGAACGAGGCCGTTAAATTAGATGCGAAACAAGCTTGACAAGTTAAAGTAATTGGTATTTAATAGCTTAATCTTGTTGCCTATATATGGTATCAAGCCATAGACTAAGATCTTGCCCAAGAAAACAGGAGGGTCACTGACTATCGTATACTTTGCCAACCGACTTAAATAATCTATCGCTTAAACTAGAATCTACCCAATACAATTGCAGTTAAGTCGCCGACTACCTAACCATAAAGACTCTGACAGAGAAGGATTGAAGGCTTGGGTATAGTTGCTTTATTTATAGCATACCAGAACAATGGACCATCACAAATTATTTGGAATGAAAGCACTACTCCGTATGAGATCAGTTCGAAATGCAATCTCACCAATCAGCACCTTTGCGGGGTTAAGGCGCAGCGAGATGATAACGTAGAGTAATCGAATGGCATTTGCAAAAGGTCATTGGTCATTTATTCGGCGATTTATAGATACAACTCATCAGATGTGCACCACGAAGTAATCTCCAAAATCACAACCACCCATAGAAGAAGCGATACGACTTTTTGCGTATCGGACGACAGTAACCCTCATCTAAACAAGCATCACCAATGTCTACTACATTTCATCTCTTCCCTCTGTTGCCAGCAGAAATTCGGTCGGCGATATACAATCTGGCCACACCGCCTAGGGTCGTTTTTGTCCATCAACAAGTCGAAAGCTTTGAAGACTTCAAAGCGAGGTTACCACACATCACAATCGCCGAGCGTAATGTGCGCCCGGATGTCGATTATGCTTCATTCTACGAGCTTCTTCGTCAGGCATCGGCCACTCTTCGTCATCACAGGCGTAAATTCTTCAAGCAAACCAAGCTCGAGGCCTATGGATTCACCAACAACAAGAAGGCGGGGTTCTCCTGGGAATTTGAGTCCATGATGCCTTTCGATACGCTCATGCATTATCCCAGATTGGCTTTTCCCATGTACCGAAAGACTATTATCTCCTGCCAAGCCGCTATTCCACCACTTCTACACACTTGCTCCGAGTCGCGTTCCTTGCTTATCAGCTACGGCTACGAGCTTGCGTTTCCTTCTACTGCCCAAGATCCACAGGTGTGGTTTAACTTTGGCCGAGATATACTGCTATTGGATGACGACTTTGACTGCGAGATTGCTGATCCGTACACGTATGGACCGCAAGAAACGGAAATTGAAAGAATTCCACATACTTTTCACCATTTTAGGCCTCGAGATGTCGATCGACTCCAACGATTAGCATTGACCAACCATACCCACTACAGCCGTATGTTTCTTGGCCACAAGCTCTGCCCAAAGCTAAAAGAACTTATACTTGTTGAGTGGGATGCCGAAGAATCCGAACAAGCTCTACGCCAATCAGTTGTTGATCCAGCCCTGCTTCGCCCTGTTCCAAACATCCAGCAAGCTTATCATAAAGGAGAGCAACTGTGCATACTACCGGTCGAGGAAGTTGATGCATTATGGACCACACTGGAGTTGGGTGTATTTGGAGCCGTGGAGGACTGGCATCCTGCTATTAGAGAAGACGCATGGGATCTCAAACAGCATAAGCGTGATAATGGCTTCCATATCCCGTTTATTAAAGAGAAATTACGCCAAATGAAAGAAGAATATGTGCAACGGAGAAAAAGCATCGAATATTATAACAAGGAATTTTACAAGCCTTACCAGAAGTTCCCGGCTAAAGAGGAGGAGTATCCGCCATGGAGTATACATCAGTTGAGTTTTGCGCATATTTGCACACCTCATACTGCGACGAGGATAATGGCAACTCGCTTGACTTTCATGGAGCAGTTTACTAAGCTCAGGGCGGAGGCACTGCATGCAAATGATGAGTTTGAGCTCCCATGGATCAAACAGCATCGCTTACCGCCTCCTTTTGTCTTGCAGAAATATAGTAATTGGCCCGCTGTCAATGAATCACGACACAGTACAGAGCTGGAATGGTGGATAAAGAACGGACTACCCATATTTGACAATTCTTTGCCAGTCTAGGCAAATATACACTCGCATTTCTTGCCTAAAGCGTATATTTAAGGCGTATGATCACCATGAAAAATGTATAATTATAGTTCTAGCCTATTTCCTATAATCTATAAATGAGCAATGCAAGTATACAAGTAATCCATTATGCCATGACCAAATTTCCTTGAATCATCTGAGCCTGACCTTCGCCCTCCACCGTGAGCGCCATCCACAAAAGCATCGATAAATCGTCCACTCTCTCAACCCATTCAGACAACTCTTTTGCAAGCTCATCTTTTCCAGTCCCTTTTATGTCGTCGCCACGCGATAAAGACCGTCGAAGTAAAAATAAGTTGCCCATTGTTAAACTTCCTCTTCCCTTCTCAATCTTGGAGCTTATCTCTTCATTGTACCGCTTTTTCCATTCTCTATCCGATATAGGCTGCCATAGATCTCGTGTGCAAGGCAAGGGAAAGTTAATAAACTCTGGGCATTTCCCTTTCGAAGGGCTTTCGGCATTGTTGTGAAGTAATAGGTCGACCAGGTACAACAACAATCCGGTTCTAAGGAAGTTGGCAACAATTCTTCATCTTAGGCGGTCTACGATTAAAGAACATACCTTCTCATGCTTTCCGCAAAAACCCAGCCACTTCGTGAGGATTGTATGTATTCTATGTCTATAGCCCACGAAGACATGCTGAATAGCCTTCGGGCCATTGCCTATGCGGTCCAAGTTAGTGGCGATGACGACCATTTAGAATGTCACATCGGATACAGTAACATACCTCCACAGCCAAGACCAACCACCCAGAATCTTCACTCCCGACTGACTCGGTGCACTGTGATCGCAGCAAGCCGTATATGATAGCTGCTTGTATAGCATGTAATAAACTCTGTTTATCATAACTTCTAAACTATAACAGCATAAGCAAGCTGGCCTTGCTGACTTTTCGTGAGAGCTGAGTTAAACAGAGAACTTACTTCGGCATACATCTGACGTAGGTGAGAGTATATCTGGTCCCATATGAAGGCGTTTGTTTCCGGAGTGCGCGAATAAAACATTTGAGTCATGGTTCTGCATATTGCCAGAATCTTAGGTAGGCAGGTATGAGGTGTATCTGGAGGACATTCATTGTCTTGGCTAAGAAAGCAGGGCGGATGTATGAACGGCGGCAAGGTTTTGCCCTCGGCCATTCGGTGCGTGTAGTCGATCATCTGGCTCAATAACATTTTCCCTGTCAAGTAACCCTGCTGAAACGACCTCTCCCGTGTTGAAAGGTAGGGTTTGCGTAAAACATTGGCAGCTTCGGTCAGCAGTTCTGGGCTGCTAAAGTCTATGGAAGCTAGAACAGGGGAAGATGCACTGCCGAGCCCAGTCACGAAAGGGTAAGGAAAGTTGAAGGGATTGTAAGTCGACAGAGGATCCACATAATAAGGATACATGGACCCATTGTCAGAAGATCCTAGGCTCTTGGACTCGGGAGTTGCTGCATGTGATAAACTCGCTGTGCCGGATATGTCAAACAGTGACGGTGTGTCGCTATGGCAGATGGTTAGATCCGGCGTTTCGGCACTTGTATCCACCAATTTGGCAATCTCAGCAAAGGTATTGTCCTCTGATACGGTGGCAAAGCTAGGAAATGAAATCTCCGCCGCTGTCGATAGTGTAGCTGGTAGAGCAGCATCAGAAGCCTTGATCATAGAAGTTAGGTAGTCCATGTGGGGGTCGCCATCGTCGGTAATGTTTTCAGCCGTTCCCAAATCAGTCGTAACTGGTAATATCGGTCTAAATTCCTTTTTCCACCGTTGAGGATTAGAACTCCGACTGCGAGAAGACGCATAGTGACATTCCAGGCCTCGCTTGGCGCATCGCGAGCACGGAGTAGCCAAAGAACAGCGTGTCTTGGCCACGCGGCAATGGTCGCAGGATTTCGCTCGACTGATGGGCATCCCGGAGTTACGGTGTATCTGGCAAATCAGGTAACTGTAAAGGAAGCAAAATAAGAAAGAAGGATAGGTTGAGTTATCGCCATTTTGAGCGACTGCTAGACATCCCTAAAACATCTCCGGAGTTGTGAGCCAATGACGTGTCGCCTCCGGAGATTACAGCCAATCATGTCTGGCGTTTGGAGCCATCTCTGAAGCTGACTGCTCCGGAGCAAAGAGTCGGGCGGCGGGGCCGGCACTAGCATTCGGCACGTTTGATACTACGGAGTAGGATTGCGTGTTAATGAGAGTGAAAGTCCGTAGTTGATAGTATCATATGCCGGGGGGGTCTCGAGCAAATTGTATATAAAGGCTTGTATGCGTTGATGTTTGAAGCTGAAATGCATCTCCAACTGTGGTCTATCGACTTGCTTCTCAGATTCTAAGACACATCTACTACTATCATTACACAATGGCTATTACAAGAAAAACCTGTCTCGTCACAGGCTGCTCCGCCGGTGGAGTTGGCCCGGCTTTCGCAGAGGCCTTCCGAAACAAAGGCTACCACGTCTTTGTCACAGCTCGCACACCCTCCAAAGTACCAGAAAGTCTACGCGAAGCAGCTAACGTCACTATGATTGCTCTCGACGTGACAAACCTGGAATCTATCGCATCAGCTGCGGAGGAAGTTCGAAAGCACACGGACAGGCTCGATGTTTTGATCAACAACGCTGGTCTTGGCTTAAACATGCCGGGTCTAGACACTTCAATCGAGGAAGCCAAGAAGTTATTCGACCTCAACTTCTTTGGCGTTCTTGCCATGATGCAAGCATTTGGCCCGATGTTGGTCGCAGCTCGGGGTTGTGTGGTCAACAATTCCTCTGTTGGAAGTGTTTTCCCCTTTGCATTCTCAAGTAGGTGCTCACAATATGTGCATCTCACTACAACCAGTCAGGCTAATTTATACAACTAGGCATCTATAACGCTACCAAGGCAGCTCTCAATCAAGCAAGCGAGACTTGGCGCCTTGAAATGGCCCCTCTTGGAGTTCGCGTCATCACACTCGTTACGGGTGGCATTGCAACAAAGTTTTTTGTCAATCTACAAACACTGACTTTTCCGGAAAACTCTTACTACAATTGCGTCAAGGACATTATTGAGGACAATCCAGAAGAGAATCCCTATGGAGTGAAGCCAGAGGTATTTGCCCAGGACGTCTTAAACCGGGTTGAAAAGGGAGCCACTGGCAAGCAATGGGTTGGAGGCGGCGCCAGTATTGGCCGATTCGCTTTATGGCTGCTACCTCAAGGTGTTATCGTGAGTATCTCGTTGCAATATCGACTACTCAGCCTCATTTGAGACTAACAAAAGCGATTTGGTAGGACATGATAATTCTGAGTCAAAAACCGTGGTCGAAAAAGTTGGCGCAAGAGCATCTCAAGACCGAGTAAACACGATCGCTGCGATCTACTTTCATTTTACTTGTAACAATATGCGATTCTTCATTTCTTTCTACAGTTACCATTCATATTTGTATCATTCGCCACAGACATAATTCACATTATAGAGTTCCTTTGTAACAAACAACTCGGAAGGTTGAAACCCTCAGAAGACCGAGCTCATAATATACTAGCATTTTCTAGCCTAATATGGTCTACACGAATATTGGTGATGCATTATTTTCTAGTATCATGTCGGACTCTTATTTCCCCAAGTCGTCTGGCCTTTAGCCAGGTTGGTGAGAAATCCATGCCCCTGTAGTACGTCGCAAGTACAGGAATGATAACCCCCGTGCAATAATATTCCCCGATGAAAGCAGCATTCAGCACTCGAACGCTATATGAGTGTATTAATAACGATAAAAAAAACTTTTGAGGTCATAAAATTATTCTCGCTTCGTAAAGACGAGGGGGCATTCATCCTAGAAATACGATTAGCTCAGACATTCACTAAATTTGTCACATAGAGACACTACAAGCATTCAACATACCATGGGAAACAGAGTGGCAAACACTCGAATCTCTTCTGATCGAGGTGTCGCGTGGTGCACCCAATCAAGCTCCAATGCAGCCTTGCCAATCATGGCCGCCATGGTAAGCGGCACATATCGTCGCGCAAGACAGTCATGCGCACCAGCACCGAAAACCAGCCAGTTCTTGGTCTTAGTCTCAGCATCGCCTGTGATCCACCGCTCGGGGTCAAAAGTGTCGGGATTCGGGTACGCTACCGGGTCGTGGAGAGCCGGGTAACAAGAGGGGATAATCATAGCATTCTTTGGCACGGTATAGTCGGGAGTAACCGGGAAAGCCTTCGTAGCAAGATAAGGCACAAATATGACCGGCGGACGATAGCGAAGAAGCTCCTTTATCACAGCGTTGGTATAAGTCAGCGACTCGAACATCTCAAGCTCGAATGGTTTGTTCTTATCGCCGCCTCGTGCTGCCAGATTCTCAGCTCGCAGGCGGTCCAAAACATCGGGTCTCTGAGCCAGAACCTGGAAAAGCCATGTGGTGGCACTGCTGGATGCGTCTTGAGAGGCAAAGAGGAACGTGAAGAGGGTCTGGGCGATTTCTTCATCGGTGAACTCGCGGATAAGATTTGTAGGCTTCTCGATTCCCTCTTTACCCGCAGCAATATCTTCGTTGTATTTCTTCGACTCGTACATGTGCTGAACCCACTGGTCGACGATACACGTGGCTTGAGCCCCAGAGGCCATGTTGGCCTTGCACGCAGCTGCACATCTTGTGAACTCGGCGAGTACGGCATCCGCTGTGCGCTTCCCTCTCCAGCACTTGGTGCCTGGGATATGGATGGAGAGTGGGATGTTGACAAGCTCGAGCGCATCGGTGACGAGGTAGAAGTCGTCTGCGATTCTCTTGACTGCCTCCTGGGAGATGTAGTCTCCAAAGAAAGTACGGCACGACAACGCGCAGTTGATCTCCCTGAACCAGCCCATGAACTTCGTGGGCTTTCTTCCATTGGCCTTGCTATGCTCGACAAATCTGTCGAAGTAATCGGAATAGACCTTTTCTTGGACAGGCAGATAGGTGCTGAGAGCCCTGTTTGTGAACAGCCCAGTCAAGCCTCTGCGGAACTCGGCATGGGCCTTTCCATTGAGGAACACCCATGCGGTTGGGCGCATAATGTTGATCGCCATCGGAACGAGGCATGGTCTAACGAATGTAGGAGACTTGAAGACTTTGTGTGCCAGGTCGCGATCCGAAGCTAAAACAACAAACCTATGCAGAACTTAGCCCACATCCTAAACATCACGCAAGGGCGGGAAACTTACTTGTGAAACACAGATACGCAGCTGAGGGGGCCACTGGCCCATTGAGCAAGATACGCTTCAAACTTGGGGTGGATGGCTTGCAGAAACGGTCCCATGATTGGGATCTTGAAGGCAGGTCCAGCTATGGATCCCTTTTGCCAAAGGTACAACACTGTACTTGTATCAGCGAGCCATTACCACATCAAACTTTTGACACAACATACACTGGTCATAGACGATGAGAGATAGAAAGGCTGTGATGGCAATCTGCCAGCCTGAGTAACTTGACAAAAAGCCGCCAGCCAATTTTGAGGCGCCATGTTGAGTCACATTGGCTGTAGTCTCAACAGAGAGCGGCAGACTGCCTTCGACGATGGTAGCCATGGTGTCGTTAGAGCTCGTCAACCACAGGCTATGTTACTAAAGAGTCACAAAAGCGTCTGAACAGCGAACAGCTTTCTAGGCGACGGGTGTTTTTTAACTGTTTGCCAGTGGCCGACATCTTCGTCTTCACGTAATCATTGTGGGCGAATTAGCCAATGGCAGTGAGTTTCAGGCCAGAGAAAGTGGCCAGATGTTGACCGCAATCTGAGCAAACGGCACGATCCGTATCCGCGAAATGTGTCGATTGCCCTTCGTACTCGTATTATCACCACATCTCGACATTTCTCAGCGAGTGGTAGCCGTTTGTGTACTAAACCCCGAGGGAGGATGGGTGAGACACAGACAACTGTGGGATAGCCAATAATGAAGCCAATTGCTCCGGAACTACCGCCGTGAATTAGACATTCGGAGTCTAGTCCTAATTAGTTCTAGACTCCGAATTCATGGGATGTCCCTGTGGAGTCGAGCATGACAAGATTTTGGCATGATCCTTGTTGTGTCCCGAGCTTCGATTGGGTGTCATGATGAGAATCGAAAGAGCCCATAGTTTGATTGGATGACTTCCGTGAAACCCGCAACTTGCTAACCTCCTTTTGCGGCCATCTTAAACGCTTCCTCCCACTCCTGGCGGAAAAGTTCCTCTTGTGGCACCCTTACCCAGAGGATGCTCTGCAGATCCGTGAGAACATCCTCCCATGTCTTCAAGCCGAGAGCTGCTGCAGCCACGCTCGCTTGATCCGTGAACCATTCGTGGTTCCTGGTGCCAACAGTGGCTACCATGCCGACGGAAATAGCCCAGATCCCTAGTGGATCGCTGATATGATCATTTCTCAGCAGGGCCGTCAGATGGCCCTTGAGCTGAAGAATGATGGCATTGGCTAAGCCAACGTGGGAATAATATGTGGTGCCATGTAAGATTAGCATATAAAGTGCGGTCGCGTATCGGAGACACTCAGAGGCGGCCGATTGCACTGGGTCTGCATTTGCATCCAGGAATGGAGGCAGCAGCAGCAATTTGTGCATAACAAAACAGGTTAGATCATGCAGCTGCGTATTGGTCAAGCTTGAATGCCATGAATGATGAAAGATGTTCCTGAGTCGAGACAAGATGTTGCTCATGGCTGGTGTGAGATTTAGCTTATCCAAATTCGCGTCTCGTGCCTCCACGTCTATCGAAGAGAGCTGCCACTGCGGTATTGCGCTGATACCATCTCCATGGCCAGAGTCGTCTTTGATTGGGAATTGAGGCGCTTCCATGACAAGCATAGATACCCTGCAGAATGTTATTCAGCAGTCATTCCCGCCATTCATGCATACAATACTCACCATGAAACCATTCTCGCCGTCAGCGGGCTTCTCTGCTTTAGCTCATCGATTCCGCCTCTGATGCCAACCATTCTTTTGACTCCATCAATATGCATTCTGCTGGCTTCGATATTGCCCTTTCCGTGCTATCGGTACAGTGCGTCAGCGAGGAAAGGTATCTCGTCGGAAGGAAGGGGGGTATATTACCTCAATAGCAGCCAACGTTACCACAGAGTCTAGCGTCTCGTCTTGGAATGCTAATGATGAATCTTCAATTCTTCGTCTCACCAAAGCAATCGAATCGACCATGAGGAGGTCTGAAATCGGGAACCCCTTCTGTGCCTGCAGCTCCTCGTAAAGAGATGCGGTCTGTAATGACACATGAAACAGTGCTTGGTCTGCAAGCGCAAGAGGCCACCAAGAAACAATGAATGGATTGGAGTCCATATTAAGGTCTAGTGGATAGTACTGAAACGCAATGCTAGACAAAACTGTCAAGGTTCATAGGTCAGTCAGACATTAATTTTGGCATAGGAAGAGGGAGAGCTACATACATCGGTGGATCAAGCGTTGAACATGTAGCCTAGAAAGTCTTGTCGGCGGATATGAATCAAATGGATCGAAAGAGGCGGTTGCTGGGTTTCGTATCCAAGCCGGATTTTCCGAAAATCGAGATATTGTCTCCCCATCTTGGGGCAGTACAGAAATCACCTCCGCAACAATGTCAACAGCCGGTGGACTGTAGCTAGTCACCTCTGTAGATGATCCGTATGCATCCAGAGGGGAGTTCAGCGGTTTATTTGCATATACGCATTTGGAGTTTCTCTTGATACACCGGGAGCACTGGGGGATTCGGAGATCACAGCCGAGCTTCGCCTTTGCGCACGCGTTGCAGGACCTCCGGAGGGTTGTGCGCATTTTTCAGTAGCAAGTTTATCGAAATTCAACATTAGAATATTCTCAGCTGGTGAGAAGAACGAGTGTGTGTGTAAAATGCAGCCGCTGAGTTGTGATGGTATAAAGTGAATAAGTTGGTATGTGACTGTAAATTAAGGCGCACGGCTCGAGCATTTGTAGAATGGATGACTAATGCCGGCCGGGTTTCGGCCGGGCTTTGGGAGCAACTGTTGACATATTCAAATAAAACTTGACAGCTTAAAGCATTTAATGTTATAAGCATAAATTGCCGACAAAGTAGCGTCACAATCTGGCTCCTTTGTATTTCTACAAGTATATACTATGGAAGTAATTTTGAATATGTTTTTCTTGTTCAATTGTACTACCGTGTCCATTTGAAGCGTTCAAAGCGCTGATATACGTCTGACTAGCTGACGGGTAATCAACCGCCGGGTAATCGGATTTAACAATTGAAACACCGCTCAGTGTGGAGATGAGGCATGTTCAAGACTTATATGTTGTTCATTCTGAGAGAAGATGAGACCCAAAATCGATACCTAAACCTAACCAGATAAAGCGAGCGTAAACATCATATAAAACACCCCTTAGATAGACCATAGGCTCTGAGAGACTTCCGCTTAGCTCCATAGCTCCGTTTCCCTTCATCTTCCATAAGTTCCTTTCCCAAACAAAACCTTGCCCAACGAGATAGACATCATAAATTCGTTTCAAAACAACCGCTAATACACAAAGACTAGCTTCATGCTATGTCAAAATCACTTGCTTTCTTTCATTTCAAAGATTGGTACCAAGATTTCCCCAAGAGGATCTCTCTGGTCAGTCAGAGGCGTAGCTTTGAAGATTTTCTCTTCCGATCCTTCTGTTGCCTCGACTGTCATTGGCCGCTGGCCACAAAAGACCCATTTCAAACTTGGCAACACCGTTGCATATTGCTCTGCCTCCTTGAGCATACGGTAAAGATGAGCACGCTCCCAGACCATGTCGTTAGGAGCAAAATTACCGACATCCACATGGACATTGATTTCGTAGTCTTCTCTTTCAAAGCCGTAGTCGTCGACATCATCGACATCAGCCGAATCAGCTGCGCGGGCATCATGTCGTTGTCTAAGTCTCAAACGACCTTGGTTGGCTGGACCAAAATGCGGGAGTGACAAAGCGTCATCGAACTCTGCCTGTGTCACCCACCGGTCATCGTAATAGCTTTCGATATCCCGAAATGGTATTTCGTCCGGAATCATATATGTATCTTTTGAGAAGGCAAGCCTTTGGAGATTATCCAAGCCTTGGAGTCGCAGCCGCAAGTCATCATGGTCGGGGAGCCAAAACTGACGCCAGCCAGCAGCCTCACCAATAGCCTCCCCTGCGCTGAGACAAAGCTGTTCTAACGTTTTGATACGAGTGATGGCGGCTAGCGATTCTGCGGCAATGTGGGTATAGGCTTGCTGGGTGTCTGAAGATGTGATATTTACTGGATATCGCCATGATATTGAAAGGGAAGTGAGGTTTGACCATTGTTCACTGGCCAAGGTTGGAAGAATGTGTTGATCCAGAAGATATGGTGTGCTCTTTTGGACGGAGAGTTTGCTGACATGAGAGTGCCGCAATACAAAATCCGCAATCGGTTTTGCGAATTCCACGTCCATAGAGAGAGACGGCACAACCAGCGTTTCAAGGTCTTGAAACGTTGGGCAATCGGACATGTATTCTTTGGAAGTGTTGAGACCATTGAGGGGCAGTGACAGGTGTCTCAGTGGTGCAGACAAGAACGACGACCAAGCTGCCAGGTCGGGATAACTCGTGCCAGAGGCAAGGTCGAGATAACGAAGACGAGGAAACGTCATTGTCTCATGGCCTCGGAATTTTTCAGCCTTTTTACCGGAGGATTTTATTGTGAGGCTCGCCAGTGATTCACAGTTATGCTGAAGGAAGCGTGATATGAGTGAAGATAGTTTCTTAGATTTCTTTGGCTTGCCTTCCGCATGCATGGCCTCTTTGCACGAGCTGATGCCCAGAGAAAGTGATTGCAACTTTGTGGTGTGTGAGGCCAACGGAGATTCTAGAGAAAATGGTACTCCGACATAGGCTTTCGAAAACTCGAGATTCTGTAAGGGCAGACGCGCCAATGTTCTCATGGCCTCGATGTCGAGGCACATCTCATCATTCCACGAGAGGCTATCAAGATGGGGCATTGCCTCAGCCAGCACCTTGAGGATAGGTCGGCGGTACTTGATGAGGTACTTATATGCTGCGTTGTTGCGCAGCTCATCCATTTGTTGCTGTGATAGAATACAGCTAGGATCTCCCGAGCTGGCCGCCCAGAGATCCTTGTGCGCAGCAGCAACGTGCCGTGGCTCAGGTTGAACTGTGACTTGACGAATACAAGAGCCAATAAATAGAGGAGCTGGAGTGCCGCTGACAGTATCTGCTCTAATTTGTGCTTCGTCCACGAGCCGCTGTAAAAGCCTTCTTGATCGCGGTCCATAATCAAAGCAAACCTCGACAAATTGATAAGAGCGAGCTAGCTGTCTACAATCGCTGTTTACTAAAGCGAGAGTAGATAGAGCAGCTTTGTCGTTGGCGATCAAGGCCATTATTTCAGTCAGAATTTCTGGAGGCAGTGCCAGAAAGTGACTTTGCGATGTGATCGGGCGGCCTTCCATGGCCTGTGAGAGTAGGAGGGGTAGCTTCGTAGCTTCTTTTACGTCATTTTCCTTTTTCCGGGTTGACCACTGACCGGTCATGAGTTTTGAAATGTCGTGTTGCATGATGAAGATAGCCGCGTCCCAGAGAAGGCACTGCTGTTCTCTGACTTTGGGTCCTGATCTTTGGTGTTGTTGTTTTTTCTTTTTGAAAATTTTATTTATGGGTAGCGGGATCTCGCCCCAGAGATCATGAGATGCGGAGAAAGTAGTGAAATGAGGAGTAAAGGTAACATTGACTCGGAATACTACTCCTCTTATGTCCGGGGGGCATGCTGCATACCAACTCAGCGGTCAGCCTGTCTGAACGAGCTGGGGGCCGTTCACCGGATGAATAGCCGAATTGATTGGCTCTCAATTCGGCTGCAAATTGAGTGCATGCTAGGTATGCAAGGGAGAATCAGGCGTCCAGGCGTCCAGGCGTCAGAGGTATGACGAATGTCGCATCTCTCTCAGTGACAAATAAATGCTATTCAGTCGCTGGTAGCTTCATACGCATGGTTCCGTTCTACAATCGCCTGCTCAGACTTGTATCGATGCTGAGAGTACAGGGCAGCGAGCCGTATATCTACGGTTAAAATTGTCTATTAGCGCTGAGCAAGGATGAAGACACTAAATCCGAGAATTGAAGATTGGTAAATGATATCATGGAGATGATGTAGCATCGACCTAAGCACCTTTTTTTAGCATGATCCTACGAACCCAACATCTGATCCATGTCAACCCCGCAGATGCCCAGCGAAATCTGTCAGCATCAGCCCTTTCTTGTTTTGACTTGGTATTATCGCCGAATCGGCGATAAATAGATGGCCTGAGGGGTATTCACAGGAATACAAGAGGAAGATGAAGTGATGAAGTTCGGCCATTTAATGAGGGGTGCGTAATAGAAGGAGTGCTTGAAGTAGCTTCTCGACAGTACAGACCGCAGGACGAGACTAATGAATACTTGGTTCCGTCAAATAGCAAAGTAAGCCTAATGAAGAGATGTCTTCAATTGAATGGCTATCAACGACAAAGGCAGACTAGCCACACAGTTAATAGCCAAAAAAAAAAAAATCCGATAACTTCATTCTATTTTCTATGGCACGAATGTTAATATAGTCCAAGTTAATATTAGAATAGTCCAAGCTCCAAGTCAGGTTCGTGACCAAGCAAACGCCGGCATTCGAGTTTTGCGCTCTGAAATGTCTAGGTATTATCTCAGATGATAGTCTCAGTTTTAAGTCTTACAGAATATCTACAGTCTTCAAGTGGTTGCGCTGGATAGATGAAGCGAGTAAAATGGGTAAAAGAGTTCAATTCTTTCCAGAGAAGTCATGTTAGTATCTTTTCGATCTATTTATCGAGAGGTTTTCTAAAATCTGCATGAAAAAATTAGATTTAAAAGATTCCCAAAAGTCTTTTCTCTTGATCTCTTTAATGGATTGGAACCGATACACCTACAATCTGGTACATTCCAGGGGTAGTTGCAGAGCGTAGCTAGAATACTATTCAATCATCGCTTTGACCTCATCACTCTCCTCTTTGAGTTTTCAGACCTGACGACAGCCAACTTCTGGCAGCTTATACAACAAGGAACGCTCCTTTCCAATTAAGCCAAGGGTTCTTCTTTCAATTGAGTTGAAATTCTTAACCAAAGTACCCAGGTAAGCTTAGATGGTCGTGTACTCATCTTTTCAGGAAGATGTATATTAGGTTGAAATTAACTCAGACTATTATCTAGTACGCCTGTAGCCCAGTACTACCTGGTTAGTGCGAGTTGATCAGTCTCGTGCACACTGTTTACTAGGTAGATATTTCTATAAAGCATATAATGCCCTAGTTTTAAGAGTGTTTGCGTAGAAGAGTGCATATATCTTACAAGGATAATGTTTCCAGTTAGATTCCATCAGTTCCGGTTATCTAACAAGGGTTCCGTCTCGCCGCCTGTGAAACCCTGCCCGCGATGCAGCACGACAAAAGCCAGCAGCGCTGCTTGTACCAAAGCAAACGCGATATGATCCACGGCGACGAATCCAACAAGTTGATACCAAGTCATCCCATAACCAACAGATGCACCCCCAGGGAACACAAAGCGCCATGCCCATGCCAACGCCAGCACCGCAAATACGACCGCTTGCACAGCTAAACCAATGAGACTGAGCGACGAAGAGGCCGTGCCTGGAGGGTGCTGCAGGATCTCGCCGCGCTGGGAGAAGAAGGACACCAAGATTAGGATAGTGACGATGGGATTGATCAACATTGTGTGGATGCCGTGGAACAGTGCCATCGCCCACTCATGAGAGGAAGCATCTTGCGAGGGCCAAGCGGCGTCCACGACCACCGGTATGATTGAGATGAGGAGAAATGCCAAATATATGGCCAGCACGGTAGGTGCGGTAGAATTGCGGGCACCGGGAGCCCTGTCAAGGCTTTCTGATGGAAGCAGCAGGACGGCAGCGAATCTGGATCCCATGAAAAGAGAGTCACAAAGGTCAGTGGGCAATATAATGGATGACAGCGCACATGGAATCGGAAAGGTCAAGAGACATGTACATATAAACACACACACAGAAGAAAGACGATGGAGAGGAGAGAGAGAGCTTACACGATTAGCCATAGCACCCAAACCAGGGCCATCTGCGCCAAGTTCAAATAGTCTCCCAGCTGCGGTGGGTTATGTGTAAAGAAGTCGGGACCTGGAGACGTTTGGACGCTGTTGACCACATAGTAGAATGCAAGTGCGAATAGTTCCGTCGCGCCGATGAGCTGGAAGAGCACATAATAGGGCGAGATGCCGCAAGCATTCCGCCGTAGCCAGAACTCACGCAGCTGCGGGAGGAATGAGATCAGACTGAGCACCAAGAGAAGACTGAATCATACGAAGAGGTCAATGTCAGTTCCATCATTGTACAGCTCGAGGAAGTAGAGGGAGCAGTTGCAGACATTCTGATCCAGTTGGGCAACGAGGCTGCCATTATTGCGATTGACCTATAGGGAGATGAAGTTTGGTTCCGAAAAAGCAAAAGTCCCCCCTCTATATGAGCCTTGGAATGAGAATTCGTTGCTACATGCAACTATAGTATTTTCGTGCTGATTCCCATAAACCGAGATGAATAATTACCCCTTGATTAGAAAATAGTGAGCGGATGACAAAAGGAAGAGATGATGTCAGCTGTTGATGGAGACGGCCGAAAGCCACCATTCCCTAGAGCCGGAACACTAGCCAGGATAACTGAGCCTTATATCGGGCAGAAGCCGAAACTACAAGTGCACATGTAAGCTCGGGCAAGGTTGTAACAAGGTTCATTTTAAGTCTCGAGACTAACTGGTATCAAGGAACCAGGGACGGCCAAAAAGAAAAATCCAGGTGCCGCGACTACGCAGAACATTGATCACAGCAGCATTTACATGTTCCGATTTCAATTCTTGCGTGTGTATGATTACAGCCTCATACGTTCCAAAAGTTTCCTGACCTCCTGCTCGCTCTCTCTCCCCTTGTTTTTTTTTTGTTGATAGTGCTTACCTATCGGTCCTACCGCATCTTCTTTCCCCGTCGCTATCGTTAAATCTCAGTCCCTCAACTACATGTATTTTCCAAACGGCCTTTCCAAACGGCGTTTATCGCGGGCATAAGCCACACATCGTAAACTCCATAGCCTATAATCTACGGCCCGTGTCGCTTAAATGGTATGACTGGAGCTATAGATAGACCTTTTAACAAAAGGCCTTCGAGTTGTGCAAAGCGGGCGCAAGTGAAGCGGGCGCAAGTGAAGCGGGCTAAGTGGGCGCCAGGCACAGGCGTCAGCAGAGTTCGGACGTGATGCTCCAAGATTTGCATGTGGGAAGAAAACAAGCAGAGTTTGGATGTGGTGATCGTGAGATTTAGGTGGGGGGGGGGAGATAGTAGTAACATGCGAGTCACAAACCACTATTTGCTGTAAGGGACTTGAACATATAAATTTTCAAGAAACGTATGCGGAAATGAAGAACATTGGTTACAGGAAGTCATGAATTGTGTCTCTCATATTTATTCTATTTTATAATCTGCCTTCTTAAACGAGAATTTAATGGTTTGTATCGCAGAAAGAATCCCAAGTTAAGCCAATATTAGTAGATGTGTGTCCCTCCTTTTTCCTCATTCCTTAGTCTCCCTCCCTAGGACTTAAGAACGGATAGGCTATTACTTTTCCACTAATAGGAACACAAAATACCCAGTCGACACATTTTTCCATCCGGCCAATTAAGGTCGGATATTCAGCTTGGCCGATACTCCTTGTATTACTGAACTAGCGGGTTCTTATCTTAGTCTATAGTCGTCCCCATCGTAGGATGCAGCTTTCTCATGACTCAGGCCTGATTGACACAAGCGATGGTTACCAGGGTTTATTTTCTTCAATCTCTAGTTCAATGCTCTATATGGAAGTATGTAGCGACTGTAGTATTATGATATGGAGATAACGTATTATTTGCCAGTTAAAACTCTGCGAATGATCAAGACCAGAATTCGTCTTTTGACACAATTACAAATGGTTGGTAAACGGGAGATGCTTCTGACATAGCGTTACTTGTAAGGTTATGAACAAGGTAAACACCTAATTCAACAGCACTAGGGTACGAGTATTAGCCAGGGACATGACAGGACCTTTGGAGCGTCCTCAATGGCTCGGTTAGACTGAAGATTTAAAGATCTGATTTAAGCACTATTCACTAGGCTAGCGTTGTTGCGTCTTATGATATTTCGGTGTTAATATGTCCGATAGTCTGAGACTGGGAACATTTACATCTTTTGGTCGTTAGGTCTGATATCTTGTATACTACTAATGGGATGATTACAATTCGATGTCAGCAGCATGCCTGATATGCTCAGCATGCCTGGTATGCTATCTCATGAGAGGTTTTTTTTGGTATCTCTTCTTCTTTGCCTAGCTCTGGTTCTGATCAAGGGAAGAGGGTCTTTGTATTTACAGACAAGATAGGTGAAGAAATGAGGCTTGTATATAAGAAGAGGCTGTCATCGCCTCCAACAAGCTTTCGAATGGCCCAGAGCATGCTGATAGGCCCCTTTAGTCTTTGCAAATATAGCTTCTCGCTCATCTCTTTTTACAGAGACGGAGCATCATGAAGTTATTCGACACTCTAGGCGTCTTGACGGCGCTGGTGCTGGTGCCCTGCCGGGTGCAAGCAGCCGCCGTCTTTGCGCACTTCATGGTGGGCAATGTACCAACATGGGGAGTCAACGACTGGGAGTCCAACATGAGATTGGCACAGGCGTCACACATTGACGCTTTTGCGCTCAACATGGCGTCTGGGTGGCCGCAAAACGACGCATCAGTGGCCCAAGCATTCCAAGCTGCCGAGGCCGTGGGCTTCCAGCTCTTCTTCTCCTTCGACTACGCTGGCAATGGGTCCTGGCCCATGGATGTCGTGACGAGAATGCTCAACCAGTATGGCGGCTCCAGCGCACACTTCAAGTACCAGGGCAAGCCGTTTGCCTCGACGTTTGAAGGGCCGGCCAACGCCGACGACTGGAACACCATCAAAGCCAACACGGGATGCTTCTTCGTACCCAACTACTCGTCACTGGGGGCCGGCCCGGCCGTCGCAGCCGGCGGAGGCGTTGCCGATGGACTCTTCAGCTGGGCAGCGTGGCCGTATGGGCCGAATAACATGACAACGTACGTGGACGCATCGTACCGGCAGGCGCTGGGCGACAAGCCCTACATGATGGGCGTGTCGCCGTGGTTCTTCACCAACCTGCCGGGCTATGACAAGAACTGGTTGTGGCGTGGTGACGATCTATGGTATCACCGCTGGCAGCAGGTCATGACGGTGCAGCCCGAGTTCATCGAAATCATCACATGGAACGACTTTGGCGAGTCGCATTACATCGGTCCGCTCGACGACCGACAGTACGGCCCCTTTGACGTGGGCAAGGCGCCCTTCAACTACGTCGAGAACATGCCTCACGACGGCTTCCGAGCACATCTCCCCTTCCTCATCGACATGTACAAGGGTGGCCAGCCAGCCATTGGCGAAGAGTCGCTCGTCGTCTACTACCGCAACACCCCCGGTGCGGCATGCGCGTCAGGGGGCACGACGGGCAACACGGCCAGTCAACTGCAGATCGAGTTCGAGCCGTCCGCCATCATGGAGGACAATATCTTCTTCACGGCGCTTCTCGAGTCACCGGCCTATGTCGAAGTGACCAATGACAAGAACCAGCTGCTTCTCATCATTCAGCCCGAGGAGTGGGATTATGTGCCCATGGGCGGCGTCGGTATCTACCACCACAGCGTGCCCATGGGCCTGATTGTGGACGATCTGGCCAACTACCAGGCCAAACTATATCGTCCGCCGAATACTGCGAGCGACATCTTCGTCGACATGGACATGGCCATCACCAGCAAGTGCCCCAGCGTCATAACCAACTGGAACGTCTTTGTAGCCTCAGGCACCGGCAAGAGCAGCAGCGCGAAACAGCCCGCGCCCATCTCGCAGCAGGTCTGCACGTCAGGCTTCGCCATCTCGCAGGGAGGCGCCTTCGATGAGCTCTGCCGCTTCACCTGCTCCCACGGCTACTGCCCCTTGGGTGCCTGTGTCTGCACCAACACGGGCTCGCAGCCCGACATGCCGCCGGCCACGAGCCAGCCCGGCTTCCCGGCCAACGGCGATGCCAACTACGGAGGGCTGTGCAGTTTCGCATGCAATTTCGGTTTTTGCCCGTCTGATGCCTGTTCCAGCACGCCGCAGCCGCCCTTTGTCCCCCAGTTCTCCCCCTTTTCAGACCCGGCAGCCACGGCGGGTGTTGCGGCGTTTGACGATGAATGGAATGATCTCTGCACCTTCACCTGCAGCTTCGGCTTCTGTCCAATGGCCCGCTGCCGTGTCACGTCGACCGGCTTCCTCAACGTGCCGCCGGCGCCGAACCCCGATACCCCTGGCGAGGCTCCCGACGGTGATGATTTTGGGCTCTGTGCCTTTGCCTGCTCTAGGGGTCACTGTGTAGACCCTTGTGTTCGAATTTTTGCCATCTCCTACAACTTTAACCACTGCGACCTCCCGAAGAGGGTAGCCATCGCAAAGGAGCTGGCCGTTGCTGTCGACATGGCCGATATGGCGGCCGCCCAGCCCGACTTTGGCAACTATTACAACGCCTTCTTCCCGCAATCACTCCGGGATCAGAGTGACTTCCGGCAGCAGACTTCGGACAAGTTCTCCAGAATGAGCAAAATGCTCTCGGGCCAGCAGGACGGCTACCCCATCACGATAGATTGTGATGACACCACTGACTTTTGTAAAAAGGCGTATGTGGCGCATATGAATGACAAGACCAAGACAATGAACTTTTGTAAAGCATTCTTCAACCCCTCGACAGATCTAAATGCCAATTCAGCCACGTATACAGCAGAGTTCCTCACGGGACAGTGTGCCAACATCAATTTGCGCAATGCACAGCGCGCTGGTGCTGCCACGTTGATCCATGAGATCACTCACACTTCGACGGCCATGCTCGGCGGGAAAAGGACGCTCGACTATGCCTATGGTTTCAACGGTTGCTCGTGGCTCTCCCAGAACGTGTTCAAGCGTACCTGCATGCCCTACCACAGACAAGGGGGTACAACCTATACCATTAATCGCGACAGTGGCGGGAATGAGCTGCCTCAGGACCCGAATCTTGCGGCACGCAACGCTGATACATACTCTCACATTGCAGCGGGCATATACTTTGAGAAGACGTGCAAGAGGGCGCCCCCTTTCCCCAACCTGCCGAACCCGCCGTCGCTCGCACCCGATGCCTGCCCATACGTGGACGACGCACTCATCATTGACGACAGCGCCGAAGATGACGATCCCACCGAGGCGGCCAAGAGCCACGTCGAGGGCATGGTGCACTTTGGCGACTCGTATGCGTCGGGCATGGGTACGGGCACGACGTCAGGCGACTCGTGTCGTGTGGGCTCCAACAACTATGGCGTCCTGGTGCGCCAGACGTTCCTCAACGCATTCTCCGATCCCATTGATTACCAGGGCATGTCGTGCTCGGGAGACACCGTCGACGGCTTCAACTCGCAGATCGACCGCTGGAGCAACGCCGACAAGGCACGCATCGGCACCGTCACCATCGGCGGCAACGACCTCAACTTCAGTGACCTCGTCTACTACTGTGTCATCACTCCCAACACGGCCCGCCTCGGCAGCACGAACCGAAACAGCTGCGTCGAAGTTGAGAACCAGGCTCGCCAGTATATGGAGGATACGAGCAGCAATGGGCTGCGCGCAAAGCTGACGGCGGCGTACCTCAAGGCCATCAACAAGAGCCCGCGAACTGACTTCCAGCTGTACGTGACCAGCTACCCGCCCTTCTTCAACGCCGACACGACGACTTGTGAGGACTCGTCCTTCCATTATTGGTGGGGGGCCTACAAGCCCATCTCAGACTTCCCTACCAACCGCATTGTCTATCTGACACAGGACCTGCGAACTGAGCTCAATGGGCTTGTCGCTCAGCTGAATGGCCTCATCCTGGGCGCTGTTCAGGACGCCAACAACCAACATGGCGGCAATCGAGTGCACTTTGTCGACGTCGTGCCCTCCTTTGACAACCACCACTGGTGCGAGGGCAGCACGCAGGAGCCCGATCCGAACAACCCTAACACTTGGTTCTTCCTCAGCGGCTGGCCTGACCTCGGCTTCGACTCGGCGTCGGAGGAAAACGATGAACTCAAGGCCCGTATCGCCGCGGGTCCCATCATCCTGCCCGACGCCAGCAATTGCGAAGCTGAGCTCGGCTCCCAGCCCGACCCCTTCGTCAAAGCCATGTGCCGCATCAGCCAGGAGATTCACGACGACCCTCAAGGGCCGCAAGCCTTGCGCTTCGCCCAAGCTAACGCTGATATTGCCGCTGGTGATGTTAGCAGCCAGAGCATCCCCTGGTACCTGCTCACTCGAACGGTCAAGACATTTCACCCGCGAAGCCCGGGCATGGCCGCCTTTGCCGCCGCCGTCGTTGATGCCATTGAGACGGAAGGCCAGCTGAACTAGACGTGGAATCCAGTTGTTTGTAGAAATACAGTGGTTTGACTGATTTCTCTCTATGTTGAAATTTTGATCATCCCAGCTGTAGATGATGTGTTAGTATTTATAGTAAATACTGTAAGATAGATGTTGCAAAAGCGCGTTACCTAGAAGAAAGCGCATATCAAGCTTGTACAAAGCTTCCCAGGTAGAATAGAAGAAAATTGCATTCGTGTCTTGCAAAGTATTGGTGTAAAACCAAGGTCAGCGCCGTCCAAGTTTTGCGCGATGTGTTTCAACTTTGAGAAGTGAAAAGGGTGAAAGTTTGTGTTGGGTTTGGGGTCGCCAGGGAGCAGCGAAAGTCAACAGTGTGTTTGATGACTAAGCTTTCAACGGGAATCCAAGAGTTCTGACAAGCTGTGTACTTGCCTTGAAGTCCACGGTAAATAAACGCAGCGCTCCAATCAATAATATGGATGTCTGCTTGATCTACAGCCTACATGTAAGCCCCTCAATGTAATATTTTAGTGTTCATATAGGCTCAACTTGACACTGAACGAGTTGAAAGCTTTCTCTTCCTTTCTGTTTCTGCTCTGGCAGACATTTCTACTTACAGCAGTCTCGTTGACTTCCATTGTATGGAACGATACAGCTACAAGCTAATGGCGTATAAATAACCCCCTGTTGTTAATGGTGACCCGAGGACAAATACATATACTGACATTCTATTATCCTTCAATACTAGTAACACCACTGCAATCCCGCAGTTGGCTTTGGAAGTGCACGCCAGCCCGGAGCTATCATTGACCCTACCCTACGACATTGAGTTCACCCTACGCCGCGAAGATGACAATACAGGCCGGCCCTGCATTGTCCGATGGAGCCCCGGCGTAGAAGCATTCTCGGCCACAGGTCTCGAGCTCTGGCGCCACACAAACCGTGCGAATGACGGCTCAGACTCTCTCGTACGAGTCGAAGTTGACTACTCCAGTGGCGCAAAGTTGGCTGAAGCCTCCCCGCGCCTCGTCGTCCAGGGCTGGGAATCCTTTCTGTGGGAGCTTTGGCCCGGAGGACACGTCCGCTTCACAGCCCCATTGCATGAGCGCTACCACAAGAAGCTTGTTGAGGGCGAGCGATATGATCTGGTCTGGCCGGGCGGCGAGGTGGCCATGTGGGATTGGGGCACGAAGCGTGAGTACGTTGGCCGAGAACTGCGGGTCGACGCCGGTCAACCGCCGCTCCGTGTGCCGGCGGGGTGCCGTGTCTCTTTCACGGCGGCTGCCGAAGCCGTGCCGTGGCCCGGGAGAGCGGCGTGTGAGGCGAGGGACGGTTTCTTGCTAGCCAACGTGGAAGAGCGACAGTGGAGAGCCCAGCAGCTATGGCAGCAGGAGAACGGGGCAAAGCGTCTAGAGGCAATCGCCGAACGGGAACGAGTGTAAGTTTTCTGTCTGATTTGAAAGCCTCTCCATTCTTCTCTTCTCTCTCTTTTCCAAGTTTTGATGCGAACCCAAGGCCCCTCAAAACTGACCTTCTGTTAGTCCATCGACGCCTTTCCTCGGTATCACGCTCGAGTGCCCATCGACAGTCACTCATGGACACTCCTTTGACGTCACTCTCAAAGTAACATACGAGGGACTAGTCTCCGATACGCATGAACTGGAGCTCACAGAGCGCTGCATCGCCTTCCATACATATGATTTCCAATTCCCCAGCGGTCTCCGCGAGGGCTTCCGTCTCTGGCGTCAACGACGGCCTGAGGCATCGGTCAGCTCGCATGATGACGACAAATGGGATGAATGCAGCATCCCAGACGATGATGCTTTCCTGATCGCCGACGACCCTCCCGTCGCCGTGCGGGTAGGCGATGACGTTGACAACTTTGTCACTCTCCGCAGGGGTGAGATGTGGACCTTGACGAAGAGCTTCGACTGGAGCTCACTTCCCGACGACACCGTTCCCGGCGATATCTTTTCCCTCGTGTTCCAGGGCACCACCGTGGATTGGTGGGATTGGTGGAGCCAAGAGCACGAGCATCGAGACACAGTCGTCAAGTTGCCGTGCTGGATCGTTGGACCTGTTGTCGACCCGACAGATAATGGAGGTCGGCCGCGACTGGTGGTGCCGGGATCGGCGAGAAGAGCCGAGTTTACAGTATTCGAATCAAATTGAATTGCCTAGAGGATTATGAATTACTCGACAGAGCCTTGGCTCAAACGTTAACTTTTAGAGGCTCACAGCCCTACAAAATGAACCTAGACGACGGAAAGGTTACACATAATTATGAATGCTTCCCTTAAGGTGTAATTCTGAGCCCGGAGCCTTGCCTTTGCACGACTCATGCTGGTTAAGTGACATCACAATAGCAGAGCTGTGGCTTCGTAACAGAATAAGACACGGGAAAGTAAGACACGGAACCTCGCGAGACACGGAACCTCGCTCAACACGGGATAAGTTACACGGAAAATCTAAACACGGAGAAGTCCGACACCGCAGAATTATACCGTAGAATTCATCCGTGACCATCTGACGTCACTTATACAGTTCAAAGTTAGACATATACTTCTTCAGACCGCAAACGAAGGATGCTCCTTGCATGTAGCTCAGGTATTTAAAGGAGCAACTGCTACGGCCGAGGAGAAGAAATATGGGAGCGCCAACTCAAGCAAAATAATTCCCCATCGGTTTTGTATACATCAACCAACTTGCCAAACAATGAAGTTTGCCATCAGCGCGACCATCCTGGCTCTTGCCAGTATCGTCTCAGCCCAATGGGCCTGTGATGCTGGCTTTCAATGCGGCGCAACCATTATCCATCGTGGTATGTGAGCCTTTCCCTATACACCTTCGTCGCTGGTGCTAAATCTTGTTCCCATACAGATGACAGTGCTTTTTGGGTTCAGAATCTCAAGAACGCAGAAGCCGCCGTCGGGAGAGCTGGTCAGGATCCCTTGTGGGACCTCTTCCGTTGTAATTCTGATCGAACCGTTTCTTTTGTGCAACATTGCGCAGGTCGGTGTATTTACACTGGCAGCCCTGGAAGGGATAGATGTGAAGGGTACGTGCATCATTATCCAAGTATTGTATTGTCGCTAAACAATTTACTAGGTAGGCTTTAAACCAACTACATGTACGGGGTGGGTATGTTTGATTTATTAAGGGTGTTCACTTAGGAAATAGTGTTTTTGCTTCAATAGCAAATCACTTGATGATTAGAGTTTAGAGTCTTAAGAGGGTTGTTACTGCTATTTAACATAGCTTAACTTCTCGGAATTTATTATACAGAAAATTCTTTTCCTTTGAAGAGAAATTTTGGCATTTCAGGCATTTCATAGTTTGCATTCCGAAAGAAAGCTATGATAGCCCTGTATTTTCCTGCCCGTCATGTACGATTTCGTATTATCGTCTAGGGCATGCATCCTGGCAGCTACTCCGTAGTTTGGGCCTCATTATTTCCAAACAAGGGTCAGGCAAGCGAAGAAATACGCTGTCTACCGCAAAACAAGATGGCTTGTACGTCTGTAAATGGATGAAAGGCGTGATCTAGTCACGACTGAAATGGTCCGCACTCAACACCGTCAACGGATTGGCAAAGATCATAATTGCCCCATAGCCAATGGTCAAAGGAAACTATCAGTGAAAGATAAAATGAATGGTCAACTCAGATGCCCTTATGCGGATTTGCTCCTACAATCCTACTGGCCAGTTAACAACCCCGCCAATGCCCAGCCACCGATTTGGAGGCAGCCGTGAATCTTTAGATTTCATCTTGAATACATCAAATGAGGTTGCATTGTTTGACTCTGAGCGATTTGCGCAATGTTTTTGAAACATCTTTCTTCCAAAGTAAAGGAAAAGCTCCCTCGCCATCACAGCAGATCTCGCAGCCCGTCATTGAGAGAGCGTCCTCAGGATGTTCAGGCAAGCATACCTACCCCGAGTGACATATCATCGGCCCCTGCTACGCAGGTTTCACAGAGCCGACAGTCCTTGCCGGTCTTAGAAATCACCAAACCAGCAAGTACACAGGAGTTGGAAGTTCAAGGCCCCGCCCCAGATTCGACTCTAGATCCGGCACCAGGTACTCGTAGCGAGAAAGTTAAGTCGCCTCAGTTAGTATCTGAGACGATATGGGATCATGCATATGATGCGCTGAAAACCGAGGATGCTGCATTGGTACAAGCATATGAGAGGATTCTATCGAGCAAGCTTCAAAATACAGAAGTCATGGCCGACGTGAATGTCATCAACCAGCATGACAAGGAGAAGAGAAGAAGCCAAATGCATCAGCTGGCCAAGGGCGGCTTAGACAAGATTTCGCAGGAAACAAAGGTCAAGTCATTCGTCGGTTCAGTTTTACAAACGGTCAATCTCGCCCAAAATATCGTCACCGAAGTAGTCAAGGATGTGCCACAAGCTGCAATTCCATGGGCCGCAGTCTGCCTTTCACTTGAGGTAAGACGGCAGTACTCTATCAAGTAGTAGCATCTACTGACGTAACCTCTTCACAGCTTTTAACAAACCCCATATCGGAGACTGAAGCCAACTGCAAAGGAATTAGCCATGTGGTAGAGCAAATGAATTGGTACTGCGAGCTAGCTGGGCTTCTGTTCAGCGAAAAATCCGGTGGTGCCACAGCCGGAATCCAACAGGAGCTGCAGACAAAACTCATCGATCTCTACAAGAAGCTACTTTCGTTTGAACTCAAAAGTATATGCTCTTATTATCGTCATAGAGCCCTCATTTTTCTGGGCGATCTCATCAAGCTGGATGATTGGGAGGGGAATCTCAGGGCTGTTCGAGACGCCGAGGCCTTCTTCAACGAGCATGTCCGCGTGTTTCAAAGTGTTGACCTAGGGCAAGACGTGAAGCAACTTGTTGCTCATGCCAAAGATGAACAAGAATGCCGAAAGACGGATGACGACAAGAAATGTCTAAGAGATTTGTATGTTACAGATCCACGAATGGACAAGAGCAGAATTGAATCCACCAAAGGAGGCTTGATTCAGGACTCGTACCGCTGGATTCTTGACAATTCGGAGTTCAAAACTTGGCTCCATGACGATGACAAACGGTTGCTTTGGGTAAAGGGTGATCCGGGCAAGGGGAAAACAATGCTTTTATGTGGTATAGTCGACGAAATCAAACGGAGTGCATCACACGCAAATGCCATCTCATTCTTTTTCTGTCAGGCCACCATCCCAACAATCAACAACCATCTGGCCGTTTTACGTGGCCTCATATGGTTACTTGTTGAGCAACAGCCATCTCTTATTTCTCATATTAGAGAAAAATACGATCCTATCGGCAATGAACTATTTGAAGGACCCAACGCATGGTACAGTCTGGCAAACATTTTCCGCAGCATTCTACGGGATGAGAGGTTAACTATGGCGTATTTGATCATTGATGGCCTCGACGAATGTACCACCGGTCTGAATGAGTTACTTGAGCTTATTAAAGAGGCCTTGCCTTCTAGAAATGTCAAGTGGATCCTCTCTAGTCGGAACTGGGCAAACATTCGGGAAAGCCTTGAGGATGCTGGTGCCGAGGGTGTGAATCTCAGTCTTGAGGTGAACGCCACCGTTGTGGCAGCTGCTGTGGATACATACATTTCTTATAAAGCATCCAAGATACCACTCTTGAAACAAGATTCTGAGTTAACAGAGGAGGTATGCAATTTGGTACGCGAAAAGGCCAATGGAACTTTCCTTTGGGTGGCAATTGTTTTCCAGGAACTGCAGCATATGAACATCCATTACGATGACCGCGAATCTGTGTTGGAGCGGCTAAACGGGCTACCAAAGGACCTTACTGAGCTCTACGATAGAATGTTGCACCAAATCGGACGTCTAGAAAAGAGAGAGTCTGAGTTATGCGAATCTATCCTTGGAATCACCGTACTGGCGTATCAGCCTCTACGTCTTCAAGAGCTAGCGACTCTAGCAAGCTTCAAAGGGAATCTCACTCGACCATCCACGCTTCAAAGTCTTATACATAACTGCGGGTCTTTCCTAACAGTCAAGGACGAAATTGTCTACTTTATACATCAATCGTCGAAAGAATACTTGACCAGCAACAGCGCAGCGCAATCTACGCTATTCCCAAATGGTATCGAGGAGATTCACCACAAAATTGCTATGCATTCAATCAATGCTATGGAACAGAAGCTATGCCGAAATATCTACAAATTGGATAATCACGCAATCCTTCTTGCTGATATACACACACCTGAGCCCGACCCATTGATCTCTCTAAGATATCCTTGCTCCCATTGGCTTCAACACATCTGCGACTCAATCTCCAATTTGGAGCACACGCCCAACCAAGTTATTCTAAACGATGCCAAGATATTAACATTTCTGAAAAAACACATCCTTCATTGGCTCGAAGTCATGAGCTTGATGCGAAACCCGCCGGGTGGCATTCCATATATCAGCCGTTTTGGGGGCTTGCTTGAGAGATACTCTTCTAATAGCGAAATTTCACAACTGGTTTACGACATTCGTCGGTTTACACAGCACAATTCATGGATTATCTATAATGCTCCGCTTCAATTATATCTCTCGGGGATTCTATTTAGCCCCAAACTTAGTATCGTGAGAACTCTTTTTGAAGAAGAGCTACTATCTTGGATTACAACTAAGCCGCTCGTTGGACGTCATTGGAGCCTTCTTCTACAAACACTCGAGGTCAAGTCCTTGCTAATCCCAGCGGCAATTTCAAGCGACAATAAGATTGCAGTGTACGATTATGATGCATTTGAGGTAAAAGTCTGGGATATTACCTCAGGAACGCAAATTCAGACACTCAAATGTAACGGAATAATCAGCCAGCTCATCTTTTCTTGCGATTCTAAACGCATCTTAGCAGCACAAAATGCCCCTGTTATTTCATGGGACGTAGAGTCCGGTGCTTTACATCGTCAAGCATGGTCTCCTGGTTACCATGCATCTCTCTCCCGGGATGGCATGTTTTTGGCTTCACACACATCTGATAGTACCATTCAGATTCAGAACGTGGCTACAGGAGCACAGGTATCTCTTGTGAACGACAATTATGATTACCAGGGGGAAAAGAACAAACAATTAGTGAAACTATCGAATAACGCCAAGTTTCTGGCATTTGGCTGGGATGAAATAACCATATGGGACGTGGTTGCTCACAAGGAGCATACGCGCCTCAATACATTAGGAGGACGTCACAGGCAAGTCTGTTTTTCAACTGACTCCGAACTCATGGCATGGGAGTCGGGCGCTGTTCAAATATGGGATTTGGTTACGGAAAGGGAAATTCAGATCCTTCACAGAGAAGGCCATTATACCAGCGAGTCTTTCTCATCACTCGAGTTCTCAACCGACTCCAAGCTCGTGGCTGGAGGGTGCTGGGGTAACATTTGGATTTGGAACGTGAAAACCGGCACCATGCAGACACATCTGAACACTAGAGGGCAGCAACCGTACGGCCTCACCTGGTCTCCAAACTCCAAAATCCTGGCATCAACAAACTTTGAAAATATCACAATATGGGACATGGCCACTTCTGCAGAGACGGAGGATGTTCAAAGCACTAATGATGCAAATGATGACTACTTGGACCTCTCAAAGATCACATTCTCACATAATCCCAATATCGTGGCTACAATTTCACAAACAGGCCATATCAAAGTTTGGGATATATCTACCGATAGAGATGTAACTGAATTTATGAAAAAGGATCGTGTTAACAAAGTAAACTTTCCGCCAGACCCCAATCCTTCAAATGCAGACAACGGAGAGCAAAATGTCGAATCAGGGGACATAACTTCGGGGCCGCGAGGGACTGGATTTTGGGATTTTTCGGGGTATAAGCCATGCAATCATATCGCATTTTCGAATAATGGTGGATATTTCGCCGCAGTTACGGACGACATTACGATATGGAAGGCGTCAACAGGTGAAGTGATCTTCCAGTCTACAGTCTTTAACCGGGGTATCGCTGATATGGCATTCTCCAATAATGCACAGTACTTCAGCCTTTTATTAACAGACCGGAAACTGGTAGTGTGGGATATAACCACTGGTGACAACGTCATGTATGTCAAAGATCATATTTGCGAAGACGATGATGGCGAAGAATGGTGTTTTTGCGACTTCGTTGGACGCCCTTACCCCGGCGGTTATTCATCAGCCATCGCCATCTCCAACAATGGCAGGCAAGCGCTTGTTAGGAGTCCTTTTGGGAACGAGATCTGGATATCTACCATGGGAGAGAAAAAAACCAGGCTCATTCTCGGAATGAGCCTTACTTCATCAACTTTCGGATCTAGGGAATCGTATATTGGTACGGGGCTTGGTTTCATCAACATTAAGGACCTTCAGACTGGAGACGAGACACCGGACAGTTACAAAACCATAACCGAAGAGCAACTTCGTTTCGAAGGATACGGTTTCAGCCTCGATACGAGCTGGATTACTTGGAATGAGAAAAAGATTTTATGGCTGCCAGTCACCTATCGCCCCCTTTCTTTGGCCCATGATTCCATCAACATGTCTCATCTTGGCATCTCCATTTCCGCCGGTGCGAGTAGTGATATGGAGATCAGATTTTCCGGGCCACCCCCAGCATAGCCTTTTTATAAGGGAGAAAATTTATTGTACTGGTGGACAAAGTTGAGAGGAAGACACGGCGGCAATGACCCGTCGATTGTTTGTTGCGCGTACGTAGTTGAGGGAACGAGTGGCTCTAGTACGAAAGATGGTTTACACTTACTCGTGGATAAGGCAAACACGTGCACAAACTACAAAAGTAAATCTAAGGATGAATTTATGAGATAATTCGTTTCAAAGTATCCCAAGCAAAACGAAATACTTGTCCACAGTTTATGCCGTGACGAGGCTACAACATCACTTCTAGGTACCGTAATGACTGGTAGTGGGATTTGATTCGACAGCTTTAGCCGCCGAATCTCTCCTATAACATGCAGAGGGTAAAGTTAATTCCCGATTCCGTAATTGACGTCTATCATCGCTTCCTTGCATTTCCTACGTGGCTCTAATCTTCTATAGGAGGATCCTTTTCCATCAGGGCGGGATGGTACAGCGTGCTGTAGACGGCGAATGCGGGACTGGTGGAGTCGCAGCCGTATTTCACAGTCGCCAACTCATCGTCGCCGTCATCAGAAGGTCCCGGGCGGTTACAGGGGGTTTCGTTGGCGACCTTACGAGTACGTGTAAAATTTCTCGGCGAATTCCGGTTCGTCTCCATTGTCGTGTGGAATTCCACATGTTGAGTCCCGGTCATTGATATTATCCCAGGCTCTTTTTTTCTCAAGCTGTCGCAAGAGCTCTTCTAATTCGTCTCGAGCTTCTTCTCGCCAAGGTCACATGCAGACTCGGGGTTCGGCGGCAAATTGGCAGACGAAACGGTAAAATTGCTTGGGCTCTGTGTCCCAGTCCTATCTGGGTTTTGAGAGATGTATTCGCTTCTCTTTCACATGTCCTACTATTAATGAAGCATTACTGCTAATGTATCTGTCGATACTGTCGGTGAGAGTAGAGCCGCCTTTTGGGAAATAAAGACCTGAGTGAGCTGATGCAACTTGACTCCTTTCCTCGGCAAAGCCGTTCATCTTCATTATTTCTTCGCTTGGATTTAATAGAAGCGAATCGAACTGATCGTTGTCATAGACTTCAGGTACTCAATAGAATGTTGCAGTGATGGCTAAAGTGAGCCGACAGCACACCGTCGCTGCCCGACCGAATGCATGCTCCACTACTTTATACGTGGTGTAAGCCTGCACGACAGAGATCTTGGTTTTATTCACATATCACTTTCCAAGCTTATTACAACCCATTCCTATATGCAATGTATCGCAGAAAAACGCCGGGTTGAGTTTATACAAAATGGATAACTGTACTTTATACTCCGTGGGGTACTTTGGTTATATATACCTGAACGCGTCCAGATACCTTGGCGGTGCGATCTCATCCTTGAATCTACATCGTATATGGTGCGTCCCGCGTCGGTGATTTTCATGCTATTCGCATCACTGAATCCCAATTATGACATCAACATCGAACCCGCTGGTACGAGATTTGAACTATTTCGTCCTCTCCGCAGCGAATCCGGCCGCCATCCATCTTCTATCGGAAATCCAGTCCAAATCATCACCACCGACCCTCCATAGCGGTGAGGAGACAATTGGCTACCGCATATCCATCCCTTCTCACAACTCGCGTCAGGACGAAGCTTGCTACAAGTGGAGGGTTGGCGCCGGTCCCTCGCCAGCCATCGCCAAGATGGGGGATATTTTTGTCCCGGAAATTCTTCTCTGCCCGCAGGATACATCACAAACGCCAAGCTCAAAGACAGTTCGTGCATACATCAAGCACATTCACGCTGTTCTTTTCCTCCATCCACAGTCAGGAGCTCTAGTACTCAGATCACGGTCAAATAAACCCATTATCTACGAGCAAGGAGACATACACGATCAGGATGTAGAAATATGCGGGGGCCCAGACAGCAAAGTCAAGTCTTGCGTTCTACGGCGAAGGAAAAACTACCTTCAATTCGGCCCATATCGCTTCCTTCTCGAGTTTACCGTCAGCCATCAAGATCGAGGCAGATTCAGCAAAACCATCGACCGGTCTCTCCATCATCGCCATCATAAGCTCTTCAGCTTCATTCCTAGCACTGATATCGAAACTCTCTGGAACGTATGGCTGCATCGTAAAGTTCCGAATTCATCCTCACTACAGACCGGGGTTCACATTTACACCGGGCAGCCGGTAGCAGTAAAGACACTGCACAATAAAATCCGAGGGCGAAGATACATGATTGATCAGATTAAGCTTGCTTCTCGGTACAGAGACAAAGCAGATAACGGTATACTTGGCATACTCGACGTTTGGTGTGAGCACTGGACATCTCCTCCATGCTTGTTGAAGCCGAGTAGCGCAGTCATCCAATGTCGAACCACCTATTTCTCTATGCCTCTGGCTGAGCAGAATTTTCTCCATAAGCGCTGGAGAAAGCTAGACACTAACACACATCTCAAGTATTTATACCAAACTTTATGTGGATTGGCTGAACTCCATGGCCAAGGAATTGTTCACGGAAATATTCAGCCTGGATCATTGCTGATATATGAGCAACGAGCCTATGTATCTCTATGCATGCAACGACCAGACGCATACGACCCAAGCATCTGCGCTGCACCAGAGGTCTGGCTAGACAAGTACCGAGAACTGGATGAGACAAAACTGGACATCTGGGCACTTGCTATATCATGGCTCTTTACATGTTTAAGACCGCCGGCAGACCTTATGATAACACGACATTCTTATAAACATCTTCAGACGACTTTAAAGTCCCGAAGGGACAAGGGCCGTGTTTCAGAGCCGCTATTTGACCTACTGCAGGAAATGCTAGCCTGGGATCCCTGCAATCGTCCCAGTGCGATAGAGGCTCTTAACCACAAGGCATGGTTGCCTGTTTTACCACGAATAGCTCGAAAAGCAAGAGGGTCACGAACTCGAAGGTTGATACAGGCAGTGGAACGAAGAGAGCAGAGAGCCAAGGAGCTCTAACGTAATTATGTAGTCTCTTTCAACTTTCCTCTTGGAAATATAGGAGTTAATGGTTTAAAATATTACTGTACATACCTAGAATGCATATATTTGCAGCACGGCATGCATTCTTAGTCTCTTTGGGACGACACAGGTCACCCACGTCTCTAGCGCTGCCATTTGTGATGAGACGTGCAGATACAATCGTACAACTAAGACTTCTTAGTGCTACAGGGAATATTGATCAAGATTAAATCGTATGGATCTTGACTGTAACCGCTTGTCAGTATCGTTCCCAACGTAATCACTTGGCCAAGTCGATATGAAAGCCAGACATCTCACGTCTCCTACCCGGCAAGTATTCTTCTCGAAACAACCTGAAACCCAAATGTTGACTGTTGTATTAAATCTTTAGACCTAAATTATCGTAAGCACTTCATTTGATGTCTTTAATCAAAACATATGGTAATTCCTGGTATATTCACTCGGTGGGATATCGCGTTGCGTCTACCCATTGGGGTAATGAGATGTGCACCATCGCACCCAGTAGATGGCCTATTAAGTAGATGGCCTATTAAGCCCATCATGAGCTCCCCGCATTTATATAAGAAGAAAGGCATAAGGATCTTGTTTGCTAGATTTGGAAGAATTTTCAAGTGTGATTCATAATCTCCATCATCCATTATCTATCTTACTGAGGAATTAAGTGAGAGCAGCACCTCGCTTCAATCAGTGGAGCATCTTCATCTACAGACTCGATATAAAGCTTTACGTGAAGAGGCTGAGTGAAACCCGGTATCATTCACATTTTGACATACTCAGGTATGTTCATTAGTTCCCTTTAATAAAATTTTTCTCTCTTTATTGTATCTTTATTTCAATGAACCCTAAAGCCCTTCGTTGGGCACGTCTTTCGATCAATTTCATGAGGCACGAGTCTGCTTGATCTAAGAGCGGGTACGTACCACCACGCTAGCTCCGATTTAGGCCTCAGGCAGCACCATCGAATTGTGCCTGTCCAAAAACTTCAAGGTCCGTCAAGTCTACCCGCATTGCGATAGATTGGCCAATTATCCCACGATGCCCCCCCGGATACCATTTCCCAGCGCTTCGCTGTGCTGCAGAGCGACTCTCAGCACTCCCGCGACCTCATTGACCGCCTGTCTCGCCCGCCTCACCCTCCAGCAAACCCGCAATGCCTCGATCCTAGGCAGCCTGGCCAACAATCCTGGCGCTGTTCACAAGAAGAAGAGAGTCGGTCGCGGTCCCTCCTCAGGCCACGGAAAGACTTCCGGAAGGGGTCACAAGGGTCAGGGACAGCATGGCAAGGTGAAACCCTGGTTCCAGGGTGGTCAGACGCCATTGATTGTGAAGCACGGCAGAAAGGGCTTTGACAACTTGTGAGTCTCTGGGCGATGGCGGGGCAGGTGTTTTCTGCGCCCCCGCCATATGTCGAGATGAGAATATTGAAGCAATGCTAACTACCATCAGCCGGGCCCCTGAGATCTCCGAAGTGAACCTGGACCAGATCCAGAACTGGATCGACCAAGGCCGACTCGACCCCACGAAGCAAATCACGCCAAAGGAGCTGATCGAAAGCAAGCTGATTGGCAGCGTCAAGGATGGCGTAAAGATTCTCTCTCGCGGCGGCGAGAACCTCAAGCAACCAATCAACGTCATGGTTTCAAGGGTCTCCTCTGGAGCAATTGCCGCCATCGAGGCTGCTGGAGGCACGGTCCTTACCAGATATTACACAAAGCTAGCGATTCAGCGACTCTTGACGGGCGAGTCGGTCAACACAGACAAGCCACTACCCGTTGGCCCGGAGCATGTGGAAGGGATCCTAGCAGAGGCGAGAAAAGGCCCATTCCGATACAGATTGCCCGACCCTACAAGCCGTGCCGACATCGAGTATTACCGAGACCCAGCGCATAGAGGATACCTGAGCCACCAGATTGCTCCAGGCCAGTCGCCCAGTTTGTACTTTAAGGTACCTGGTGTGCAGAAGGTGAAGAGCGTGGTGAAGACAGACAAGAAGAAGGCAGAGGAGACATTGTGGTAAGGGAGGGAATGACGTGTCGTAAAGGATGATGGCTGTTGGTTTTGCAGTGCGTAGATGGGAATGGCGTGTATAAAAATAAAAAGGTTTGGCAGAGGAGGATGGGAGTATGATATGAAATGTACAATATATGATGATTAAAGTAGTATATTCGTCCAGTGTTCTATAAAGTGCTAGAATCTCTAAACTACTATACATACTACGATGCACACTATCGACATGATATGCTCTTGGGCGGCCTACCTTGGTAGCTATGAACAGAATCTCCAATGTCTTAGTAGCATGGATACATTGATCTTTTTTTATCCCCAGCATCTTCAAGAGGTGGCCTATCGCAGTCGCTTATCTGCTCCACCAAATCCCCGGCAAAGCACTGACAATATCGGTGTCATCGACTCCATGGAAGTACATGTAGGTAATCAGGGAGCTTCTGACATGTGCCAGCCATGCTCAAGGTCTCACCGTCTCACGTGTAGTGCAGCAATACTGTAGCAATTGCTTTTTGTCTTCTTCTTCTCCCATTTATTCTTTTAATTTGCCCAATTTGTCAATCTTGTTACTCTATATCAGCTTTTTCCATTCCAATCTACAGCAACCCCCCATGCCAACTGTCTCACAGCGCTATTCAACGCCCCTATAGCCAACAGGAATCGCCGCTGAGCGCACAGTGACCGCCTTAGTCCAACCTTCTAGCGCCGCCATTACGAGTTCGTCAACACTAAGCCAACTTGATACTGCGACTGACAACCAACCCAACCTCGCCTCCTCCAGACTCTTTGCATCAACCCCGCGGCCGCAGCAGATCTTCGCCCTTCTTTTGCTCTCCTTCTGCCGTATTCCCCCTTGTCTCCCCTTCGTCACGAGTTGCACAAGAGCTCCAGCGAATCGATCACCGGCGCCCGGCCACCACAGCATGTCGCTCTTTGGGGATGAGCCCACCGACAATGGGCCAGCTTTGGGCTCGTCGCCTCGTCGCGGAGGAGCCCGAAGCAGCGGCCTTTTCGAGGACGAGCCAGCGTCAGGCCGCAATTCCTCCAGCCTCTTCGACGACGGCAGCGGCGCCTCGTCGCCCTGGGACATGCCCACGCCGCGCAAGCAGCAGAGCAGGGCCGAGCTGATCCGCAACCTGCTGCCGGCTTCGGACGTGCCCGAGAGCTATATCGAGACCTTCGATGCCGTAGTGCGTGAGGACGGCCAAGATGGCCAGGTTACAGCTTCGGGCATTGCCAAGCTGTTTGCCGTGGCCCGCCTCGAGGCCGATGCTCAGGCGCGCATCATGTCGCTGGTAGCTCCAGGAGGGTCCGATGTGCTATTGTCGCGCAACGAGTTCAACGTCGTTCTGGCCCTCATTGGCCTGGCGCAAGAAGGCGACATCATTAGCCTTGATGGAGTAGATGAGCGGCGAAAAGGTGAGGCAACACCCATTGATACATATTTCCCACTTGCTCTTTTCTTTGCCTGGTTGGGGGCCGTCATGTCAGACGCGAATACACGGCTGCGGGCTACTCTTACAAGTCCGCTTTGGCAACTCCGCTCTCAACTCTGAATCAGTCGCAAACGCTGCTTGGGCGAAAAGAGACCAATTTGCTACTACCAACTGATTCTATGCAAATTCTACAATGACGATAGCTTCTTGAGACGGTTTTTTTGTTATCAATACTGGGGCAGCTGGCTAATTTTTCATCATCTCGTTTAGATATCCCTCGGCCCAAGCTGCCCGGACTGACCGCCGAACCGATTATGCCTCCTGTCGCTGAGCTTGCTGCAAAGCCGCCACAAGTCCCATCCAAACACGAATCCGACCCCGACCCCGAGTCCGACAACCCCGAGCCTCTGCCCCAGTTCCAACCTCAACCTCAGCTTCATCCACCATCTCAGCCCGAACCTGAACATTCACAGGCCCCTGCAAGCATCCTGAGCAGATCAACCATGGTTGACCCCGACGACGATCCGTGGAACACGCCAGACATGCACAAGGGTCATTCTCATCAAAATGGAAACGAAAGCCACAATCCCGCCATCAATGGACACAATAACGGCTTCAACCCGGATGCGCCTCCAGCCTTCGATCCACGCCCCACGAACCATTACAGTGCTCCGCCAGAGCCAATCCGCCCTCCTAACCGCCCACGACAAATTTCGAGTACCTCTCTGTCCGGTCAGGGCGGATGGGGGGCTGGATTCTACGGCAGCTCGCCCGCCGGTGGTGGCTTTACCGATATACACCAACCTCAACCTCAACCGCCCATCCCAAACATCTTTGGAGCTCAACCTCAGCCTCCCATCCCCAACATCTTTGGAGCGGACGGTGCTGGTCAGATTGGAGCAATCGTCCCACCTCCCGTTGCTCCATCCCGGAGCTTGGGAGGCCGTGTCGGAAACAATACGGAGGAAGTCGTCGTTGTTACTCTCATGCCTGGCAAGGAGGGCATATTCATGTTTCAGCATCACAACTACGAAGTCACCAGCCAGCGGCGCGGGAGCAAGGTTGTTCGACGATATAGCGACTTTGTCTGGCTGTTGGACTGCTTGCACAAGAGGTATCCGTTTAGAATGCTGCCATTATTGCCACCCAAGAGGGTAGCCGTGAATGGAAACCACCTATCCAACGATGGCGCCTTTATCGAAAAACGACGACGAGGGCTGGGTAGGTTCCTAAATGCCATTGTACGACACCCAGTGTTGAGCCTAGAGCAGCTCGTAATCATGTTCTTGACTGTCCCTACGGTAAGTCGTGTAGCCTCCATTTTGGCACGATGGAGGGACCAATTATTTAACATAGATACAGGAACTTGCTGTGTGGCGGAAGCAAGCAACTATTTCTGTCCAAGATGAATTCACGGACCGAGCACTGCCTCCCGGCCTAGAAGATTCACTGCCACCAACCCTCGAGGACCTCTTTATTCGAACGCGCAATGGAGTTCGCCGATCTGCCGAGCTATACATCAACTCGTGCAACATCATGGACCGCCTCGTCAAGCGGACTGAGGGCGTCGCCGCTGATCATGCGCGGGTTGCCCTGTCGCTCATTTCGCTCACCGAGGTCTCTGCGGATACTTATGCTACCGATACGAGCGAGATTCCGCTGCTCAACGACGGTTTGACAGCCATGAGCAAGCATCTGCGGACCTGCCAAAGCTTACTCGAAGACGAGAGCCGAGGCTGGGATGAAGGTGTGCTAGAGGATCTGAAGCGACAGCGTGATGCTCTGGTTAGCCTTCGCGAGCTGTTTGACCGAAGGGAGCGACTGGACAAGGACAACATTCCGTACTTGGAAAGGAGGATACAGGCCAACGAGACTAAACTGGCCAACTTGCGGTCTAAGCCAGAAGGCCTAGTCAAGCCCGGGGAGATTGAAAAGGTGGCAGAGGCCATCATTAAGGTGCGTTGATTGTTCACACTTAATTGTTTTTATAGGCGAACGCTAACGCTTTAACAACAGGACAAGGAGTCTATAGTGCAGCAGCACAACCGCTCCATCTTTGTCAAGGAAGCTTTGCGAGACGAGCTCATTGCCTTCCAGTCGACGCAGTACCACGTCAGCAGGTGGAATCAGGACTGGGCTGGCGAGCGCGTCAAGTATGCAGAGATGCTGGCCGACAATTGGCGGCGCCTGTTGGATGCTCTAGAGGGCATGCCGCTGGGCGACTAAACTTGACGAATGCGATCTGGGGGAATGGGGACGAGCGATGAGTGTATATATGTGTCCATGCATGATGTAGGATAATGAGAGGGGGGGAGCAGCGATGCAAAGAAAGGTTCATGTTGGAGTGATTGAGCGGTTTCGAGAAAGCAGCAGTCGAGGCACGATACCCTTGATTTCTTTTTTCATTTTTTTTTCTCCTTTTTGCCTGTCTTTTTGTCATATACGAGTTTGAAGACTGAGGTTCATTTTTCTTTACAATGAGATGGAAGCGATGTGGAGACTATTCAGAATGGTTCAAGAGGTCGAAATAAGCTGTGAGAGCTTGTTCAATAAAGGGCCATCGATGCAGATGACTCAACGGCAGATGTCGCATGGCAAGAATGGTCAGGTGTGTTGATCGGGTATTGCATGGTTATATAGCGGTTTGACTTCTGTAATGCTGCTTCCTGATGATGGCATCCCATTCCTCACAGTCCTCATCCTTTATAAACCACGACAAGAGAAATTCATCACCATCCTGCTTGAACATACATCATGCATCACATCGAGACAGAGTGCACCTTTACGATTTATCATTGTATTCATTCCATCATGAGAGAACCGACAAACAGCATCTTCACCATCCATCCGTCACAGCTCCGTGACTCGCATCTCCCACCAACCTCGCATACTTTGCCAACGTTCCTCTCTTGACCGGCGGCGCCGGCGGCGTCCACAACTTCCTCCTCTCCTCCATCTCCTCATCCGAAATCGCAACATCGATTCTATTGCTGACAGCATCAATCGTCACTTCATCCCCATCCTTGACCAACGCAATCGGTCCTCCCACCGCCGCCTCGGGAACAACGTGGCCCACGATGAACCCGTGCGAAGCACCGCTATACCGTCCATCCGTCACGAGCGCAACGTTGCTCAATCCCGCGCCCATGATGATCGCCGACGCACGCAGCTGCTCAGGCATGCCCGGCCCGCCTTTTGGTCCTTCGTACCGCACAATGAGCACGAGGTTGCCGTCCTCGCGACGGATCTTGCCCGCCAGCAGCGCGGCGTCGAGTTCATGCTCCTTGTTGAAGACGCGGGCTTTGCCGGTGAACGAGAGGCCTTCCTTACCCGTGATTTTAGCGACGGCGCCGCCGGGCGCAAAGTTTCCCTTGAGGATGCGGATGTGGCCGCTGGACTTGATGGGGTCGTCTAGGGGGCGGATGATTTTCTGGCCGGGGTCGAGGGAGGGCCAGTCGGCGACGTTGTCGGCGAGGGTCTTGCCCGTGACGGTCATGATGGATCCGTCAATGAGGCCTGCCGCGATGAGCATCTTGAGCACTGACGGTGTTCCGCCAACTTGGTACAGGTCCTCCATGAGATACTTTCCGCTAGGCGCAATGTCAGCCAGGAAGGGTGTGCGGTCGCTGGTGCGCTGGACGTCGTCGATGGTCAGGGGCACGTCGGCGCTGTTGGCCATGGCGAGGAAATGCAGCACGCCGTTTGTCGAGCCGCCGAGGATCATGGTCAGCACGAGGGCGTTTTCAAAGGCCGCGCGCGTCATGAGGTCGCGGGGACGAATGTCCTTCTCCATGGTGATCTTGATGACCTCTGCGGCACGCTCGCACTCTCGCGACTTCTCTGGCGAAACAGCTGGATATGAGGATGAGCCGGGTAGTGTCAGGCCCATGGCTTCAATGGCAGTGGCCATGGTGTTGGCAGTGTACATGCCACCACAAGCTCCAGCGCCGGGACAAGCATGACGTTCAATATCGTCCATGACGTCGGAGCTGGTGCGTCCAGGAGCATCGGGGTTGGTCTTGGCCTTGAGTGAGCCGTAGGCATAAGCACCGGAAGCTTCGTAGCAGCTCGAGATGTTGATTTGTCTCTCCAGCAGGTTGGAGTGGCCCTTGCGAATAGTTCCTCCGTAGATCATGATGAACGGTCTGTTGTGGCGGGCAGCAGCCATGACTACGCCGGGCATATTCTTATCACATCCCGGAATCGAGATATTCGCATCGTGGTGCTGGGCACAAGTAACAGATTCGATGGAGTCGGCAATAATCTCGCGGGACTGAAGGGAGAATCGCATGCCTAAAGGGGGGCGAGTTTAATCGAAGCTGTTAGAGTTGTGTATCTTTCATATCCAAGATTGGAGGGGATGGGTGCAAGATGAGAAACTAACCGTCGCCGCCCATGGTGATGGCGTCGGAAACACCAATGGTGTTGAATTGCCAGCCGAGCATGCCCTGCTTATCGACGGCTCGCTTGACGATTTGGCCGAACTCGAGCACTGCGGTTTACGTATAAGTTGGATTGCTTCGTCTTTTTTGGTGATGCCCAAACGTGCGGTCGATTGTCTCGTCACTTACAATGTGTGCTACAACAACCTCGTTAGCTCTGATATTCCACCAAAAATCAATACGCCTTTCATAGGAGATGCCTCGCAACGTACTTGCATGGATTTCCCTCCCACCAAACACTCGCAATGCCAACCTGTGGCGCATTCTTCATCTTCTCCTTGTCCGGCACTCCAGCACCGTACAACATGGCCTAATTGCAGCCCATATCAGCCCACGCTCCCATCTGCTTCCAGGAATCTCTTGCCTGTGCTCCAGGATAGTCATGGTCCTTTGTAATCTTTCGCGACCAGCGATTCAACGCTCCCCCGGGGGGAAGACACGGAAACTGGAGGTAGTCCGCAGAGGACTTTGGGTCGAATGCCGGCTCGGAAGCTTGTGACGCCATTGTGTTCAATTGCTATACTTCTTCGTTAAATCGTCAATAACACTCTCATATAAGCCTCCACTAGGGAAAAAAAAAAAAAGAGAGCTATGCGGGAGCTTTGCTTTTATATGAATGGGCTTTGGAGGGGAAAGCAACAGCTCACTTTCTCCCCTCCCCCACTAAATGAAGCTCGGTACTTGGCATCATTGAGCGTCCCAGTACTGTAGCTTCGGGCCATCGTGGAGCGATTCCGGAGGGACCCAGACTAAGCTTGTTTGCCCCTCATCTCCTCCATCAAGTTCCCAGACGGCCAGTGACGGCTGAGTCGGGAGGTCCAAGGACGGTCGTGAAGGTGTAACAAGCTTCATACACGAACACAGGAAGACAAGCAAAGAGACACTCAACCACTTACCAATTCAACTCTCAACGGATCAATCTCACAGCCCAAACAGCTATACACCTTCAAAAAAAAAACAGAAAAACAAAAACAAAAGAAACCATCCAACTCCTCTCCAGTTCTGCCTCCATCTCCATCTCCAGCTTTCCCGGTTCTCCACTCCCCCTCCGCACCCCTCCGTCATCGTTGCCAAATTCTCAGTCTACCGTGCTAAGCATTAGTTATTTGCTGCCCTACTTTTCAAACTCAGCCTAATATTGCCCATCCCAATTTATTCTCCTCGGGACCCTTTTTTGCGGGGAGCTTCCGAACGTCGAATCGCGTTGCGGGTTTTACTCACCCACGTTGGTTGTTTACGTACGCAGACTGCTTCGTTCTTTAGAGCTGTTTTATTGGACGGGTACTTGTTCTGCCGATGGAATGGGGTTTATACGAGGTCGCCAAGAGCGATAGGAGAATATTCACAATTGAAGCTCTACATTTTGTTCAATTTTTTAAGCTTAATGGAGATTGCTCGAGTCAGTTGAACTTTTCAATTCAGGCTGATAACTGCTAGTAAGTGGTAACTTTTTCCATTGCACTATTGGCAATCCAGATACATGGGCCCTATTATATCCTCCTCAAACTTCACCGTCACCTCAAACTCTCCCCCGTTTCAGTCAACCCAAACCAAACGAACCCCAAAGAAAGAGAACGAAGAAAGAAAAAGAACATGGGACACATCCTGCAAAATTACAAAACATATGCCCTATTTCAGAAACGCCCACTAAGCAAACTCTAATGTACCCGAACCATCATCTCCAAGCTAGAGAGAAGGGTATTGAAAAAAAAGGGTTCAAAAAAAAAAAGAGCAGATTTCGGTCAATTCCACACCGAAATCCGCTAATTCCTATGCCAAGGAATAAGAGCCAAACACCAAACATATTTCCCATTTCCCAATAAAAGCAGGTCTACAAAAGAAAAAGGTTATATATTCAAAATGTTTCTTTACCATTGACCAGGGGGAGTAGCAGGAGCATTCGTCCCCAGAATAGACGCAATGCTCGTCCTGTCCGCGCTACTATCCCGCCTCAACTCAACTTTGGGACTTGTCGCGGGTGTGGGAGGCATAGCGGGCTGTGCTACTCTCTGGTTGAGCTTCCACGCCGTCTCCAACATGTCAGGCGACGCGTTCAGGCCGTAATCTCTAGCCACTGCGTCCCAGAAAGTAGCTCGGTGGGTATTGTATATGGCGTGAAGACGAGAGACGTCGACACGGGCGGGAGGCTGCGTCGCGGTGGACGGCAGGGAGAAACCTCCGTGCATCTCATGGTGTTGAGTGGCATGAGGATGAGGTTCCATATAGACTAGATCCTCGCGGTATCGGGGTACAGATTGTGAATTTGGATCAGGCATGGCCGCGGGCTTGGGCAAGATGATGGGTAGTTGGGGAAATGCCCAGTTGTCGACGATGCTAGGGAGCTGGACTGAGCCGCCCGACGACGTCGAGCTGTAGCTCTCGTTCCTCCTGTGCATCGAGACGTGCTCGGTCGGCAGCTGTGAAGCCGGAGGGAGAACCGGGGGAGCAGCCAAGAGGGAACCCTGGACAGCCATCTCAGGAGAAGACTCTGAGATGGACTCCTTCCGTCGACCGGTGGTGATCTGATGATAGTGCAGCCGACATGCGAGCTCCGTCTTATTAAGGTGGACGGCAATCTGCTTGTAAGGTACTTTTTGAAGGCGAGTCTCAACGAGGTAATGCTCCTAGTGAAGTCTTCATGTTAGTCTCATCTCATCGCCCAACATCCATCACCATCAACTCATAGTAGTCCTTGACCTACCTCAGCCTCGCTCCATGCACGTCCTCCGCCAGTGTGGGTTGCCTTCCGATTCTTGGTTACACCCTGTCCCATCCGTTGGGCGGTACCGCTCTTTGTGATATAACCCGGTCCCGTCATTATGTATATCGGTGTGTGTGATGTCTCTTGGGGGTATCTTTCTTTTTTGTATTAAGTCCACGCTGCTTATTAAGGCGCTTCGGTAAACCAGGCCAATGTGTTTTGTTGTTGAATGATACGCTCGAATGAATTGATTCCGCTATGCAAAGATGATGGTTGTAGGATATGAGTATGAATGAGTATGAGCGTCGCCAAACCAGTTGGGGGGGGGAAAGTGAGTCAAGTGAGCCAGCCACAAGAGTAAAAAACAGGATTATTAAAATAAGAAGGAGAAGAAGAAGAAAGAAAAAAAAGGGGGTTGAAAAACAATCGACGATCCAAACGAGGAAAGACAACAGGAATATACTCCAGAAGAAGAGAAAAACACAAGTCCAGAGGTCGAGGTGGCAGACGGACGCATGGGCAGTGAGCAAGTATTAAAACATGCTCATCTCAATCATACTAAACCTGCGCACGAACGGGCTGCAATCTAGCAATGACCCGGGTTAGCCTCCTCTTTGTGTCCCCACGAAACCTGGCGATATCCATTATCTGGGCGCGCCAGGGGTCCCCCATCCCTCCTCCCCCCCTGGCCCGGCTTTCTTGTGAGATCGCAGAGTAACCTGTGACACTTTCGTAACAGCATGTCGACATAAGCATAACGTTCTGGCCTCTTGTTTTCTCATGCGGGCCCCGTCAGGACGGCACCAAGAAACACATTTCAAACAATTTATGCAGTCTCGTCTAGTGCCAAGGGCTAGTGAGGTTTTGCTTGTTTGAGACCTTCATCTTGTTCCGATTTTGTGTGGGGTGGCGCCTGTCTGTCGTAGGGATACAGGATGCTGCAGTTATGCGGAAATAAAGTGAACTGACAGCTTGGCTCGATTGCCGCGTTGACAGGCCTCGTCATTCTCCTTCGATCGTTTTCTCTTCTTTTCTTTTCACTTCTTTGAGCATCTATCCTGGTGGCGCATTGAAAAAGTTAGACTCTCTCATATCTATACAAACTCCAAGATGATGCCCTCGTGCTCTCCAGCCCTACCTCTACACCCCATCAAACGCACGACAACAAACTCAAGATACTGGCCTGCCTCTAAGGCCCCCCGATGGCTGCTCCCGAACCAATCAAACAGCGGCAGTTATCTCGTTCTCCGCATCGCAAGCGATCATGATGCAAGGAGCAGAGGCGTCGCCGTTTGAAGCCTGTTTCCATTCTTGAAACAAGGAGGCTGTTGTTCTCGTCCAGCTAAGCGACGCCCAGCAAAAAGCCAACGGGGCCGCCCCTTGCCCGGCTTCTCCAGCAAATGGACCCGCGGCTTGTTTTATGGAGTAATGGGAAAAAAGAATAGAAAATTAAAAAGGCGGATAAAATTCTCCGTTGCGGGCTGCATCTGAATTTGGCAATATGGATCCTATAGAAGGAAACGCCATGTCGCGTAACATGGTAAAGAAGGGAAAACAGTGGAAGCCGCAGTGTAAGTGGCTTGTTGACAGAAGCATCAAATATCGCACACAATTCAACTCACCCAAACTCGTAAACACAACCCCATCGATCACAAGTTCAACCAAAACACACAACACCCGAAAACAACCAACCCTTTAGCAAAAAGACGAAACGAAACGAACAAACACGGAGCCTCAGGTCTTCGGATGTCGTCCTGTTCCGGTAGCCGCCATGCCTCAGATGGGCGGCCGGGCATCATGCAGCCGCGTTTCAACCCTGCGCTTCGAAACACGCTAGAGGCGACTGGCGAAACCCTCGCATGAAGGCGCCTCTCTTTTTATCTTTCGTTTCACGTCATTTCGCCTGTGTTGTTTTCTTCCATCCTTTGAGGCGCGCATGAATTTTGAGGCGAGAGAAGGACAAGACGAAAAAGTCAAAAGATGGGCGGGAAACAAGGTTGAAAACACACCTGGGGCCAGCCACTCAGACGGAGAGCCGTCGTCCCGGCGCAGGAGTGACGATGGTGGCAAGGGCATGTATGTGTTTTGTCTGTGGCGATTAAAAACACCAAGATAGTGGCTGTCCTCAATGCTGATATGCTCACATATCTCACATGCAGTTATCAATCAAAACCCCCATCCGGCGGGTGGGCGTCGAGCCGTGTCTCCGAGGCACAGGCATGCTAATGTATGATACTCGTATGTATGTATGTGTAGCCGCTGCCGATGCTTGCAGTATGCATGTATGTTTGTATCAAGGCATATCAATGCAGCGTTTCCAAGTTTTTTACCTTGTCTCTCTCTTCTGTCTGCCTGTCCGTCTGTGTGTCTGTCCCGCCTGTTCCTCATCTCGTGAGACCTGCTTCCCGCCAATGGCCAGACAAAATGCAGCCCAACGCGGGCACAGTCGGGAGACGCTCATTTCGATTCATGGCCATCCCAGGCGCCTCTGCCTCTCTAGGGATTCTCCGGTTGGCTAACCAAAGCATTCGCCCGGGAATCGTATGACATGCCGTTCGATCGGCGAAAAGAAATATTGAGAATTTTTAAAAGTTATTTTCTCTCTGCCTAGACATGATAAGGAGAATTGCCAGGCAATGTCCAATCACATAATTATCCATGGCTTTTCTTTTCTCTTCTTTCTCTTCCCTTTTCGCCTTCTTTTCCGCCGGATGACGCATCATTTTGGCTCAAATTGGATCGCAACTCTAGATTTGCATGTGGAGAGCCGAGAAAGGCTCCCTCTCACTAAGACATTCACTTCCCATTTGATTCTACGCCACTTCCCCGATAAAGATGGCATCATTTAGTACACATCCAAAAAGAATACAATCTGAATCAGATAGAGACATGCCGACGAGGTATTTGCGTAGTCGATAGGGGCTCGCATTTGCTTGTAGGCCGCCCGTGAAGAGTCTGGATGTCCCTATCGCTTCACCCTCAATGTGATATATCACACAGCTCGCCTGCTGTCATTTTAGCCTCTTGCCGCCTAATGGGAGCTCCTCTGCTCACATTTCGATTTGATTTGACGTGCGACTACGTGAGCAATCTGCATGTCTTTCATTAAATGTCCATTACCGGGTAATTGCACGTGTGCTCTTTCGCAAATTTGGCACCCGGGCGTGGACACATTCCTCTCCTCGGTACAGTGGAAATGACTCGGTGACGGTGGCTGTGTCGATTCCTCTCACCTCCGGATAGGGTAGATGGATTGGCCTCTGTGAGCCGCCTCGTCATCTCATCCCTTGCCTTGTTCATAACGCGTGCGTGCCTTAATATAGAGCACGAGCAGCAAAGATGAGCGCTGAAAGGCTCCCAATTCCTGTTGCTTGGCTTACCCTGCACTGTAATGGGCACCGAGGACGAAGAGAAAACGGCAGCTCGTATCCATCCTCGAGCATCTGTTGGGCCTATCTCACAATCCTATGCTGCCCGTAATGGCAGCTGAGGCGAATTGGCCGGGTAAATTGACCCCCAACGATGATAGGTATCCAACAGCCTACAGGTGATTGTATGTACGATATGATCAATAGTAAGCCTGAAGTGGTGTTAAAAAGAGATCCATTAATGAAATGCAATGGCACACACCGCCCACCCCTGGGCAGATATCGCATACACATTTACACTGTACGCAGCTCGTCTCTGGCAATAAAGCGGAGGTTGGGAGCGAGATCATCTCAGCACGCCTTTATTCTGCAGGTTATCAAGCAAAGCTGCTGGTGAGTGGTACAAAGGTCCGACTCCATGGCGAGTTTCTCCATGCGTAGTAACGAGAGCTTCTGTCGTCGAAAACACTAGAGCGAATCGGATTATATTCCAATGCAACAGTGGCCACATTAAATGCCAAAAAATGGCATCCTCCACAGGTACAATGTTTGCAAGTCACCCAGGCCGTCAAAGAGGTCCCAGAACGCTGGATCTGGACAAGCCATGTAATGTATACATGTAATGTACAGTACAAGGTGGAGCCGCGATGCGATGCGGCCCTAGCCTCGAAGCTCAGCAAAGGTATCGAGTACTTGGCGGCGAGGTATGCGATAGACATGCACAGAGTGTCAGAGTACATGATGCTTGCTTTGCACTTGTGCCATGGCATGGCGATTTGCAGTTCGCGCGAGGGAGGTTGCAGGGGGGGAGAGAATTGGAGAGGTTCTGGAAGGACGGGAGCACAAGGTGCATGATGTTCTGGTGATGTGGTTGCTGTTGTTGCGTGCTGTGCTGTGCTGTGATTTGGTGCAACTGAACTGACGATGCCGGCCATATGCCACGGTGCTGGGCATCGAGAAGAGGCAGAAGAGGCAGACAGACGGTGCTCGATAAGGCTGGCTGGCCTCTCTCCTCTCTGTTCCCTGTCTGTTCCCTCTTCTCCCGTCCTCTCCCGGGTTCCCCAGAGAACAAACGAGGCCGTGGCGTATCACCAGCCAGCGCTGCTCGACGCTTGTTGACGCACGGCATGGCATTTCACGCATGGCCAGGCTCTTCTCAGGCCGCCATGAAGCACACACACATGTCATGTCCATCCCCGCTTTTCCCGGGCCTGTCTAAGATGAGATTCGTGTCATTCGACAGGGAATGCCTTGGCCGCCTAAGCGAGCGGTGGGAATAGGCAATACTGCTAATACTTGTCGAGCTGTGACTGTGGCTGTAAGTAGGTCGATACGAAATTAACCCTCAGGAAAAGACAGAGAGAATGAGAGAGATAGATTGGCGTCGACGATCCCCGTGGCCGGTTGCGTCATCCGCTAGAAGAAATGAGGCGAACAAGAAAAAAAGAAGCTCGAGAGAAGAAGCAGATGAAAGAGAGTGCGATTGTCGTGCCTGTCTATCGCTGCCGAATACGAAAGCCGTGATCAGCGTTGGGCTGAGCCTTTGGGCCACTTTGGCGGATGCTGGTGGCAGCAAGATAACTTTTGCCCTCTTTCGCCCTCTCAGCGCCAATTGAACTTGCTCAAGGCGCAAGAGTGTCTGTCTGCAGCGAGTACGGAGCTGTGATTGATGGCTGGTCTGCATTGTTTCTGTTTCTGCTACTGCAAGGCAATCAATTGGTGCTACCGCCAGCGAAACGACGAGACCCGAAGGCGATGCGCGATGCGATTGCGATCCAATGCGATTTGATGCGATGCGATACGATGCGCTACTCTGGTGGCAGGTACCGCATACCTGCTGCACCCGCCCGCCTTGCGAGCTTGTCCTCGTACTCCCGGGCTTGTACCGCTTGTACCTCCAGACTGGTCTCGTACCCCCGTTGCACTCACACTTCACCTCACGAACGCCTCCAGCTCGCGCAAGTACCTGTACCTTGTACTCGCGCTGCTGGCCCGCCCATTGGCCCGCAGCCAAGGCACGGCGAAATGAGTGGCTGGTGCAGGAAGGCGCGCGAGCAATCGGAAGGCCAACGCGAGAGCGGATTGCGGGTGCTGATTGGCTGCGGTCGGAGCCCCAGCAGTTCCCAGCCGTTGTCTCTGGCTTCATTTCTTTTTATCGGAAGCTGCTCACCGGAGGCACGAGTACAAAGTACGTACATGGACTAATGCAAGTGCTGTATCAGTACCAGTACCCGTCGCAGTACCAGTACAAGCACCAGCACCGGTACGCGACTGAGCCCGGAGCTCCGTCCGTGGTTTTGAGTGCCCGTGCCTGTTCTTTAATGCCTGTATCTCTCTATCTCCATCTCTATCAATATACTCGTAATAACGTCAACAGTACAGGGGCTACGGAGCAGAGCCCCCGCGTCGTCTGTCTGTCCTTGCGGAAGGCACGGTAACCGTACTGCCACTGTACGAGCTGCCTGAAGGATCCATGGGAAGAACCGGCAGGGCAAAAGGTTCATCACGGAGCCTTGCTGTGTGCGTTGCGTGGACACGCCTCAAGGTAGTGGTACTAAGCACCGCTAGCGCTGGCCCGTGCGCCGCCCAACCTGCTGCGGTCTCCCGTTACGCACGGTGCGACGACGCTCGACACTCGAAACCGGACACTATGCGCTGTACGACACCACGGCATGCATCGCACAGTGCATCTATGCGTCACGAACCGTCCCTCGCACGGTCACGCCCCTCTGCGCCCCGGCCTCGATGGCGCCACTCGAGGTGGTGTATCAGTACCCCGCCCAGCCCCCAACTTTGCGTGCGCCAAAAGTATCGGATCCAGGCATCACTACACGCCCCCCTCTAAGTTCTCTTCTCTGCTGCGCCCCACCCTTCCTGCCGCCAAGCTTTTCCCGTGCCCTCGTCACTGATCCTGGCCGCTTGCCTCCCTCCCACTTGCCCAGGTCGCGCAACTTCTCTCTCCCCTTCCCCCTTCCCCCAAAAAAGACCCAGCACCAGCAGAGCAGGCCAAAACATCTACCTCGTCCCCCAGAAAAAAAAAACCCAACCGAGTTACTTGGGCTCCAAGTACTCACATCAACGCTTCCACCCCCGAAGCGCCTGGCGACTCGACCTGGCCATTTCCATCGCACGCTTCTGCAACGGTGCTCCACTGGCCTTCAGCTTTCAGCTTCAAACGTCCTGCAGAGGCCCGACCATCGCAGCGCATCGCATCGCATCGCCTCGCATCGTGTGCCCCGAGTAACGAGCGAGTACGTGCCGTGCTCAATCAACTTTGCGTGCCGTCCGTCTTCGCGCCCCGGCCCAGCAAAAAAAAAAAAAAAAACACTCTGCGCAGCCCGCCGAACACGCTACGCTACTTACTCCAACGCATCCAATCCAATCCAGTACACGCTACTGTACCATCTGGCCTCACCTCACCTCAACCCGCTTCAACCACTCGCAGCTCACCCTGGCCGATCCGCGTGCTTTCAGACTCTCCGGAGTACCGACCAGTACCACTGCATCCGTCGGCCTGCGCCAACCAGCTCTCGTACGTGCTTTCTTGCTTCTGCTTCTGCTTCTGCTTTGCTTGCTCTACTGCGTTCTGCTCCTCCCATTTGTTCGTTCTCTCTCAACTTGACTCAGTCGGGTCAAGCCAAGCAAAACCAACAGCTTCGACACCCAAGCACGGCTGAGCCTTGTCAGCACTGCACTGCAACTCCCTCACCCACTCAACTTTTGCTCGTCCGTTATTCCCAACCCAATTAATCCCTCTTGCTCTCAATTCGCCGTCCGCACCCGTCACAATAGTAACCCAAGCCCACCGTCGCCTCGGCTTCGGATCTGCCCCCCTAGCCAACGCTTTTTCTCTCCCCACCACCACTGCCACAGCCAACTTACCACTGTTTTACACAATCCCATCAGTCCACCAACCCGCGCGCGTCAAGTCTCGGCTTGGCTAGTTTTTTTTTTTGTATCTTTTTTTTTTCCTGTCCCTCACCTCTTATTAGGAGGCTCTTCAACCACACCCCCAAAAAGAAACCCACGGCCTTTTCGGTGCCACTGCGGTTACAAGTACTTGTTGATCCAAGTGGTCTTGCACTACTTTGCCGAATTGTGCAACCTGACCCTTTCGGCCCCCAGCTTTGCTCCTTTGGTTGTTCGACCAAGGAAAAAAAAGCCGAGCCAGACTTGTTCCAGTCGGATGCGCTTTAGGCAACATTGACATACATTGCCTCGCCCGTAAGGACATTCTCTTTCTCCCCCCCCCCTTGCTCCCTCTCGCCGGGCATCCTCACCTTGTGCCTTCGCAACGTCAATCCGTGGTAGCCAAGTTGTCGACGACACTCGTCGGGGATGCTCGTGTGTTCCCATTGTTGATGCTGCGCCTGTACTCAAGCTTCAAGCTGCGTCGCGTCGTTCCGTTGCAGCCATTGTTGGGAGCTTGACCTTACGCGTGCGCTGCGCGTAAGCTCTCTTTGAGCAAACAACCCCTCTCTTTTGATTTTTCTCCCCTTCTGTTTTTCTTGTGTTTTTATTTTTTTTTCTCCTTGGTCCCTTTTCCGGTTGCTGTGCTGCAAGTCGACAGCCTTGCCGGCTCTTGGACGCGCCGCGTGCAACTAGGGCTTGAAGGGAAAAAGAAAGAAAAAAACGCGCGGTTCCTCTCTTGCTGCATCTTGAAATTCTTCTTTGATTCTATCGACAAGCTTATTTAAAAAAAGAGACGAAATCGTTACTGACCTTTATTCGCGTGCGCTATCATCAGATCATGCAGCAGTGGCAAGTCGGCCCCGTGCCGGACTACGTCTACTCCAACTCCCCCCACCCGTCCAACGACATGCAGTAAGTACTCGATCTCCTTGTTCCTGGTACATCGTCTTTCCACCATCTACACCAGGGCCCTCTGTTGTCCGTCACATTGTGCCTCCATCGACCACCAGCCATGTATTCAATGTATATCGTTTGAACTTTCTTTTTTACCCGTTTCTTATTTTTACACCTCTACCCCGTCATGGCATCACCGGCTGGGAGACAAACGAACGCTGTATCACCGTCTGCCTCCTGTTGATACCTTCTATAACTTCGCCCGCTGTGCCTGGCGAAACCATGGCCCTCTCTCCCTCTCCCCGCTTCCCACCCCCGGCCCCATCTAGAGGGAGCCCTTTCCTATACCATGCATAGTTCCATGCCATGCCATGATGATTCCCCTCCCCCGCCAGCGAGTCTGCTAACCGGGGTGCCTCGAACAGTAACCATCCTTACCCGGCCGATATGGCTCGTCGCAACGACCGTATGGAGTTTCCCTACGGCGCTCAGCCTAACATGGCGGCCCAGCAGCAACACCACCCAACTCCAGTCCAGCCGCCCATGAGCGTATCGCAACAGCCCCCGAATGGCCCTCCGTCTCAGCAGCAGACGCCGACTCAGCCCGCGGCCCAGCCGCCCAACGCCCGCTCACGGAAGCGGCCGGCCCAGAACGCTGCGCCTTCACCCGCCACGGCTGCCGCTCCACCTCCCGTTGCCGCCGCCCAGGGTCAGCCTCCTGCGCCAACGCCTCCCGCTCCCCAGGCTGCTCCTCCGCAAGCCCAGCCGACGGCCAACGACAACGCAAACTCGACCGATGCCGCCTCGGGCCCTCCCACCAAGAAGAGCAGGACCAACACGCCGTGGACTCCCCAGGAAGAGCTGCGGTTGAAGCAGATGCGAGATGCCGGAAACAGCTGGGCTGAGATTGCTAAGGTATGTAGCAAATTCTTGACGACAGTAGAGGCAATGCTTGCTATTGTTGTTGACTTCACTTGACGAGAAGAAAAAAAAAAGCTAATTGAGATTCGCACAGACCTTCCCTACGCGGACAGAAGGATCCGTGAAGAAGCATTGGTACAAGGACATGCACTATGCTGAGTTTGCCGAGGACGAAGTAAGTCACTTATTCACCCTCAATGTCGATGCCTCATTGATTGATCAGTCTGTTCAGAGTCAGGCGCTGTTGAACGCTATTAAAGAATACGAGAACAACAAGTGGAAGGTCATTGGCCAGAAGGTTGGAAAACCAGCAAAGGTATGACACCCTCTCTTCTTTTACCCCCCCTTGGATTATATGCTAACTTGGTACAGGCCTGTGAACAGTATGCAAAGGAGCATTTTCCAGGTATGCTTACAGTCTTTGGCCGGTAGGGGTTAACCGCAACGATCGAGGTCCCGCTAACTCGTATGCAGATCTCTTTGGCAACCCCAAGGGGAGATGAACTCCACGTGATTGCTCGCCCGCACCCCCTGGCCTGATGAATGCTCCTGATCGGACCGCTCGACGACTGTAATTGATGTACCCAGATGTCGTCTTGTTTTCTAGTTAGGACTCAGGCCCCGGGATCGCTGTGGAGAGGAATGGGACCAGCTGCCTTTGTTTATTTATTTCGGTCTTTTTTTTATCGTCGCAAGGGTTTCCAGTTTAATAACTCCAGATGCAGATCTCTGAAGAAAAAGCAAGGAACAGTAAGGAGTACGGCCAGGGTTTCCGCTACTTCGTTAATTGGCAAAGCTTGGCTTTTGTCATGACTTCTTCTTTTGTCTTTTTGTCCTTCTTCGCCGACTTTATTTAGTCTCCCGTTCTTCTCTTCTTTTTCTTTTGCCGGTCTTAGAGAGAGAGATGTGTCTATGTCGTTCTTCGTTCGCTGGGTGGGAAATGAATCACTGGACGGTCTTTGTTGGCGTTGGTGGCGGGTTGTAGTCCTCTTGGTCTTGCTTGTGCTCGTTTGAGAGGACTCGAACCGTGGCCTGCCATCGTTTGACTAATTGCCCCCTTGTTTTTTCCTTTTTACGTCTTGTTTTCCCTTTTGTGTTTTCTGCTCTCTACTTTCAACGATACCTACGGGGATGGTTGAGAGAAGAGCTTTGGTGGGTTGGGTGTTCTTGAGGACTTACTGGGACAGGCCACGGAGTCGACGATGATGGGGTTTACTCAGGCTCAGTTTGTCCTAGAGGCGTGGAATGCTGGAGGATTTCAACTGCTCCTAGCCTAGAGCTGGGGATGCAAAGACTGTCGCTGAGAAGAGGCATAGCTATACCCGAATAACACAATTCCCCCCCTCCTCCCCGTTTCTCTCTCTCCATCTCTACTTTTTGTACGAAGTATCTATTTTAATATGAAATTCACTGCGTTTGGCAGCTGGTGAATGATGCCTTACAACGGGGAATGATATATGTGTATGACTGGCAAGGTACGGTTTGCGTAGAGGAGACGAGGGAGCTTACCTAGTACAAGTACTCAATACCTCTGATGATGGAGCTGCGAGGTTGTACCTGGGGGCCCCATCTAGATGGTAAAAGCGACTAGAGGAGACACCTGCTGGAAGTACAGTATTAGTGGCCTCACTTGTCCCAGTTTGGCGATGCAAGTTTGTGTACTTATAGAAAAAGAATGTTTAGTCTGGCTGGTTTGCATCCGTAGTTGCAGGGCCGGTACCCCGGAGCTGGGTACCGGGTAGTGCGGCGCCACAGGTGCTGGCATTGTTCCCTTGATGTATCACGACCAAGCCAGGTACAGTATCTGTCAAGACGGGGATGGGGATGGAATGCTACGTTGACCCAATGCTAAAGGGAGGCGGTGTGAAGACGAGTGAATAAAATTGCACATGTGCAATACGCGCAATACGCGCAATACGCTGCTGCACATATCAAGGCGGCAGACAGTTACACCGTCATGTCAGTGTCCTCACCGTCCTTTGCTCGGAGGCGGAAGATATTGTGTGTACCACTGAGATACGCCCGCAGAGGGTTACAAGAGTTACAAGACACTGGGATGGGAATGCAAGAAACGAACCGGCCCTTGGAGGCGTTTCAGATCGGAAATCATGGCCGGCCCTTGCCGCTTCAGCCCTACGGGCCCCCAGATTGAGATGCAAGTTTTGACGGGGACCTGGTCCAAATGTATGCATACTTAGGACGCTTTTGAGGGGAGCGAAAGGAGAAACTTGGGCGAGGTATCGTGTACGAGGAGGAACCTGTGCGGTACGTACACGGCCGGTGCGAAGGTAAGCGCTAGCAAGCAGTCAAAACGTCGCTGTCGAGAATTCGAGGTTCATGCGCTGGCCCCACTGGCAGGTACTTTCCAGCAGGTACCTACAGGCGCTACAGGTACCTTGGCTCGTGCTGGGCTAGGGGTGGTTTTTCCTGCTCCGTTGTGCAGTACAGAGTGTACTTACATTAGTAGGGGGAGCTTGGGGCGATAAGATAAGCCGTGGGAATTTTTTTCTTTTCTTTCTTTTCTTGGAGCCGATAAGACACGATAAAGCAGCATCACTGCGTTTTTGCATCGACCATAACCGCTCGCATCTATTCAGCACTCACTGCATTCAATCTCCATTGGACGACTCTTGAGTGCAATCATGAAGCGGAAGCTCAACGAAAACGACGTGCCCACCTCGGCTGAGCCCGAAGCCGACCAACAGATGGCCAACGCCGAGACCACGACAACAACGGCGACACCAGAGGAAGAGGCGACGTTTGCAGACCTCGGACTGGATGCCAGGCTGGTGCAGGCCGTTGCGCAGCAGAAATTCTTGAAGCCGACGCTGGTCCAGCGAAAGGCCATTCCATTGGCGCTGGACGGCAAGGATGTGCTGTGCAAGGCGAAGACGGGGTCTGGCAAGACAGCGGCGTATGTGCTGCCTGTGCTGGCTGGCATTTTGAAGAAGAAGAGTGTATGTTGGCCTTTAACCATGGAGAAATATTGCTTGTGCACTTTGGACCTTGAGACTAATTGATTGGGATTGCTTAGGTTGATTCTACCGCTGCCACGACGGCCTTGATATTGGTTCCTACTCGAGAGCTTGCCGACCAAGTCTTCAAGTCGATTGAACTGTTTTCCGCCTTTTGCGCAAAGGATGTCCGGGCTGTCAAGCTGACGGATAAACTCACCGACGCAGTGCAGCGGTCCCTGCTATCGACGTGCCCGGACATTGTCATCTCCACGCCTGCACGAGCATGGCACAACGTCAATGGCAATTCGTCGGCACTGGCTCTGGATAAGCTGTCCTATCTGGTTCTGGACGAGGCGGATCTTCTCTTGTCGTACGGATATAGCGAGGACCTGGAGAGCCTGTCGTGGTCTATTCCAAAGGGCATTCAGACCATTATGATGAGCGCTACGCTGACGACTGAGGTGGACTCTTTGAAGAAGATTTTCTACCGCGACCAGCAGCCTACGCTGTTGGATCTGGAGGAGCCGGATGCTGAGGGCGAGGGAGTGACGCAGCTGGTGACCAAGTGAGTTTCTCTGAATTTGCTTCCTTTTGTCGAAGTTTGTGCTGACATGGGTTTAGGTGTGGCGAGGACGAAAAGTTTCTGTTGATCTACGTCATCTTTAAGCTGCAGCTGGTAAAGGGCAAGTGCATCATTTTCGTCGCCGATATCGACCGATGCTACCGCCTGAAGCTCTATTTCGAGCAGTTTGGCATCCGAAGCTGTATCTTGAACTCGGAGCTGCCCGTGAACTCGAGAATCCACGTGGTGGAAGAGTTCAACCGCAACGTCTACGACATCATCATCGCCTCTGACGAGAAGGAGGTTCTTGGCAACGAAGAGAAGGCTGAAGAGGAGCAGGAGGAGGAAGAAAATGAGGGCGAGTCAAAAGAAGAGTCTCGACCCAAGAAGAAGCGGAAGGCTGCCAAGGGAGACGTGGAATATGGCGTGTCTCGAGGTATGGATATTGACAGGCCCTTTTGGAAAACTTGAGAATATGTTTACTGATTTACTTGATTCTAGGCATTGATTTCAAAAACGTCGCTGCCGTCATCAACTTTGACCTCCCCACATCTGCGTCATCTTACACACACAGAATAGGCCGTACGGCACGAGCCGGACGAGCGGGCATGGCACTGTCATTCGTCGTTCCCCAGGATCTCTACCGCAAACACATCCACACATCCATTGCCAGCTCGGAGAAGGACGAGAAGATTTTGGCGAGAATCACGAAGCAGCAGGCAAAGAAGGGCAAGGAGATAAAGCCATACAACTTCAACAAGGACCAGGTCGACGCCTTCAGATACCGTATGAACGATGCGCTGCGTGCGGTGACCAAGGTGGCCATCCGAGAGGCGCGAACGAGAGAGCTGCGTCAGGAGCTGCTGAAGAGCGAGAAGCTCAAGAGGTATGAATGATTGAACCCACGCTTGCTTACAGATTTGATTCTCGAAGATGCTAACTGCCGTGTAGATACTTTGAGGAGAACCCGTCGGAGATGAACCACCTTCGCCACGATGGAGAATTGAGAACGGCTAGACAACAGGCTCATCTGAAGCACGTGCCGGACTATCTCCTGCCCAAGGAAGGACGGCAGGCGCTGACGGCGGGAGACATTGGGTTTGTGCCGCTCAAGAAGTTTGATAGGCGCGCGGGGACGAAGCGGAAGGGCGGGAAGCGGAGCGCAAAGGCTGGGGTGCGCAAGGGTGATCCCTTGAAGACGTTTAAGGCGAGACGGAAGACAAAATGAAACTAATTGGAGGGCTTTGATGAAGTGATATCTTTATTATTTTACTTTGTTGTCGGGGGTTGATATGGAGCGATGCTGAGGGTAGTTTTTGTGTCTGGCATTGGAATTGGAGAGGGGGGTTTCTGTCATAAAAAGATAATGCATGTACTTTGTTTTTAACTACTTGAGAACAGCATAATGCGCACTGACTATTTTATTATTCTCATTATTGATTATTGTATTATGTGATTCGCATGGCATGGGATGATGGTTGAGACCCAGGCGGTGTCCAAGTGTCTTAAGCGATGCGGGATAGCGAGCACGGGGAACACGAGCGATGGCTTGCCGATCGCGATGATCGGGAACATGGGGTAATGAAAAGGAGTCTTTGGCTCAGTTTAGTAGAGCATGCTAATTCAAGACCATTCTTAGATGCAGACGTTGGAGGGCTAATTTAGTCCGTACGTAGCACGAGAAAAAAAGTAGGCAGCTGATGCGGAGCAATTCGAATGACAGACAAGTTCTTTTCATGCAGTGTAAGTCGCCCGCCTGTCAAATGGATTTGATGTTCTTTTGTCTTTGTCTGTCCGGATATTTTTGCCGGAGCCTGCAGTATGACACTACCTTAGTCCCCCCCTGCAAAATACAAAGCGCACCCAAGGCCAAGTTTAGTAAAGAAAAAAAAGTCACCAAAGCTCGGAGCTCGTATTTGAGGATGGAGAAAACAGTCCGTCCGCGGGTGCGGCTGGCTATCTTAGCTAACAGGTTTTTTTTCTGGTTGATTTCTTTTGCTGGAAGTTGATTAGCTTGGCAAGCTTGGGATGGGGGAGGGTTCCACACGCACCTCGTGTCTGGAGACCCGTTTTGGGTTGGGTTCTTGTTCTTTTTTTGGGAATCGGCATCGGGGGGATTTGAATTCAATCTTGTGAGTTGGTTTAGTTTTGAGGGGGGGGGAATTTGGATTGAGTTGAGTTGATTTGTGAATGAAGAGAGAGAGAAGGGTTGGAGCGTTTGTTTGTTTTTAGTGATGATGGCTTTGTACATGTACACTTACATTTGCTGTACAAGTACTTGACTGATGCTTGCTCGTGGCTGTAAAGGGCTGGAGCGGGATTCGCCTATGCCATGTGCTGATTGTTCCCCTGATCCGTGGCGTGGTGGCGTATGGGGATGGTTTGGCGGCTGAAAGTCAGTAGCAGAGCAGAGCAGAGCAGTTGAGATGGATGAAGACGAGCTGGAGTTGAGTTGAATGAGAGACCAGAGACAAGATAATATAACAGTTGAATCAATAAAAATGCATGTAGATGGGACTGAGCATCTGAAGACATTGAACTCACTACAGGCAATGACAGGCCTATTCATAGCCCGCACTGGAGGGCGACCTGCCTGTTCAGGGACGGACGAGGTGCCATGGCCCAAGCTCTGCTAGGGGGGAAAACCAGAGCCCGACTCCAGTGCTAGTTGAGACTTGCTGCAGGCCCTCCACTCCATACTAATATCTCGCCCCCAGCGCCCATCACCAAAAACTGCATTCCTTCTCCTCCTTGCCGCTCCCAACGACAACAAACAACGACTCTCGCTTCCGTGTTTCTCGTTTTTTTTTTGCGTCCCCCGAGCAGTGCGTCACTCGTTCATCGCACGCTTCAAGGGATTCGCATCCTCGGCCCTTGTTTTAGTTTTCTCTTATACTTTCGCGAGCTCAAATACTTCAAAAAATTCGGATCGCTGTGCGCACGCGCATAAATTGAACCCTTCCAATCGCTCAATTTAATTTTTTTTTTTCGAAATTGAACCCCGTTACACGACACCCTGTCTGTCCCTTGAATACCGATATCGCTTCTCGCTTCTCAAACGGTGCCCGGTTCAATTTCGTATTTCGAGAGACAAGAAAAGAAACATGTTGCGTTCCGTTGCGATTGCTGCGCTTTTGGGCGCTGCGTCGGCTGCTGCGGCGACGACTTGCTCCCTTACCAACAAGTGTCCTGAAGACGCGCCTTGCTGCTCCCGTATGTGCAATTGCGAATTCATTTTTCATTCTGTTACATGATTTTCTCTTTCACTTGTCGTGGATTTTCGGGCTGACGAAATGGTTTTCGTGTCTAGAATATGGCGAGTGTGGTGTTGGCGCTTACTGCCTCGGCGGCTGCGATCCCCGAATGTCCTTTTCGCTCGACGCCTGCACGCCCGCGCCCGTGTGCAAGTCCAAGACGATGACCTTTGACAAGGACCTCAGCAGCATCGCCGACATTAGCGATTACCTCGGCGACCCGTCCACCGCCGACTGGATGGCCCAGGGAGAGCCCGCGTACTTTGACGGCAACGTGCTGTTGACCATGCCTAAGAACAGCGTCGGAACTGTGCTGGCGACGACCGAGTACATGTGGTATGGCAATGTCAAGGCCAAGTTCAAGACGAGCCGTGGCAGGGGTGTGGTGACTGCTTTCATCCTGCTGTCTGACGTCAAGGACGAGATTGATTATGAGTTTGTCGGTGTTGATCTGGGCACTGCGCAGACCAACTGGTACTTCCAGGGCATCCCCGACTGTGAGTTTTTTTCCTTCCTAGAGACGGTGTATCGTGATGATTGCAATTGAAGCAATGCTGACGACGTGACGGACAGACAACAACTCTGGCAACATTACCAAGCTCTCTGACACCTTCAACAACTACCACACCTACGAGATCAACTGGACCCCTGATCAGATCCAGTGGCTCGTCGATGGCCAGGTCGGCCGTACCGTCAACCGCAAGGACCACTGGAACGCCACCTCCAACCAGTGGTCATTCCCCCAGACCCCCGCCCGTGTCCAAATCTCCATCTGGCCCGGTGGTCTTGCCAGCAACGCCCAGGGAACCATTGACTGGGCCGGTGGTGAGATTGACTGGAACGCCGAGGACATCCAGAAGAACGGCTACTTTTACGCCACCTTTGAGTCCGTCGAGGTCTCCTGCTACAAGGCCACTGGCGAGCTCGGCAGCAGCTCGGGCGTCAGCTACACCTACGACAACATCCGGGCCACCAACGACACCGTCGTCAACGGCAACAAGCGCACCAACTTGGCCACCCTGGAGGGCACCGGTCTCGACATGGATGCCGGCAAGCAGGATTCGTCGTCGTCGTCGGCTTCACCCTCGGGAACCGCCTCCAAGTCTGCCAGCAAGCCAAAGAACACCCAGGCCTCGATCCCCGGTGGAAGCAACGGCTCTTCTGGCACCGTCCCCGGCGGCGACAACTCTGGCGACAACGGAAGCTCTGGTGGATCCAGCGGCGGTAGCAGCGGAGGCAGCTCTGGTGGCAGCAGTGGAGGCTCTGACGGCAGCTCTGGTGGCAGCGCCCCTGCTGATACTTCTGGCTGCTCGACTTCCAGCTTCAACCAGGACTGCGGCAGCAGCAGCGACTCCAGCGGCAGCAAGAGCGGCAACAAGAGCGCTGGATCAAAGACTGGCGTCAGTGTCCTGGCAGTGGGCCTGGCCGGTGCTGCTCTGTGTTTGATTTAAGTCGAGTCGGATAGTCTGATGGCTTTGACTTGGTATTTTTGGGTTAAATTTTGTTGAATTTTTTTGCGGGCTTCATATTTTCTCCATATCTTCTATACGCCTCATACTCTTGGTGTTTTGAATGTGTTTATGCATAGTTGAGAATAGTGCCGCCCTGAACCGGTTGGACAGATGTGCGAAATGATAATGAATGGAAGGGGCGGGAGGCCTTAATTTGGATGTATTTAGGAGAGGTTGAAGTTGTATTTAGGGGTCAGATTTGACTGATTACTGTCTCATACTTGTGCTTGCTTATTGGTTTGTGCGCTGTGCTGGAGACGTAATATCACGTTGAGTGCTGTATTCTGTTTGGTTGTTTATTTCTAGGTGCTGTAAGAAACAATGACGCCTCTTTGTTCTATTTCACACAGGATTGCTTAAGTTGGTTGGTGCGGTTCGTGAGTTTTGACGGCATCGTTGATTTGGGGATGACTCAAGTGGCGTTTTTATTCACATGCAGCATGTGGAGCGTACGTTACATGAAGATTCAAACGCAGCACATAGTCTATCTGGAAGATGCCCGATACACGCAATGCTCATGCTACGTTGTCTTGGCCTCTGTTAGCACAAAAGATAGACAGGCTACACGCGATATAAAACGCCGTGTCGTGACCCCCACACAGATCTATTTAATCAATCTTGCATCGAGAAACTATCCCCGCTGCGTACCCTGGAGAAAGTTTTGTCATTGTATTTTCTCTTCTTCTTCTACGTTTCTATTGAGAGGTTGCTTTTACATTTGTCGTGAGCTGTGTGTCTTATGTTGTTTGGAAGGAATTGAATGTGTGACGGCGATCGGCGATTGTCTTAAAGTCTGACCTCATTGTGATTGATTTGTGCGAGCTTGTGCTTGTCATATTCCCCCACCTATTTCGACAAACTTCACTTTCAAACCGACATTTCTATCATTGACTCTTCTGAGCGCTGCACAATCATACACACATTCTACGAATAACAAATCATAAGGTCTCTTACAATCATGTCTCGCCGTCTGCTTATTGCTCGCCCAGGGCACATCTACCTCGCAACTTACACCCCCGCCTCAGCAACCATCACAATCGATCTCGACGAGCCGTTTCCAGGCAATCCCTCTTGGTTCGCCATTTCTCCCACAGACCCTCATTTATTATACACTTTTGATGAGGGTGGTTCGACGACGTATGCCTTTCGTCTGGATCTTGCGGCAAATACATTGACAAAAGTCGCTCAATCGGAAGATGGCAGCAGTGGCGTGTGTCATTTAGCTTTCAACAAAGAGGGGACGATTCTGATTGGGACGTCCTGGGCTGAAGGAACAATCGATATATGGAACACGGAATCTTCGACTCCTGAACTCATCACGACGATTCAGTCGAAAGACCCCGTGGTTGACGCTGGTAGAGTCGCGCGCGCTCACGAAGCTGTGCTCGATCCTACAGGCCGCTTCTTCGTTGTAAATGATCTCGGCACAGATTCGATCCTCGTGCTTGATGCCCTAAGGCCGGACGTTCCCGTCGTGAGGCGCGTCACCGTGCCGTCTGGCTCGGGGCCTCGACACGGCGTGTTTTATCCCGCTGGGGAGGGAAAACCAGCGACACACTACTTTTTGCTCTGCGAGACGAGTAATCGGGTTCAAGTGTTTAAACTAAAGTACACGGAGGTGGATATCGAGTTTACGGCCACGGGGAGCTATTCTACGTTTTTGGATGAAGATATGGGTGCGTTTGCTGCGGCGGGAGAGATTGCGCTTTCGAAGGATGGCGGGCATGTATATACGTCGAATCGGTTGATGACGACGCCGACGGAGACGATTGCGCATTTTCGGGTGAAGAAGCCTGAGGGTGATGATGGGGGGTTGGAGTTGGAGTTGGTGGGGGAGACGTCGACGCAGGGGAAACATCCGCGGATGTTTAGTTTGAGCAGGAATGGGAATGAGTTGTTTGTTGGGAATCAGGAGGGTGAATGGGGGGTTGTGGTGTTGAGGAGGAGAGAGGATGGGACGTTGGAGGAGGAGCCTGTTGCGGGGGTTTTGATGGAGGATATTGTGAAAGGGGAAGGGGATGAGAGAGGACCAATGTTTGTGTTGGAGGTTGTGTAAGAGGTTAAGAAAGGGATCGATGTATATGTATTCATCTATATGAACGCTACATGTTTGTCTGGGTATGGCAGTCTATACGATATTATACTAAGGCACTTCAAATTTCTTCCATCTCTTGAAATCAAGCGTCTCTCTAAATTAACAACACGCCCATCGCTGCAAACACTATGCTGATGGCGAAGCCGTGCACAACCATCTTGCCAGCACCGTTCTTATCGCCGCTCTGCGCACTCTCCGCATCGGCACCATTCGTAGCACTGCTCTTCGCGGTGTTGGCAGCCGTAGTCGAAGCAGCCTCCGTCGAGCGCGCACTAGAAGGCGATGCCGTCGTGGAAGAAGGGGGCTGGACGGTAGATGAAGCGGGAGCGGTTGTAGAGGAAGCTGCCTTGGAAGCGGTCTTGGAAGGGGATGACGAGGATGATGATTGAGAGGGAGAAGAAGGTTCTTCGCTTCCGTTGGTGTTGCATGTGCCCTCGAGGTCTTGGAGGGAAGAGGTGGATGTGATGGTCTTGACGCTGGTGCCACAGTTGACGTAGGGGGCGAGGTGGACCATGCTGCCTGTGAGGTCGAACACGGCTGCATGTAATCCGTTAGTTTGTGTTTTTTTATAGAGACATTGTTTATATATACAGATAGGGGTAATATATAACTTACCGTATGCAGACCGCAAAAAGGTATCGCCAAGCAGCGCAAACTGCGTGCTCCCCATCATCCCCAGATAACAATGCGGCGGCAGCGAAGACACCGACCGAATCATCTCGCTGTACGGAACCTTGATCGTGACCCCATCGAATTCGAAATCAATGGTTCCAGGCTCGTTGATAAGACCGCAATCAACAATGGCAAACCCGCTGTCGTCAGTGCCCGTCGATCCAAGACTGTCCGCAATCTCATTCACCAGCGATTGCGGCAACAGAGTTAGGGTAGAGCCGCTGTCGAGGAAGACGGTCATCTTGGTGTTGGCAAAAGTCGTCGATTTTCCGGTCGGTGGAGATAGCGAGATCGAGTTCATGTCGACCCAGTAGCGAGCAACGCCATCAGGAGAATCGTCCGCTGGCACAATCGGCAGATGAGCCAGCTTGCCGCTGAATTTCCCCGTATCAACACCACCAAAGATAATGACGCCTTCCTCCTCCGTCTTGCTACCCAGTGCCAAGCTAAACGCCTTTGTCTTGGTAACACCCTGCTTGGCCAGCTCGTCAACAAAGTTCGGATAGAGCGTGTTGACCCCTTCGCCGGCGCCGATGCCGAGGATGCCCGAGAACTCGTCGACGCTGGCGTCAGCAACACCAAACTGGACGTCCTTCATGGTAGCGGAGCCTGGGAGGGCGATGCTGTCCTGGACGTACGAGACGTTTGCGCTGCCGATGCCGTAGCGCAGCTGGGCGGCGCTGCCGGTGATGAAGGAGGTGGACGAGGATTTGGGGTCGTAGAAGCCGATGGCGCGGCAGAAGCGCTGGTCGGAGGTTTGGACGTTGGAGCAGTCCGGGTTGACCCAGAGCTCGAAGGAGCCGGTGTCGATTTGGGCGTAGACGGTTTGGGGAGGAGTTCCAATGTTGACTGTTTATATATATGTTAATAGCTATATCAAAAAGTAAACCTGGGATACTGGTGACTTACGCTGAGCATAGTACGAGACATCGGAACGGTTCTCGACCTGGACTTCTACGGCTCGCTTGTCCAAGGCGCCGCGGTGGGCGTGGATAATGGGCAATGTAATGGTCCCCGAAGGAATCTCCTCGACCGGCAGCTTGCGCAAGGGGAGAATGTGGAAAGGCTTGTCTTCGTCATCCTCGCTTCTCCGCTGAGGTACGGGGAGAGTGATTCTGCCATCCGCACCGTCGTCGTCCTCGAGAATCTTACGCTTGCTGGGATTCGGGTACGGCAGGATATGCCATGGCTTGTCCTCCTCTTCATGACTTTCGACGTCTCGTTTGCTTGGGTAAGGGAACGGCAGGATGTGAAATGGCTTGTCCTCCTCCTTGGCCTTAATATCTGCTCCTCGGGCTGTTAAATGTGAAGCCGGAGGGACCGGTAGAGTGATTGTGTTGCCGACGTCTTCTGGCTCAAAGGCATGCTTTGGCCGTGCCTGAGCTAGCACGGCTAGAGAGAGGACGAGAAATTGTGAAATGGCCATGATGCGTTCAATGATTGTTGTCTTGTATAAACCGTATGCGTTTGTACTCGTATATGTGCGTGCGTATATGTGTAGATGCGTATATATTAACAGAACCAGATATTAGAGAATGATGATGAAGGACAAAATCGCAATAAAAAAACAGCCGTCAAGGCCGTCGCGTTCAAAGAATGAGAAACCAGCTCCCCGAAAGGAAAAGAATGATTGAGGATGGAAGCTTCGCGACAGAGTATCAAAAAGAAGAAAAAAAAGAAAGAGGTTTTAAAAAGAGAGAAGCATTACTCGGCTACATGTACAGATGAAATTGTAGGACGCAAAAGAAAAAACGAAACAAGAAAATCGCATCTAGGATGACGGAGCCGGGGTCAGAGGCTTGTCTGTGAAATGGAGACATGGATGAGTTATTATTAGTGCGGCTCCAACGTTTACTGGATAGACGCTCTACTGTCGAGCTTTTCAGCTAACTGGGATAGGGATTTGAAGCTATTCGATATTAACTGGAGACGGATCCAAGGACATGGTTGCGTGAACCAGTGAATCTTGGCTGTCGTGGGCTAAGTCTAGCGCTCCTTCAACGGTGCGGTCAAGGGACACGCGGCTGAAGAAAGAGCTGTCATATTCACTATTTACTCTATTTTCTGTCTTTCGTTTGGCTGGATTTTTGCTACTTGGAGGCGATTAGGAGGCCTGCGGGGTTTGAAGTTTTGCAGGGGAGGCTGAGATGGTGAAACGCGAAGCGTCGAGGGTTCCGTTTTGGGGCTCAAACACGGAGGAAGAGAGCTGGTTGAACGCGTGGCTGAAGGTCGCTTCAAGTGCCGACGAGGCCGATCATGGTTGGTTGGTTTGAAGATATCTTTAATGGAGGTTCTGCTTCAGTATTCTTTTTGTGTCGTCTCTTGAGGTTTAGTTATGGCTGTGATTGATATTGTTGAAGCTTCGGTTGAGCTGCCCTGACTCGTGGAGACGGGCCAAGAAAGCCCGGCGCCCCTGGTTCATCTTCTAGCAAGGCTATCCATCTCACTCATTGCAACGACACACCGTCCTGCCAAGCGTGCCTTGACGGGCTGGAAATGAAAGATTGGCACGGCGGATGGACTAGCCTGTACCTTATCTGCCACCGGGAGGGCCATCTGCCGGGGCATTTGGACTAGGGCGCTTACATGTATGCACTCCGTGTCTGTGTGCGTGCAGTAGAGGATTCAACTATGGCTGCAGGCGAGAAAAGAGTATAGCACTCCTCCTTATTGTCTGTATCAATGCGGATGTATCACAGAGAAAGCTGGTAAAAGGATGAGAATCCATACGAGGGCGAGTCGGATTAGGCGCCCAAATACCCCATGGAGTTCAAGGACACACTGCTTTCAAATTCCTCTTCTGTGTTACTCATACTCATCCCGTCGCATTGTGCATACGTACATGTGCTTGCTGTATATGCGGTGTCACCTCAATTCACCGATATCAAGCAGAAAAAAGAGCCTAATTCACTCCCAACCATTCCATCCATACATGTGCATCACATACACTCTCGATCACCACTCGCAAACCTCGTCCCCAAATGCTGCCCGACCGTCCTTAGACAGTCGCGCCGACAAATTTGACACACGCAGTTTGTAAATGGAAAAAAAATAAAAGGAAAAAAGGCGATATCGCTGCATCCCCCTTGCTGGAACTTGTCGAATCAGGACTAGATGAAGGCATGTTGATGCGTTGTCCTGCGTCTTAAGCGGCCACCCCGCAGCATCGTGTCCCGCGAGAAATGCAAAATGCTTCACTGTTTGCCGCTTTTGGAGTCATGGTACCTTTTTAAAGACCCTTTTTATTCCTTCTATTATCGTATTAGTCGCTTCTTCTCTTGATAGCAGTGTGGCATGGCATGATGCAAGGTGGTTGATGTGTTGGCCGTGATGCGTGTTAGTGATGCCTTTTCTCCCCTTGTAGCACATGCAAGAGCCTTCCATCCTTGAAGATCACTACATCAAAGAGTGATGCTCGGTGCAATATGCCGTCCATGTGTCGAGGATATCCCTCTCAATTGGACATTTTGCTCCAAACGAGCCTTTTAATCGCCAATCAGACGTAAACAGACACTTACTAATCCCAGTCTTTCTCTCCTCTCCTCTGCATGATGCATTGTCTCCCCATCAAAATCACCGCATCAGTCTATCCTATCGTATGCCATCGTCCGTCTCAGTCAAATGGCAGACTGATTGGTTCTATTATGGTGAAATACCACTCGTGATGGATACCCCCTACCTGCATGCATGCACTTACATGCCGTACCAGCTTTTCTTGCCATTTAACTCGCCCGGCTGGCCCGCAGGAACAACGACGGCCCTTTGCGTGTAGAAGCTGCATATGCATCGTCTGTACGATGGACTAACTCGGTCGGAGTTGAATGAAATGCGTGTGCAACACTGGCCAATCTGAATGCCTCGTGCTGTGATGGGGGGAAGGGGTCCAGTGACCTATATAATGCGTTATGCAACGCCAATGTGCAGCAGCATATTCTATCCAGACCATTGATACACCTTTACATACTCTGTTATATCTCGTTAACATTCATCTGCGTCGGTTTGCCGATTCAAAAGACAGCTCGCATGTATATCCCTCTATACCTAGCCAAGCTTGAGGCGCTGCGGCGCCATGGATCAACAGATGGATACACTCAATGGATACGAAATCAGCTTGCAACCATCTCAGCCGTAATAAAATCCACAAGCTCTATCAAACAGGAAATTTCTTTGATAGAACGTCGTTCAAGCTCTGCCGCACACACCAACCTCATCATCGGCCTCGTCGTCGGCTTCACTGTAGCAGCCTTCCTCATCGGCGTCGCGATTTTCCTCTGCTGCTACGGAGATTCCATCAGGTTCTCGAAGAAGAAGCATAGGCACAGGCGCCGGTCAACGAGTAGCAAAGGATCGAGAAACTCGAAACACTCACGGGAGGTGGAGCATGCTGAGGGAGCGCCAGAAGGCGAACAGGGGGCGTGAATTCATCATATGGCATCGAATAGGCGTTGCGATTTCTTTTCCCAAAATCTTTCTATGTTATATGTTTTTTTTTGCATGATGGGGCGGATTGAGAGCGTTTTACATTTTTGAGACTGTGGTTGGATATATACGCAGGCTTTTGATGAATTATGATGATGGATTGGACAGATTGCTCATTGTTTCACTTGGTGCTCTTATTCGGATCACAGAACGAATACCATTCCTTCAATATTATGCCCTTTACATGAAGTCTCTTGGATCACAAAATTTTGCCCGTTCATTAGTGTAGTCTTCAACCCGTTCCAAATTCTCCCGTCCCAAATCTCCTCAATGAACTGTCACCCGCTTATGGCGATGACAGCGGCGGTGGCGATGATGATGATGGTGATGATGCTTCTTCTTTCGCCTCTCTCTTGACTCTTCCTCGTGGCGTGCAGCTTGTTCATCCACATTTACATTAGTACGACTATTCGTTCGGACGGGCTCGTTTGGTAGCGGGATATCGAGACCGTTGAGAATGGCTTCCAAATCTGCACGAGTGGCGTCTGAGATTCCAGGGGAAAGAGGGCTTATAAGATTCTCAAACTCGGCAATGGGGTCTCGAGGAAGGAGGATTTGATGGGTGCGGTGAAAGCGATGATGGCTGTGACGATGACGATGGTGGCCGTGGCTGTTCTGACGGGAATCGTCGTGAATAATTGGGTCAATATTGTGATCAGGGCAGTCTAGGATATGATCGCCTTCGTGGAGGTGTTCATGGTAGTGGTCTCCGTGGAAATGCTTGTCATCATGCTGATGGTGATGAACTGATAGGGGCGCCTTTGGCGGTGGAGGGGCCTGTTCGGTCTGCGTGCTGCCATCCTGTCTTTTCTGCTTCTGTTCCGCCTGGGTTGTTGTACATCCATTGGCGTGATTATCGCGATGGTGAGAGTTTTGCCGGCGATGCTTCTTGTGCCGGTCATGTTGGCGCCAGCACCAACAGTAGATGAGAGCAGCGATGATTACTGCGATGAGAGTGAGGCCAACAGCCAGACCGATGGCTGCAGAGGACGACATTTCGCCGTCATGAAAGTCACGAGAGTGGTGGTTGTGAGGCGGTTGGTGATGGTTGTGCAGGCAAGGCATATTGAAGATTGGAAAGATCATGATGAAGCCTTGCGAGTGTTCTGGATCATCAAGCACTGGCTGAAAATGTCCTGTCTGTTGTAATTCTACAAGAATTCTACGCATGCTTTCAATACGAGGCTGATGGTTCATTTTATACACCTATTTGATGGAAGTTTGCTAGCAGAGAGGGAGGCCATGATACTGCGCCAAGTAGGCTCGTCGTTGCTCCTCAGCCTGGTTTGGCATCAATGAGCAGCTACCCTCACCGTTTTTTGATACAGAAACGGTTTGCTCGCTCGATAAGCGATGAAGGGTTATTCGAGTAAATCTGTTGGCACAAATGGTTTCTGCTCATGGTTTTGCTTCGGTTGTTCAGGAGATGGAGGCCTGACAAACAGTCTGAGCAATAGATGAGTTTGCCATATTTGAGGCGCCCTGACGGCTTCTATCAAACCTGTGAGATGGCAATTCCACGTTTGTAAAAGGATGAAAACGTGTCTTAGCGGCAGAAACAGTCCTTGAGGTGACCAAGTGCTGCAGTGACGAGACGAAGGAAGTGTCGTGTGAGGTTGCCTGATGCGGTGAGAGAAAGAGAAGGCTTCTAGAATAGGGCAAGAGAGTCAGATTTTTGGTATGAATGGATGTACATCTTGCTACGGCTAAGAGTGTGTGCCTGGTTGATTGTCAAATAGAGTTTGAACGACTACAAACACAAGCTTCGCGGGATGCCCTTTTTGTCTTACAGCCACGAGGGCTAGGCAGTCCCACAGAGGAGACGCCAAACATGATCCTGGCTGAGACTAGCACATGGGAGGATGAAGTTGCCCGCCTAGCCGTGATCCGAGACAAAGAGGATGAATCATCAACAATCGTCATTGTAGTGTATATACTGTAGTCTTGATAGTGGTTGAGATCATGATGATCATAACTTACATGTACTCGGAAGAATCCGAAGCAGTTAGAAGGGCGGCCAATCTATTAGCCGATGACGCAAAGTCTTAGTCGCAGTTCGGCTTGTCTCCGGCCAGAGCAGAATGGCAAGTCTGTCCGTTCCCGCTTTCAGGCGGAGGTACCTCGATGTAACTGGGCCAATGCGTGGGGTAGCGAACGGAGCAAGAGAATGGCAGAGAATTGCAGAGATTAGCGGAGAATAGCAGTGATTGGGGTCCAATTCTGGGTCAATATTGGGGTATGGAGAGAAGAGGGGATACTTGGCTGGTACATGGAGACACTTCAACTTAGACCCGGTACGGCTGAAGGTGGTTTGGCCATTCTGCAGCCATCAGGGTTCTAGCGTTTTCTACCATACTGTTTGCTCGATTTGCCCTTTTCCCTTTTTGCTACTGATTCTCTCACAAAGTTCCCCCTCTTATCTGGTACTAACAGACAACATGCAAATCAAGAATCTTTCATTCCATCTTTTTTGCTTCTCTCCCACGCCGCTAGTCTGCGAATGGCACTAGATTCCGCACAAACCCCCACGATGTACTGGCAAGTATTGCCGCCCCCAATCCGCACGCTAATTCCGCTGCTCGTGTCAGTGCTCTGAGACCTGGCAGGTACAAGTACGTAATTTGTGGCCCTCATCACCTAAAAAATTTGCGTGCATGTTCTGGATTTCCTCTTTGGGCCGCGGGGCAAAAAAAGTGTTCTTATCGTGATGAGAGAAAGGATTAACACGAACAAAACAACAAGAAGAATGAATATTATTGATGCGAAAATAAACAAAACAATTTTCATACAATATTACCAGTATACATACAATGACATAGTTATTTTGTCTTAAAACCACATCGCCACTTGTAACTGTTGATCGCTTGCCATGACTCGCCCCAACGTGCCCTGATTTATAATGGAGACAACAAAATTGGCAACAGACGCCGCGGCAAGCCTCCCACGACGACCCTTCTCACGATGCATAAACTCCGACATTCCCCACAGAATGCAATGGATGGAGTTGGATAGATGGCCTTAGTCGATCGATATGATCCAAGCTTCCCCGGTAGTCTCAAAGTCTGTGTCGTGTCGTAATGGGCGTTGGGTAGCATAGCATAGTGTACAGTGTAGTCCATCTCGTACCTCTCCCTCCATAAATAAAATGGCTGCCCTTCGTCTCTTGACTCGGCCCTCTTTCCTCTCCATCTCATCTCTCTCCTCCTCAACTCGCATCAACCTCACCCGTTCGACCTACAACTCGTTTTCTCGACCCTTCAGCATCACCGCAAACATGTCTTCCGGACGAACCGTCACTCTCAACACCGGCGCCAAGATCCCCCAGATCGGCTACGGCACCTGGCAGGCCGCCCCCGGCGAGGTTGGCGCCGGTGTCTACGAGGCTCTCAAGATTGGCTACCGCCACCTCGACCTTGCCAAGGTCTACGGCAACCAGAAGGAGGTTGGCGAGGGCATCAAGAAGGCCCTTGCTGAGGTCCCCGGCCTGAAGCGCGAGGACATCTTCATCACCTCCAAGCTGTGGAACAACGCCCACAACCCCGAGGATGTTGCTCCCGCTCTGGACGACACCCTTGCCGAGCTCGGCCTCGAGTACCTCGATGTATGTACACCCAGATCTGGCTCAATTAAGCTCCATTCGATGTCACTGAGACAGAATCGAATGAAATGCGAGCCGAAGCAAGAAGAAGCAACAGCAGCTAACTCGATTTCACAGCTCTACCTCATCCACTGGCCCGTTGCCTTTGCCCCCGGCGCCAACCTCTTCCCCAAGGCCGCTGACGGCTCCGAGTCTCTCCTCAACCGCAACGTCTCCATCGTCCAGACCTGGAAGGCCATGACTGAGCTCCCCAAGTCCAAGGCCCGCGCCGTCGGTGTCTCCAACTTTACCATTGAGCACGTACGTCTTCCACTCACCTCCGAAACTCCTACAATCAGAAAACTAACATAAAAATACAGCTCGAGGCCGTCATCGCTGCCACCGGTGTCGTCCCTGCCGCCAACCAGATCGAGCGCCACCCTCGTCTCCCCGACCCGGAACTGATCAAGTACTGCGCCGAGAAGGGCATCATCATCACCGCCTACTCCGCCTTTGGCAACAACACCAAGGGCCTCCCTCTGCTCGTCAACTCCGACGAGGTCAAGGCCGTCGCCGAGAATCTGGCCAAGAAGCAGGGCAAGCCCGTCACCCCCGCCCAGGTCATCCTCGCCTGGTCCCAGATTGGCGGCCACACCGTCATCCCCAAGTCCGTCACCAAGGCTCGCATTGCCGAGAACTTCCAGGAGGTTGACCTGGACGACGAGGCTATCGCTGCGCTGAACAAGCTTGGCGAGACTCCTTACCGCTTCAACGTTCCCTTCAACTGTGAGTCTTGTACTAGTTGAGTTTAATGAGAAAGAAACAGAAGCTGACAGTTGCCGTAACAGACAACCCCAAGTGGAACGTTAACCTGTTCAACACCGAGGACGAGAAGGCTGCTGCCCACACCCCCATCATCAAGCTGTAAATTCGGACGCGACGAGGACATGATATTTAACGAGATGAATACCCATGAGCATTGGCCAAGTGCCTTATAGAAGTAAAAAGAAAAGTAAAACGTACACATACCAATAGAATTGCATCAACTGCATTTACCCAAAGATAGCATGGCACAGTGACACGCAGATTTCTCTAAGCTTGCGATGATGGTGACTGAACATCCAAAATGATGAGATTGGGTATCTATTCGATCCGTTGCGCAGATCGATTGCGGAATTTAGTTGCTTGGGTGTCATTCTTGACCTAACCTGGGTATCATGTAGTAAAAAGTACCGACTCAAGCTCGCATCAAAATCCATCGCAAGAATCGGCTGCGAATCCATCGTAAAGAAAGCGATTCCACTCCACATGCCAGGGAGAAAAAAGGTCTGCCATATCCGTTAAAAGCAGCATCTCGTATCTTTGGCTTAAGGCGACCCTCGTCGGAAGGAGTAGAGGTTTCGGACGGCGTCTTTCCACGTCTTCGTCTCCTTCTTGAGGTATACGGGCTCCGCTGAGATTTCGACGGCGGCTCGGATCGTCTGGAGGAGGGTGCCTATTTGGTATTCTCTCTGGAAAGCCCAGTATCGAGTTCCGCCCATCGGCTTATTATCCCAGCCGTGGTTGTCGTATGCTGGCTCAAGAGCAATCCGCACGGCCCGTCATAGGTTGGTCATCGCGGAAAGGCTTCAGTTTCTGGGTCTCAAGTCGCTCCGTCAAAGCTTGAAGGGCTGGCTGCGAGGCCGCCATTTCAAGCGCTTGATGATAATTGCATTGTACGTGGAGAAGCGAGCAACGGCTGCGAGAAGATAGCCTGTCTTCGTTGGTATTTGTTGAAGGTATGCCGGCTTGTTGCGTTGACTATCTGTAGTGGTCAGAGGGAGATGGCGGGCGGAGAATTCAGCACTGGATTTGATTCCCCAGTGCTCTTTCTAGTTCAATGCAACCCCTCACTTTCTGTCAGTTACGGGAAAGGCAAACAGACATGTACGGACGTTGGACATCTCCGTGTATTCTCGAGAGTTGTATAAGTCCACTTCTGCCCTATTGAATCCATGGGAATATTCATAATATCATTATTCCTGTCATTATATACCGTTGATGCTTCTCCCACGAGGCACCATACACAGCCAAAAGCGTATGTGTTACGATGCATCACCAGTCAATCCTAAGCGGGTGGCTGTAGTGCTGCCTACATGATCTTCCCTTGATAACCAATAAGGCCAAACCCACCACGGATTTCTTTATCCATGTAAATGATCCAATCAGCTCGGAAGTGCAAGGATGAATGCAATATTTCGGAACCAAGGATCGCCGACATGTGCTTACACTGACCAACATAAAACACCAAAGGAGGGGTATTCGCTTTCAAATTACATGTATTCTTCCTTCTATAAAACATCTGCCTGCTATGCCGATTCATATGAGCATCTCTTTCTTGTATCGTTGACTTCCTGGCGCTGCTTTACTTATCAGTCATAACATCGCTCTGCTATTACAGCCTGCGGTATCAATGACCCTACCGAACTTACCCAAAGAGCTCTGGGACCAGATTGCAACTTACTTATCGGGCCGTGATGTCAAACACCTGCGCCTTGCTTGCAAATCACTTTCAAGCATCCCTCTGCATCTTGATAGAGTCTTTATAAGCGCCAATCCCATAGATATCAAGGTGTTTCGATACGTTGCAAATCATGATGGTTTTAGACATTGTGTGCGTGAGATTATCTGGGACGAGGCGCGGTTTGAACGAGATTTCAGGGTTGATGCGTCTAGTGGTCTCGAATGGACTGACATGGGGTATACTGAAGATGACCCCCCGGATGACTTCTTGACTGAATGCCGTGATAATTTGGACCTCGTCGAAGCAAGACTTGCTCAGTACAGACTCGATTTACCATTTATAGCACCCTTGGTCAAAGCGATGGAAGAACCATTGACAATGTGTGAGTCTTGGTGGCATTACCGACAATTCCTAGAAGAGCAACGCAGCGTTTTAGCAGAAGATTTGGACATCAAGGCATTTGAGTATGGCCTTGATCGCTTCCCAGCTTTAAAGAGGATAACCATCACGCCTGCAGCTCATGGGACGTTATTTGCTCCTCTGTACAAAACACCAATGATCCGGACATTGCCATACGGCTTGAATTACAGCATTCCACGTGGTTGGCCGGTCTCGGGCGAGTCCTATCTTCCGGCTGATGAGTGGATAGAAGAGAACAAAGGGAAATGGCGAGGATTCAAGGAGGTAATCCGCTGTCTGGCAGAACGTAAAGCAGCAGGAGTGAAAGAGCTTGTGTTGGACACCCACCTGTTGCCAACGGGCGTAACTTGCCGCTTTTTCGACCAGCCTAGTCCAGAATATAGCCACCTTGTTGATCTTCTGCAAAGGCCTGGTTTCCGTCGCCTTGATCTCGCTCTAATGGCCGGCCAGCAGGAGCCGGGCGACTGGGAGTCTCTTCGAAACGGACGCTTGCGAAGCGCATTGGGAGAGGCCCCGGATTTGGAACATTTCCATCTGAACACGAATATCGGATATCACAGGGCTAAAGATCCTGGTGTCCATCATGCCCTCCTCCACGACATTTTCCCCATAGAGAGATGGCCGAAGCTACGACATTTTGGTCTGACGAGATTTCTTGTTTCGCAGCGTGATCTTGTTTCTTTCTTATCAAAGCTGCCGGCCTCTGTTCGAACCATTGAGCTAAATTGCCTGTATTTTATCTCCGGTGACGGTAACTACAGAGATTTGTTGGATAATATGCGCGACTCTCTGGACTGGAAAACGAGGATTGCTGTTGGGCGCCCAAAAGTGACTATCAGACTGGATCGTCTAGATTCCGGCGAAATGGATAGCCGAACTGTCTGGCTTGAAGAAGAGGTGGGTAATTTTCTTTATGAGGGAGGGCCCAATCCGTTTCACCAAGCATTTCGCGATGAAGTACTACCCGGGCATGGTGGTACGCTGCGAGATGAGTTTCAGCCTGAGCTGGTGCATCCATGGGTCGATCATGATACCCTCGTGCTCATGGGGATTGAGAAAGAATCTCCTTCTGTTAGAATTGAGGGTGACGACTGATGACATCTAATTAGACTGTCAGTTGTTTCTTTTTGATATCAAGCCTAGTTAATATGTCTTTTGATGGCTACTAGGTAAGAACTCGATTGTCCATGTGAGTTATGTTGGTAGCATGCTAAAGAGTGCAAGTACACTTATAGCGACAAGGTAGCTATTGCCACTAATTATCTACATCATATATGTGAAAATGTCTGGTGTTACAATATTGAAAAAAGCTTGTCGAACTTCTTCTTTGGTACTTTCAAACGTAAGATGTGCTCTTTCGTACACCTCCAGCATTTGTTGTTTGGGAGCACAACTGTTAATCATCCCATACGAGTACTGATACCGGCGGCTGCCAACCTCCCTATCCAGTTCCCGCTGTTCATACAACAGAAATTATCTATACAGGTTGTGAAATGACTTCAAATAGTTTCAGATTGGGAACGCTAAGGTATAGAGATGGCATACCGATTTCCTAGGCCGCATCCCTTAGTTGGGGCAGTACGCAATTGCTAAACATTAGACATCAATTTGTTGGCTAAATCAGATATGCGGTATAGTTTATCCAGCGGTAAGCCATGTAATTTAAAAGCCATGCTCTATGGCATGTTGCTAACTTTTCGTACCACAGTTCTATCTCTGTAATCTTTTAGGACCGATTTTGCTTCTCCAGTGAATCCCGTCTTTTTCATCCATTCTCGAACGGATTTGACTCTGGTCGGCAAGATCTCGTCAAGCAGATCGTAATCTCTCTTACTCAGCTCATCCTTCCAACAGTTCCAGAACCCGCCGTAGCTTTGCCTATAAGTGAGCAAAGTGGGATCATTGGGATCAGCTGAATGGCCAAGCTTTCTCTCTGGATCCGGCACAGTTCCTCGGCTGAAGTATTCATCTAGGGTAAAGTCTTTGTATATCGCCTTCTTTCCTGTCAGTTCAGTAAAAGTGGCTGCAAGATCACTCCAGCTGACATCCTCTGTGCCAATATGTAGATTGAGACCATTGCTGCGAGCTGGCATGTCAAATGCCCATCGAACGTATTTTCCGTAATCCTCAAGGTGCATCAGAGGGAATTTCGCTGACCCAAGAGGAGCAGCGAAAACAAGCGTAGTCGGGTCGCTGGTGTCAGGAGTTGGTCGAAGAAGCTCCGTCAAAGACTCCATGTATGTACAAGCTGTCAACACCGACCAGGCCATTGGGACTGTTGATTGAGCGGAGATGTAATCAGCAACTTTTCCCTTTGCATCAAGAAAAGATCGGTATTTGGCTTGGAAATTGCCAAGCTTGGATGAGTATTCAACGCTTGAGTATACAAAGTGCTCCAAGCCGAATTCTCGAGACAGTTCATAGAGACGGATGCCCCAGTACACCTCGGCCTTTTCTCCGATGGCAAGTCCATTTGTGTTGACAAAGATTCCGTTGACGCCATCGAGAGCCTGACGAAGTGTCGGTTCATCGTAAGCGCTTCCTTCGTGGATTGTCACTCCCGGTATTGCTGCTAAACCCTGAGCGTCTTTTGATGAAGCATTTCGTGTGACTATGCGCAAGTTATATTTTGAATCGGAGGTCAAGGCTTTCCTTTCGATCAGTAGCAGTCCTGGACTTGCTAAGAGGAGGTGACAGACCTTTGACAACTGGTACGCCTTGGGCGCCTGTTCCGCCAATGACCAATATGGTTTTCTTCATCTTAAGATTATATGTCGATGAAACCGAAATGTGACAATGCCTGATTTGGATTTGGATTGTCTGGCATTAATAGAGTAGAGACGCGTTGGACTATATAGTAAAATAATCTTGTTTAGTGTAAGTAAAGTTAGTTCCGGTGATTACTTGAGCAACACAACAAATAAAACATCGGACGTCATAAACTTCGATTCTATCCGCTAGAGCTAAAATTTTAAAGTTTAGTGCTAGACTGCGTCGAAGTTCGGATAGAAGCCTTGAGTCCGGATAGAATCTCGCCCTTTCAGTTGGATTATAAATCTTCAGACTAAGAGATGAGTGCCCCTTGACAGGACGCCACGGATACTCATAGGGCCTACCACAGTCCCGCAACCCTACTTGTGAGCCGTGACTCTCAAAGGGCAGCGTGGCTCTTTTTACGTCAACAATTGAAGGCAATTAGGGTTGAGTATGAATACGCAGTGGCATATTTGTATTATCAAGCAATGTAAAACTAGATTGCCGAATTCTCTTCCGTAGGGTTGTCGGTAATGAATTGGGTTCAACACGATAAACAGCATCCGTTACAGGTACTCTAGTATGCTTGGAAATTATAACCGTCTAATATTGATTTGTATTCTCCCGATGAGATCAGCTGCTGTCTTTCTCACTAATTTGCATCACCCGTAATAGGGAAATCGTGTTCATGCCAGTTCATTGGGACTACTCTAGTACGGTCGGGGCAAGTTTCTTACACTTATCTAATAAGACGGACAATTTTTCAACTCACATCTCAGGAGCATTGGTCAATCGAGATGAACGTAAATGAGAAAATAGAAGAAGCATATGTAAGTCATAATGTACGGAAAAACAATGCGTGAGCCAAAAGAATCCCTTCTTCCAAACCTTTTCGTTTAACAGTCTCCAGCTATCTTGGTGTTAATTCTGCTTCTCTTATGGACTTGGGCCAGTACTCGTGGGCGACATTCCATGCTCTCGGGCTTATTGTCACCTAGCTCACTTCCTCAGAGGAGTCCCTATACGGAATCGCTTCTTTAACCGACTTATCAGGTCAGTATCATTGCGAACATTCTCCTTGGCTGTATGTGATGTTGCTGCCAATTTTGCTTTACGTTCTTTTCTTGAAGCCTCCCAGCACTGCTGTCGTGCTTTCTCGTCTTGGACAGCCTTTTCTTGTTGCTCTTCAGGCAAACCCATTATCCAGTCGCGACTTTCATCTCGTCTGTAGAGTTCTTCCATTTTTTCCCATTTTTCCAATTGTTCCAGTTCATGTTGGGTCATCTCGGGACTGAATGCCTTGGGAGAAGCCACTGCATCAATTAGATAAAACTCAAGGTTCCGATTGGCGTGCTTACCATTCTTGTTCTTAAGCAGACGGAGACTGCAAAAATAAGAAGAATAATCGTCGAAATGATCTTTGGAATCCATGTCGAAGAAGTGTTCCTCCTGCTCCGAGAATATGTTCATGTTGAACAAATAGCTGTTGCTTAAAATAACGTCCATGCATAGATCTTCAAGCACATGAAAGGTGCATTGCACTGTTGTCTTACCAACTCTCCACTGTACATCTCGTACAATGCCACTCGTCATGGTTGTGGATCCATCAGCGAGTTCGACTTCAACCAGATTTCTGACATCAGAGTCAATATCTAACCCAATCTTCCGGGCAAATGCACCATTGACAAACATGGCGTCAGAGCCTGTATCCGGAAGTGCCGCAGTCAAATGGCCGTTGATATACCCCCGCAAACGTTGCTTCTTGCCCCCTAGAAAACTCAACGAAAACCGGTTGAACACCCCAATAAGCCTAACTTTAATGCGATCGCGGAATCTTTTAAGCGTGTTTGTTGCTTGTAAGAACGAACTTCCTAGAACCAGATCACGAATGCATCCCGGGAGTATCCAGCAGTTCATCATGTGCTTCTCTCGTTGCCTGGTAAATTCCCACGGCACTTGTACCATCCCAGGAGACTCAACTACTTTTTCATTGGCAAGTGTTATCTTCTCTTGTGTTCCAGGAACAGGAAGAAGGCCAAGACGAGAGGCTAATTTCGATGATATGAAGCACTTGTCTGCCCCAGTATCCGGAAGTGCCTCTATAAGCATTCCATTTACCGTCCCAGCTACGTAATATTGTTTGTCCACCGAGTCGGCAAGGGGGTATTCTTGATATATTCGCCTGTTCAGCAGTTTTTGAGTTAACTGATTCAGAATATTGTGTGACCGCATTCGCGCAGACATATTATATTTGGAAGCTAGTCTTCGAAGAGCCGGACTAGCGGATGGATGCTGACAGGCCATGAAAAAATCGTGATGCTCATGAAGTAATGTACGATGCAGGGCGATAAGTCCCTGCCACTGTTCGTTATTAAGCTGCTGGGGTAAGTGACCATTATCAACTTCAATGCACTTAGATTCAACCATAACAAGCCCTGCATATATACCCTTGACTTCAGCAACGAGCTGCTCTTGGGATATTGGCCTAGTTTCAGGCTGCCGAATCAGCTGAGATACAGAAGGATCCTCGGTATAATCATCTGCCCCGACATCAGCATCTGGGACAGGTTCCGGATCGGGCTCCTCCATTTTATACTGGGTTGGCTTTAGTGTTTGTGTTTTGAGCTGAGAAGGCCTTTGGGGACCGCCACCGCTTGGACTCCAGAGCTGACGCGTGCTTGAACTTTTGGCACCGCGATCGAACTCTCTCCAGTTGTTATCGGCTTGCTGCCTACCTCGCTCCCGCCTAGTCGGGCTAGGGGGCGGGGGGTAGCTACTGGGAGAGCAAATCTTCTTATTGCGACCTTTATTATTTAAGCTCTCTTTGGTATTTAAAGTGTCTGAATTCTGCTGGTCGTCTGGCCAATCAAAAGCCGATCTTTTTCTGCTTCTTTTATTATGGCCTTGTTCTGTGGTAGATATAGGCTGAGGTCTTTGGTATATGTTAGATAAGATAATGGAAGACGTGGATGTATCAAAGGCGGTTATAGGTTCTGGCGAGGGTAACTTACTGAGGCTTAGATGAGGTAAGTTTCATCCGTTGGAAGGCTTCTAGAATGGCCTCCTCCTCCGTTGGGTGCTTTTCGGCGCTGATTTCATGTTAGACATGTTGCTTAAATCCATCGAGCGTGGGCGGCTTAACGTCGGCCTGACAAATAGGGCAGCTGAACTGGCGTGAATTGCGCAGATAGTTGACAAAGGCTTTGGAAATGTCTGGTTGGATAGACATTGTTGCTTAAAACCCGGCCAAACGCTTATTTTGACTTCTTCGCGAGGATGAAAGCTAATGCGTAATAAAGTGATATCGTTACCGTCCTAGATGGAAAAGCTTTGGTCTTGACGTCTTTTAGGTAGACATATCCCAATGTCAAAATATTTGATCTGGGGATTTTAAGGGAGCTGACGTACACAATTGTAACAGCAAGGCAGCCGCGTTGTGAGATGCACTGCGCCACCTTGGGCTTTATCTTGGGCTTTCATGCATGCATCTGCCTGTAAATTAAACCTCACTAAAACCAGACACCTGCCCAGCCACCGTTTTGGTTGTCTCCAATCAGCAACGAACACACTTGGTGACCGCTATGAACCTTGAATCTTGTGCAGCCTTATTTGGCTCTTCATTAATTCATATTCCCCTTCTTGGCGGCTACTCCATCGGTGTTCAGTCATCTTTAAGTACAGGTCCTCGCTTCATCGAGAGAGCTTTTCTCATCCGTTACGCAGTTGGGCGGGTTGCATTGTAGCCGTCTATCCCCGCAGAACAATGGCGAGAGCGCAAGATCCAAGCGGGGACTTTTTTCATCAGAAAGAGGGATTTGCGCAAGTTGCAAGGTGGATTGCCCTCGACCCTGACAAAGAAACGTCCATCTACCGCAAATTCGACGAGCTTGCAGCCCGAAATCTGCTGTACTTGCAATCCGAACTCCTAGTTCTTGAGAACAAACTGGATCAACTAGATAGAAGTGATGCCAAAAGCGATGATATGGATCTGGCGGATGCTATCATGACATGGGAAACACTAGAACGACAGTATAATGCTGGTAGTGAGAAAGCACGAGTCCGCATGGACTTAATTGTCAAGATACGAGCTAAACTAAAAGAATACCGTTCGTTAAACGTCCAATGTCACCTCAAGCAGCGGCTAATTACTATTTAGATGAGGCACTACTGTTGCAAAGTGAGATAGCAAAATTGAAGCAGCCTTCCAAGCGTATTCTTGATACATATCGAGAGTGGTTCAACAATCCACGACCTGTACTAGGCGGGCTTTCAAAGACATTTCTGGATAATCCAGATGATCTTGTTGGTCTCCATTCATTGGAAACTGATTATTTATCCATCTTCTTAAGGCGGTACTGGCCGTTCAAGGTATACAATCTAGTCTAGATTTATGTAAAGTCTGCTTACCATATAATAGGAAGAAATCTCTCTGGATAGCCACCGCAGTGTAGGAAGATATTACGAGAAATCTATTTCTGCAGCAACGGCCATCATTAGCATTCTTATAGCTGCATTTCTCTTGGTCGGCCCCATCACAGCTCTCTATTTCGTCGCCAATGATGCCGCCAAGCTTGGCATGCTTGCTGCCTTTACGGCGTTGTTTGCTTTGAGTGTTGGTCTAATGACCAACGCAAAGCGAGCGGAGATATTTGCATCTACAGCAGCGTAAGTTATCTCGGTAATTGTGAGCTAGTATTACACTAACTGAGTCTTACATAGCTATGCCGCTGTACTCGTGGTGTTTGTGAGCGGAAACATCTCGAATTCTACGACTTTGCCTGCAACATGAACAACAGATTTCGTTGCAACACACGATGACCCCTGTTCTGGCTGATCTAAGCTTCTCGCAAATCGAGGCTGGCTGAACTCAATCGAGACTCGGCCGGTGTTTGGGCTGGGCCTTGACTCGCCACCAATATGACCACTACTATTCCCACTAGTATCACTACTAGCACAAGGAAGATGCTTAGTAGAGCCCCACGGAAATCTCTTTCTCTCACGTTTGCTGGCAATACGCTACTCCGTATCAAGTCTACTGGCCATTGTTTCGGCCTGGTCCGCACGCGCCGTGCAAGTTGATTGGGAGAGATTGGGGTTCCTGAAGTCTAGATTGATCCAGGAACCCTCGGGTCGGCCCCTGTCAAAGCAGTGTTGAAGTCTTCATAGGCCACCGCCACCAATATGTCTAATTCCAGTCTCCCTGTGGGGAAACAAGCATTCAGCTGAACAAACATCCATGCGAAGTTCCCGAAATCGTAAGAAACTTATGGGACTTGTCAATAGTCTCGGCGCTACGCTCACGATGGCCTCAAAACACATGATGATTTTATCGATAGTTTTGATGCTACTCTCGGAGTGGCCTTATGGAAAGGGTCTTGACCCAGAGCTGGACATGTAATCCCGCGCCTTGTTGAAAGGCCTCCACGGAACATGGCCGGATGAAGTCTGCAGGTGCCTTGCTATATGAAGAGTAAAACCCGTGCTAAACCCTCGAGAGGGACTCAAGCAGTTTCCGTTGTTTACTCAATCAACGACAACTTCCGGTTTTGAGATTGCGGGAACTGCTCGGCAATATGCGCCCTGTTCTCGCCAGCGCCCTCGCGCTTCTTCTGGCGACTGAGGCGGCTGGCCATGCCATCCCGGTCGTGGAAAGCAACGAGTTAGTCGCCCGATCCTCGACATTCCGAGCAAACAACGGCGTTCAGTTCGCCGTAGAGACGGGCTTCGACCATCATGGCGGAGATTACAAGTCGGTTACCTCCAACAGCCTTCACGACTGCATCAATGTCTGCTCAACCCAGGCTTCATGCCGGGCCGTCTCCTATTCCGGCAAGACATGTTGGCTGAAGTCTTCCGTTAATGCTGCTGTCGTAAATGGCAAAGTGATCGGCGCAGTCCGCACACAATATGTACCGACTCCGATTACTTGTCCGGCAGATGGAAGCAGTCGGGTGAAGATGGCGGATGGACGGTACTTTACCGTTCAATGCGGAGTTGACCATCCCCATGGCGATATCAAGTCGACACAGACACTGGACTTTGCCAACTGCGTCCTCCTCTGCGATGAAACTAAAGGCTGTGTCGCTGCTACCTGGCGGTCTGGAACTTGTTATCTGAAGAAATCTTTACAATTAGGGGTTGCTGGCACTGGAGCCAGTACTGCTGTGTTGACTTCATTATTGCCAGCTGCTCCGGCTTTCTGCCCTGGCCCAAGCGGCCAGCAGATTAAGGAGACAAGTGGTAGAACCTTTACAGTTTCCTGTAACACTGATCATCCTGGCAGTGATTTGAGGAACAAGCTACTGGCCAACTTTGGAGACTGCATTTCATGGTGTGACGAGACGACCGGCTGCGTTGCCTCTGTCTATCACGATGGCCGATGCTGGCTGAAGAGCAAGCTTACAGCTTCTACGCCACGAACAAACAGCCAGTTTGCCGTGCTAAACTCCGCGCTTAGCCCTCCACCTTCTCTCTGCCCGAGCCAGAATGGCAAGCAGGTTAAGGAACCAAGCGGCCGAAGCTTTACCATTGCTTGCAACGTGGACCGCGCCGGTGGTGATATGGCGTCGAAGAAACTCAACAACTTCAACAGCTGTATCACTTGGTGTGACCAGACGAGCGGTTGTGTTGCTGCTGCTTACCATGATGGTGAATGCTGGCTGAAGAAGACGCTGTCTAAGACTTCAACCCGCGCGAACGGTCAGATTGCCGTGCTCAGCAGCAAGTTGCCACAGACGTCAACCCACACTACATCTACGTCCACCAAGAAGACTACATCGACATCCACGAAAAAAACAACCTCGACATCCACTACGAAGAGCACATCCGTGTCTACCCAAAAGACTACATCATCGACTACCAAGGCTTCGTCTACTTCGACTAGCTCTCAGTCTTCTCAATCATCTACCAGCGCTTCGACCTCAAGCAATATGCTTATCAGCTCCTCAAGCACTAGCTCTGATGCTACTTCTGTTCCAACTGAGACCACAAGCTCCTCAAATACCAACTCTGCTGTTACCTCTCCTCCAGCACAAACCACGACCGCCTCTTCCCCAACGACAGACTCTAGCTCAGACAGCTCAACAAGTCCCCCAGATACCACATCATCAAGCGATGTCCAAACTACTACTAGTTCTCCAGCTCCGAGCGGCACCGCCCAAATCCCGAGCGGACCCCTTACCCTTCCAGCTCAGCCAACTGTCACTCTTCGCCCACTGGCACCGCCAAACGTCGATGTTGCAGGCACCGAGGTTATCACTCCCAAGGAAGTTTCGCAGCTCTGGTTTGGAAGTACATCACCAGGATCGGATGACCCAGATGCGGTCAACTCTCCCACAGTCCGTGTTAACGTCACCTTTCAGTATCCTTCTGTTATACTTGACAACTCTATCAATATCCTCAATATCCAGTGTGACTCGGACAATAGTCTGTCTGCCAGCTTCGATGGAGTTAAAGCCTACAATGCCGCCAAGGAATCCTGGGCTGAAACTGAGGGCAGCGGCAACACCCTCATCATCATCACTGCTGCCTCTGGATGCAGTTCTGACGGTCACTACGTCTATTTTGTCGCTACTCACATTACCTTTGACGATGCGACCAAGTCTGTGAGCTGTTCAGGCTCTATGAAGTCAGTTGCCGACATTGCTCAGGACGTTGGCGTCGACTTTGGCTCCATTGAGACTTCTGTGCCAACTCTTGAGCCAAACCCTGAACTTGCGGCTGCATATGGATGCACTGCGCCCAGTGCAAACGAGGTTGACGGTTTGCCAGCCATTTACTGCGGCCCCGATTTCGATTATCGCCTTAACAATAAGTTGGGTTACTACTCTGTTGCAGATGAAGATCTTGATGTAAGTGCCTGTACCTAGCTCCCCTCTCTTCCATGTCCTTTCTTTATGTCTAGCCTGTAAGTACTAACATTCAGACAGGCCACCTTCGCAGCCGTCATACCCGGAGTCCAGGTCAGCGACCTTCAGAGCCGAGCCCTTCTTGAGCGCAGATGCTGGCCCTCTTTTGCATGCAAAGCCGTTGCTTGGGTTGATCATGCCGCAACTACAGCGTACAATGCAGTCAAGGACGAAGCCAAATCCATCGGCAATGGAATCGCAAATCTCGCCACAAATCTTGCAAACGACGCTGTAAACAACTTGAAGAATCTTGGAAATACAATCCTAAATACGGCTGAAAATTTTGCCAAGGGTCTGCTTGCAGCCGTGACATTCATCATCACGGGCGACTATGACCGATCATTTGACTTTCCCGTGCAAGCTACTCCACCAAAGAGCGCGCTGGATGACTCTCCTTGGGGCGATGGCTTCAAGTTCTATACGTGGACTCCTGATAAGGGCGAGTACTGGGACGCTCAGAGCGCGGCAATCGACAAGATCAAGGGCGTCATCCTTGGTGAGGCGGATCCGGAGCCCAGCATTGAGCTGTGGTGTGTCGATTGCCAGGCCAATGGTAAGCTAAAGCTTGATGGAAGTGCCTCTTTCTCTCTCATCAACGGCCTCACCAAGGCCCAGCTTTCTTTGGATGGATCTTTGGATGTTGGTCTTTATCTCGGCATGAACGCTTTTGCCGAGTGGAATCCCAAGGAGCAGTACGACTTCCTCTCCGTGGGCTTGCCCGGGCTGTCGATTCCCGATATTCTCACTATTGGCCCTGTGCTCTCTCTTGGAGTGTCTGCAGATTTAGATATCGCTGCTGTTGGACAGTATCTCGTTGGTGCTGACATGCAATGGACACAGCTTTCAGCCAAGCTAGATGTTCTTAACCCTAAAAGCTCCTCCAAGTCAGGCTGGACACCAAATATCCGGGACACAGTTCAGGCCGACGGTAGTTTGACTATCAATTCTACTCTTGGTCTCCCAATTACCCTTGGATTCGGTCTCAATATCCTCAATGGTAAATATGAGAAGGAGATTAAGCTTGTCGATACCCCCGGTGTTCGTGCTAGCAGTAAGTTACCCCTTTCCCCCCTTTAAACAACTCCTATCAACTAAGTTGCATACTAACCGCCATGGCTTTCTTCTATGTAGTGGAATACGACTTCACCAACGAGGTCAACAACGGCGAAGTCAACACTGACCCCGAAGATGGCTGTTACGGCATCCACTGGAGCGTCGGCATGGTCAACACCGTTGTGCTCGATCTCTCCGATATCAAGCAAGGAAAATACACTCTAGATGAATATGACGCCCCTGTTTTTGCCTCTGGCTGCATCGGCGAGAGTCTCACTATCGCCCCTCCTACGGCAACCGTTTCTGCTCCAACTGGTGGCACCACTTCTGTTCCCCCTGCTGGTCCCGACTGCGCCTCACTCAGCTGCCCATCAAGCGACGGCCAGTTTTGCGTGGCAAACGGAGCAACGTTCCGACTTAACTGCAACTTGGTATACGGCTCAACGATTGAAGATGTCTTCAAGTCTCGTAGTGCCGATACCTGCACGAATTCTTGTGCATCTGATGGTAACTGCGTTGGCGTCAATTTCCTCTACTTTGGCAGTTTCAATGTTGCTCTTCCCGACTGTTGGAAATTTTCTGATGGAGCCCCCATGAATCCTGCGCCAGCTGGGATTATGGCTAGTTTCGTAAAAGTGAACTCGCAGCACAAGAGAATTGAACTTGTTCAACGAGTCACGACCGTGACGACCAGTGCTTCTGCCAGTGGTACTGCCAGTGGTACTGCCAGCGCAAAGGTTCTTGTCAAGGATACACTCACTTTCACGCCTTCTGCTGCTCCTACCTCTACTACAGCCATTTCAACTGATGCTACATCGACTGCTGCTGCATCGACTGCTGCTGCATCGACTGCTGCTACTTCTACGGCATCTACTACGACTTCTTCTACAGGCACTTCGACTGATGTCACCGCAATCAGCACCTCAACCAGCTCTCCTGATTCAGCTCACGACACCGCCCCTGTCATCATCCACGATGCAACCGGCCACCTACTTATCAACCCCCATGTAAACGGCAGCTTGTTCATCTCTTCAGCTGACAGCTCCGTGTCAATGACCAGCCTGACCAACGACACCACGTTCGTAGCCGATCTTACTAGGCCCATGGTTAGCGGTGACTCGGCTGGCCGAATTCTGTACTACTTCCCCAGCACAATCTCTGTTGTGGGCGCTTCACGTCTGCGATTAGGCACATGGGATGCTATTCCCATCGGTGCCGAGATGATTATGCTGTTCCCGACAGTCACCAGCACGGGAGTGACTGTTCTTGTGGCAATGGACAGCACTCAAAACCTCTTCTATCCTTTTGTCTGCGACATTGAAGGCCAGCTGAACAAGATCTTCCTCGTATCTGATGCGACAACTGGCGTGTCTAAGCTAATGGATCCCGAATTGACTTATACAGTTATCGGAGGAGTTGCTCAGTCGTGCGTGTCGCTCGCCATGGTGGCCAAGGATCTACCTGGTTGGAGCCCGGGTGGTCCTAAGGCCACACCTACAGACTGAAAGCAGTGTTTTAAAAAGCGTTAGGAAATTATAGATTAGACAATTTAATATTTAAGTGTTTCATTTCTCAATGCGCGATGAAGTGCATATATTCTAAACAAGCACGACGGTATCATCTGATTGATTTCTCCACGGGGGTTTCCCGATGCTCAATGTGAAGCAAGCACAACGATGTGCGCATATTTTAATTTCAATATTAGGCACCAGCGCATTTCCTCAATATCAATACCAAGCCGTTCAGGTGTGGCTCATTAAGGCCTAACGATAAAGCGCATATGCATTGTAGCCGTGTTTCCAATCGCCTTTCCAATCGCCTTTCCGTAGCCTGAATGCTGAAGATCAGGCTTTAGGCATCTTCCCACCAGCCCGCTTCTCAGAATTTTTCAACTAATTCTTCTAACCAGGCGCTTTACGTATCGCGAATTATAATCGGGATGTCTGGATTTGAGGCTTTATCGATGGTCTGCAGTATCATGCAGGTCATCTCTTTTACTAAAGAAGTTCTGACTCTCTGCAAAATTGCGACCATAAGTGTTAGGTTGTGACATACAAGTACCGGATTATCTTACTTCCGTTATGATTTAATTGCCCACGCCCTGGCCCGTTTCAAACACTGCCCATTCTCACAGCTGCGCTGTAAAGTGGCCATGTTTACTCGCCCTGGTGCATCCTTCATGGAGAGGAATTCAGTTACTAAATCTGGGATCCCTGATGAGGCCGAACCATCCCGTAACATTAATCTTCTAGGTCAGTATTAGAAGTCCTACAAGTTAAGCCCTGGACTTGGCTCTACATAGCAAATTTGCAATCCATGTGGTTTAGGGAGCTTACCATGTTGTACCAGACCCTACCGTACAAACGCAGGCGTTTTTCAATGAACGGTTTATCGATGGGGAGCCTAACAACACGTTGGTAAACGCCAAATCTTATTGCTTTTCTGGCTTCCCGCTGACGGTGACTGATAGATGGGCCACCTTAAGTGGCGAAAATCCATTTCCACCACACACTACAGTTTCCGACCCCAGATCTAGCCATTATGGCCAGTACCCTGATATTGACACCATCCCAGAGTTTGATAGCACGGACAATATCCTATGCGATGATTCGACTTTGAGTTTCGGTGCTGGATATGAGGCACCCTCTAATGTTTCAACAAGTTCACTGGACTCCCTCGCAACGTCCGCCTCTGCGTATGCTCGAAGGCGGAGAAAACGACAACATGGGACTTGGAGACCTATAGGCTCGCAACATACCACCGATGCGAGAAGATACCAATGTACCTTTTGCACAGATACCTTCAAGACGAAGTATGACTGGCGGAGACATGAATCACACTACACTTGAGTCTCGAACAGTGGCAGTAAGTTAAATCCATTTTGCTTCAGAGAGCACGGAACTGAAAGACGTGCGCCGCCTCTTTATGATTGTTCCGATCTGACTTCACTTCACTACAGATGTGCAAGATTCGGCCCTGTCATACAGCACACAGATGGAACGATACACTGTGCGTTCTGTCAGTATCCTGAGCCCAGTACAGATCACTTAGACCTACACAATTTTTCTGCCTGTTTAGCTAGGCCTTTGCAAGAGCGTCTCTTCCGGCGTAAAGATCATTTACGTCAACATCTACGACTTTTTCACAATGATTCCGATTTTCATGAGCATATGGAAAGTTGGTTCTTCGCCATCGACAACGTTCGGTCTCGCTGTGGATTCTGTGACACCAACCTAGAGAGTTGGGAAGAGCGGCAGAAGCACCTGGCATCCCATTTCAAGAGAGGCGCTGACATGAAGGATTGGAAAGGGGACCGGGGGTTTGACCGACAAATTGATAACCTTGTGGAGAACGACATTCCTGCATTCATGATTGGAGACCAACGTAACACTGTTGAACCTTTCTCGGCGTCGCAAGCAGATCATCGAGCCGAGCCCCCAAACCCAATATTTCCTGGTGAATCATCGGTCACTGAGTTGACTGAACGCCGGATGCTGGATACCGCGAGAGGCTTCGGCGAAGTAACGATTCAGTCGCCACACTCGCAAGGCGAACTCAAACGTATTCTCCTTGCTTATGTATCCGAAGAAATACGGCAAGGTCGTGTTCCATCTGACAGGCAGCTGCAAAGGAAAATGAGCGAAATAATGTATGGACCAGACGGCGAATGGGATCAAACTTGGGCAGACAACCCTCAATGGCTCGACCTATTTCGAAAGCAGGCAGGCTTGATTAGTCTACCCCTTAGTGGTGGCAAAAATGCGTTTATTGGAATAGACGCGGATTGAATAATGCCACGCCTCTTTTTACTTTACCTCTCACATTCGAAAAACGCATAGCCCCCTGTGGGCTCTCACGACAAGTTATATTATCGGACCGCGGATTTCCTCTTGATACAAGGCAACTGCTTATCAGCGGTTACCTGGTGTAGTAAATAAGCACTCTTATTGAACTTGTCGCCTGTTCCTAGCTAAAATGTACCATCAACCGTCTTTTTAGCATCTTCGACAGTTAATACATAATTGGAGAGCCGTTGTTAAGCCTGCCACCTATGATGGACACGCTTGTCAGTTCCCGCAACAGGCCCCCATCCCGTCTAATATAGCTGCTACGGCGAGTTACAGGTTTCAAATATGGAGCTTTCGGTTCATACAGCGCTAGAGTGCAATTCTATTACTACTCCCCCGACACCTTGAAATATAGCTTTTGCCCTGAGATCTGATTGTTGCGGTGCCTATCTATCGCAAGCATAACAACATCCGGATTAAGCGCTCCAAGAAGAGTGACAACAGGTGTCGTGAGAAACCCGTTACGAACAAGGCTTGGAAGTTGACGGTATAACTCCATGCTTAATTCGTGGTCCTCTTTGTGGAGCTAAATCGAGGCAACCCATGAGTATAGTAGAAGACATGAGATAAAAGCAACACCGCAAGGGACACTAAAGCTTCAAGACTTACTGGCCATTGAACCAAGCGGCGGTAGGAATGTGCCCATGGAAATGCTTTGAACACAAACACATCTGTCACCTTCATGTTTTGTTTGACTCCAATAGTATTAGATTTGCCGGGACGGACCGTACACAAGGCTCCTGAGCTGCTGCCTATGACTTCAGCCGCAGTAATTGAGGAAGTCGCACTTCCAACCGTATCGAAAATGTGGGTTATGTTGGGTAGAGTTGCCTGAATGTTGGAAACAACATCCTTATCATTATAGTCGAAGACATGTGTCGCTCCAGCATCCTTTGCACGCTGGAGGTTTCGCGGGCTACATGTGGTTGCAGTAGTTATGCCGTGTAGCTTCGCAATTTGAATTGCGAAATACCCTACCGTAGCTGGTCAACCAGTCAGTATTAAGGTTGAATTTTAGATATAGAAATGGCATACTTCCTCCGCCCCAAACTAGAAGCTGTGGCTTTGTAGCTGATACGTTGCGGTTAATTGCAAGACAATCCTTGGAAAACAGCGCCAGCCAGGCCGTATTCGCCGCAAGTGGCACTGCGCAGGCGGCTGCGTAGTCTACATTTGCCGGGATTTTAAACGAGATGCGCTCGTCCGCTATGCAGTAAGAACTGCGCGTGTTAAAACAAAACAGCTATGAGATCTCGATACACTCACGAGTATGCTCCTATGCCTTTGATCTCACCTAGCGGCCATATTATCAGCAAGGCTGACCACTGTCTGCACGCTAATGTATGTCCGTACCTCCCCAAACCAAAGCAGCTACTCTATCACCAGTTGCCAGCTTTGTCACGTTAGGATGGATATGTGTCACGACTCCAGCAAAATCGCATCCAAGAAATGCCCCATCACCGAATGCGTTCAGCTCAAATGCCAGACCTGTGCAAGGTTATCATATGAGTGACATGGGACCAATTCAAAAGGGACATACGATCTGTTGGATTGAAGGCTGCGTACTCGACTTTTACGTAAACTTGGTGTTCTTGCAATGCTGGTAGCTCGACGGACTCTGATATCAAGGCGTCGCCCCATTGCACAACTGCCATGGCACGAGGAAGCGACATTGCCGGGCCCGTAAGTCGACATATTGAGAGCAAGCGCGCTAGAAAGACCTGTATACACTAATGTTCAGAATGATATGTACATGTAGCTACACCCAATGTACCTGCAAGTAGAAATTTCTGCCCCGGGCGACGTTCCATCACAGGTTGAACAAGGTTATGTAAATAATAACGTCACGTAAGCATATGTTAGGGGTTTGTTGATATGAGAAGCTCCTGTCCTGTGTTTTCTCATGACAAAGAGGAAAATTTCTCCACGCCCTGCACCGCGCCCTGCATCACGCCCTGCATCACGCCCTGCATCATTACGCCCTGCGCCGTGTAAGATACTGTTGCGGCAGACCCACCATCACAACCACCTAGTTTTGATGACTACTACTATATTGACCAGGAGGTGCAGATAAGGTGCGCCACGAGTTAATCTTGCGCAATTCATGCGCAATTCTCCCAAAGTAAAAATTGAAAAGAAAGTCTAGAATCTCCTCTCCTCGCCATCAGCAGCTCTGTAGTAGATGGCAACCTTTCATGCCAGCCAATCATGCCCTAAGCACTGTGTCCTGGTTGAAAGCGCCAGTTGGACCTTAGGTCACTAGCTCTATCATCGCTTAACAAGCTATCCTTACGATTCTAGACCTGATTTATGTATAACCAAGTGTAACCTATCTACCCTTAACTGGGTATAGACCAGTTTATTATAAAAAGATTCTCTCTTTATTTTAGAAGGTTTAGAGATGAATACAGTCATTATTAGATACCTAGCTGCTAAAGAGTAGCTAAGATACAGATTGTTCCCTTCTTTAACTTCACCACTCTCCCCTTTATACCCAGCTCTCTGATATCCAACAGGGACTATATGATATCTGTAAATATTTTAAAGTACTTTACTCCGTAAAGATAAAATGCATACAGTACTACCTAACTAGTAAGATATATTGCTTGCTTCCATATCAACCACTACACCCCATTCATGTTGTTCTTTATGTTCTTTACCAAACATTATATTGTGCAGCCAAGATCGAATTGATGAGCCATAATTTGTGGCTAGTGGATCATCGTTCTGCGGCAGATCGAGGTCTTGGTGGTTATATTGAATTGCTGCCACTTTTGTGATGAAAAACTAACATAAAATGTGAGTGATAATGCTTATTAAAGTAATATATGTCGTTACAACTTACAGCAGTGCCAGAAACGAATGCTTCCAGAAAGCGACCCTCTTCCCAAGCAACTTGAAGGTCGCTCATTGTGAAGGACGACTCGACAACCTCGAGCTCATTGGCTAGATTCGCCTTGACTAGCTCAATGACTGACCGTCGAGTTACTCCATCAAGAATAATCTTCTCATCTAGAGGAGCCGTTAGAAGCTGGTGCCTTCCAGTTTCTCTGCTCCTTATAACGGCGAAGAAGTTGCTGGCGCCCGCTTCTGTTACTTGGCCCTCCGGCCCGAACAGCCACAAAACCTGATCATAGCCAGCCTGCACAGCCTCGTCATGAAGAACAAAGCTAGGACCATAGTTTGCGCCAACTTTGGCATGGCCGAAGCCCCCTGGCCAAGCCCGAATGGCATCACCTCGGGACGTAAGCAGTCGCAAGTTTGACTTCGAGAAGTCGGGCCAACACATAAGAAGAATAAACAGCGTGGCCTTCTTGGGTACTCTAACCCCGAGCTGAGCATCATTTCCGATGAGCGCAGGCCGTATGTAGAGAAAACTCCCTGGTTTCTGAAGCCACTCTGCCATCGACAGTCAGTCCCAAAAATAAGAGGTAAAAGATTGTTAGGCTCATACTTGGGGATTCAATTTGCACCAGTGCCATAATCAGCTTCACCAACTCATCTGCGTCGAATTGCGGCAGCGAGACACATTTGGCGCTCATAGCCAATCTCTTCGCGTTGAGTTCAGGTCTGAAAAGTCGGATTTTGCCATCAAACCCGCGATACACTTTCATACCCTCAAAACACTGCGTTGCATAATGGAGGCACGAGGCTAACGGTGAGATATTCAAATCAGCGACAGGCTTAATCTCTGGAGCATCCCAGCCGCGTTCCGTTGTCCATTGACAGGTCAACATATGGTCGGATGAAACGTTTTGTGCCCATATTTCGTTGGAATCAACCTGCGGCACTTTCCGAGGGTTAGTAGCTTGCGTAAACTTGATATTTGATGCGATAAGTGGCATTGCGACTTCCTGCTGCGGCCGTTTGGTGACAGCTGTTGCAAAGTCTGCGCTGGACATAGTGGAAGTAGATTTGCAATTTGGTTGTAGTGAATAAATGCAAAGCTATAGTCGATACTACTGCAAATATGAAAGCAAGCAATAGACTATTTCTTTGAGTTAACACAGACTTTTAAGAGATCTATCGCTCTACGATATATTTTCAGAATAAACCAGGCTGGTGGTACTTTACATTACAACAATTAATATCTAGATCTAGTTATTACTAACAGTATAATTGCATTTGATAGTAGTGCGGATTACAATCCATGTCTCGGTCTCATTATTCCCAATTAATATTAGTCTTGGGTCTCTTTCATCACCTTCCATATATTTTCGATCAGACCTCCAGCTAATTACCTAACTCCATGGCGCACTACAGGCTTTTCATCCCTCGCTTTCTGCGCCTTGCTACAAGCTCCAACGCCTTGCGACATGTTTTACGCCTTACTATGAGTTTTACGCCTTGCTATGAATTTTACGCCTTGCTACAAGCTCTAACACATTGCTACAAGCTCCAACACATTGCTACAAATTCCAACGCCTTGCGACAAGTTTAACGCCTTACTACGAGTTTTACGCCTTGCGACAAATTTTACGCCTTACTACGAATTTTACACCTTACTACGAATTTTACGCCTTGCTACAAGCTCCAACGCTTTGCTACGAGTTCCAACACCTTGCTGCACGTTTTACCCGCTACCTGTTTGCGCCCTGCTACACGCCCTGCTGCATGTTTTTACGCCCTGCTACTTGTACGCCTTGCACCATTCTGCACCATTCTGCACAGGACGCCTCGGGCTCACATGCCCAGCAGTAACAATGGGCGCGCAAGCAAACTTAATTCAAATTTTTCAAAGTGAAATCACGGCAAGATATATAATGACTTCATATTGCTAATATCTAGAACTTTTTTTTCATCACAGTCCTAACTTCTTAAGGAAAAAAAAAATAACATTAGACCAGACATCTTATTCTATTCCGCACATCCCTAGGTACCGACCGACACCCCATATTTTCCATTCCAACTCGTATTAAGCGGACTAGCATTTGTTGCGACAATGCCGGCCTATGTGGTAGCCATGATGGCAATCCATGATCGAGAAACGTATAGAAAATACACCGCACTGTCGCCATCAATCGTTAAGCGGTATGGCGGCAAATTTCTTACTCGGGGTGAAGAGGTTTGGTCAATGGAGGGAGATATATATAAGGATCGAATGGTAATCTTGGAATTTCCAACGAAAGCAGATGTGGAAGCATGCTTCAAAGAGGACGCCGAGTATCTAGCTGCCGTCCAGTTTCGCCATTCAGCCTCAATCGGGCGCATCCTGGTCCAGGAAGGAGGTACGAATACTGAAAATCCTGATCCAAATGTCTAAATAGACCGCGTAGGGAGGTATGGGATGAGATTTACCTTGATATACGATCATAGTTTAAAATTCACTTATGGGCATAGCTCAATAAAATATAAGACGCATAGTTTAATTAATGTTAATGTAACCAGAGAATAAGGGACACCAAATCTTACCACCTGACTCACGCGACCTCACACTTTTGGGGTCAAACAGACAGCTGATGCTAGTCCTATCATTGACCATTTGGGCAGAGCACCTCGGCTTTATAATAATATTATAATCAACCATAATTACAGCCTTCCGGCTCTGATTACTGAATGGATCGAATGCAGGTGGATATTGTAGATGTTGAAAGACTACTACTAGGTAGTGATAGCGCATATCGGTACATTTCGCTTTCCAGGCCGCAAGAATAAATACTTCTCCAATCACAACGTTGAAATGCGAGGCAAGGCTCCAGGCATTCTAGGCATTCTCTTCCCCGCTCGCATCTCCAAGCTCCCAACTTCAAAGCCGTTATACATGACGCGAATTTTGCGATCATAATGTCTGGATTCGAGGCTTTGTCGATGGTCTGCAGCATTATGCAGGTCATCTCCTTTACCAAAGAAGTTTTGACCCTCTGCAAAGATGTTTATGATGGTCGCCCGACAACTGACCGCCAGATGGAGGAAAACACAACATCTATCCAGGTTCTATTGGATAGTATGAGACAATGTTCTGTCTCTGTTCAGCAAACCAACAGTGATAAGGAGCTCTACGCAATAGCTGAGAAATGTAGCAAAGCCGCCCAAGAACTGCAGAAAGAGATGCAGCACGTTACCAAGCATTGCAAACCTGGAAATACAATAAAGGCGATGATCGCGGGATATAAATCTACAAGGCATAAAAGAAAGATCACATCTCTCTACAACATATTTTGCCAGTACCAGAAAACGTTGGAGACATATATATTGGTTCGTCTATGGTACGTCTATCCCTGCACTGTTCCTTATTTCAGCCTCATACAATAGTAAACTGACACAGTTCTGTATGTAGCACGAAGAGCGATGCTGCAGAGCTCCAACGCCGGGAAACTTTTAACGACCTTTCAGATACCATGAAGTACTTTATTTCTCAACTTGCTGCGGGCCATACTGAAATGGCCAATCTTATTACCCGTGAAAGTATTCAGACAAGACAGCAGATCAAAGATTCCGAGAATCAAGTGATACAGTCGATTAATGATGCCCAATCCACAGCATACTCTGAAGCAAAGAAAGATCGTCTCCTTCGCAGCCTGAAGTACGCGTCTATGAATACCCGGCGCACTGAACTTAAACCTGCGCACAAAGCTACATATGTTTCGATATTTGACTCGCTTGACGCAAATAAAGAACCAGATGGAGCGCCAGCCTCGAGTTCAGCGGCTGCTTGGAGAAGATTTGTCCAATGGCTTCAATCCGAGAGACGAGTATTCTGGATCCAAGGAAAGCCTGGTGCAGGCAAAAGCACTCTTATGAAGTTTCTCCTTCAACATGAAAACACACAGAAAGGGGTCGATAAATGGAGTCCCAATACTTTGATTCTATCACACTTCTTTTGGAAGCCTGGAGATAACTTACAAAGAAATTTCAGGGGATTACTATGTTCCTTGACTCATCAATTACTATCCAGCGAATGCAGTGCTGTCGACCATGTGCTGTCGGAATTACAGTTCTCTGGAGGCAAGGACAACATAGGAGACTGGGAAATCTCAGAATTGGAATCCATCTTTCATTCCTTAATGATACACTGCAAACGATCAGTTTTTTTCCTTATCGATGGTCTTGACGAGGCGACTGAGATTGAAGAAATTCTTCATTTTCTAGATTTTCTAATTGGACTACGCAGCGTCAAGATCTGTATATCTTGTCGGAGCGAAGATGTTTTTCTGGAAAAGTTTTCAAAGTATGACGGATTCAAACTCAACGACTTGACCAAGGATGATATGCTACAACTTGTATCTGCAGCCATTCCCGAGAGCCAGAGGTATCCGTCGGATTTTCTACAGGACTTGAGAAGCTTGATCGTCCAAAAAGCTGAGGGAGTGTATCTTTGGCTCGTTCTAGCACTTGAGAGTGTCAAGAGGGGACTTCGGAACAACGACGAGCAGAATGAAATATATTTGCGCTTGTCGAGACTACCTTCTGAGCTTGAGAAGCTCTATGCAGATATGTGGGGGAGACTTGGAGAAGACACAGACATATATGAGAAAGAAGCAGCTCGATATTTCAGTTTGATCATCATGAATCAAACTTTTTTCGACATATATTCCCACGCTTGCAGGTGCATCTTCGATTTCCGCCTGAGCACGCTTCAATTTATGCTCATTACAAATGATACGATGAAGGCAAATATTTTGAATAAGTCATACCAGCTGCCAGTTTCGGAGATAGCGAATAATTGTGTGGATGCGTCTAAGATTATTTCCATCCGGACTGCCGGGCTCCTTACCGTTAAAGACGTTAAATATGACTTTTCTAATCTGCTTCCAGAAGAGCTTGCAGAAAGAATGAGATCAGATCCATCGGAATCGAATCAGTACTTTTCTAGACGAGTGGACTTCATACACAGGACATTGTTCGACTTTTTTACAGAGTCCGAGATTGGTCAAGACATATTGGCACAAAGCCAAACACATCGTGTCGATATAGATCTTGCAACTACCATTCTCTGCCAACTTCGTATTATGCAATATCATGGAATATTCGCTGAATCGTATGCAAGAGTAGGACTTGGTTCACCGCTACATTACTTTCTCTGGCTTTTAGGCCAAATATTTGCACAAGATTCCATTTGCGAGTGCCACATGGGTACTACTCTGCTACATGCTTTTGAGAGACTCTTCGAGGCTGGTCTTTTACCGTGGGATGACCGACCAGAATGGTATCCTCTTCCATGCTTTGATGTTATACTCATCGGTGATCCTGCTTTTGATGAGTTCATACAGTCGCGAGTAGAGGACAAAGGCGAATCACACGCCACCTGCCTTCTTCGAGAATTCTTATTTGCCAGATCCGTCGAACCTAGCTGGCAGTTGATAAAAGTTTTTAAAGAAGAGTTCGTTCTTTCTTTAGGTGGAGACATAAATTCTGCCGATATTTGTCTTCATAAATTTCCGACGATTGTTCGCGGCTTTTTGGAGGCATCTCCTCGGGCAATAAGGCCTCCTGAGATTGCACCATATGAATCTGGATTAAGTGCAATCATAAAAAGATTATATAAGTCTGCATTTGCTTCACGTATGATTCTGCATGAATCTATGGAGCTTTTGATAGCCGTCCTAGAACGTGCACCGAACTTGAACCAACACACATCTTTTCTCTTGGGTATGGAATCCATTAGGGGTCAAACCTATCTATTGTGCCCTGAATTGAGCGACATTTTATATACGATGGCTTCCATTGAAAAAGAAGATGAAAAAAGAGTCCTACAGAAGAACCCAGCCAAAGCACTTCTATACCATGCGCATATTATAGCAGAGGTAAACCTGAAATATCTTATCGAACATTTTTTCAAAATACTTCCCTTAAGTACCGAAGAGACGATGTCTTGCATCACTCGCGCTCGGCAATTGGTTGAAATGAAAAGCAGCAAGCCTTATGCAAAGGCTCGCTTCTACGTTCAATTGTCTTTAAAAACGGAATCAAGTCCCGCTTCAATGACGTGTTACCGTTTCATTAACCAAGACATTGACATCCTAGCTGATAGCATTATCATGGAACCCGCATTTGACGATTTTGCTTGGCATAGTTTAGCCTCCCAAAGAATTTTGGATCACCTTGATGAATTGGAGAGAGTTGAATTTTCTGCTTTATCCATTCTGGCCGACGAGAAGCTTGGAGTATGTCGTCTTGAAGATATGGGCATCAAACCACCCAGTTGACCATTGGTAAATAGGATTTTGCCAATTTCCAAGTGACTGAAGAGAAAGAACTTGAAAGTCCACGGTACACAAAGATATTAAATAAATGATATTTAGTGACTATCAATCTTTGAGAGACATGTACATTTCTACGTTATATTGATGTGCCTACCAAAATTCCCTGCCCGGCAGGTCTTCGAGGGACTACTCTCGGTCATGTTGGTTGCTCTTTATGTCCATGTACTTCTTGAATTGGTGCTGCTGTAGCAAGACTCAATGGTCCCTGACTCCATATGTATTCTTAAGATAACATGATGGGTGTGTAAAGTGCGTACACAAAGTATTCATATTAATATTTTGTGTGTAGTTCTTATCCCATGCTTCACTTTTGTCCGCTAACTGCGGGCATTAAGGTCATACGGTGTGCCATTAACAAGCTTAGACCTCATAGAGCAATAGGTATTTAGACATAGGGTGTCAAGGTTTTCTGGTAATGATAAAATTGAATAAATAATGAACTGACAGAGGTTCTATCGTGTATAAAAACTGGCTATATAATAAAAATATATGCAACATGGTGACATAATCGATATGCCTATATGCTTACAACGAGCCGCTTGATTCTCCACTAGCATCTAGCCGTAGAGAGAGTCTATGTCTTAAGCAACTTTGATAACAAGCCCTCTATCTCTAATTCTTTTTTTCGCTTTACTTCTTCAGGACTTTGTTCTTCGTTATACCCAGGTGAATGATTTTGATCGGCAAGATAGCGGTTGAGATTATAAGACGGGTCATAATCATCAGGATCAACGGTAGAGACAGGAGTTTGAGCGCTTTGAGCGTTTTGAGCGTTTTGAGTGGTAGTTGAGGCCATCCTATTTTTGCTAATGAACGTGTTAGTCAGGGGAGGCAGGGAAAATAAGCTATTCCTCATATATACACCGAATTGGGTTGATCCAAGTTATACTCGTGGCATTTATGAGAGGAATGTATGTGTATATACAATGAGAGTAGGTTGGATCTATAGTAGCACGTACATATTGGTGTTATTTATAATAACAGTACCAGTAGATAAACTAGCCATATTGATGTATAAACCAGGGATAATAGGCGGGTATGAATTTCAGTCGTGAAAATTGATTACACCGTGGTAGAGGTATGTAGGAGAAACCATAGCCATGTGGTAGTTGAATGCGCCAGAGATTGAAAGCGAGGAAATTGAATAAGTATTTATATTCACAAAAGAAGCAGAGTTTGTGACCGCCTTTTTCCATTCTGCTACCCAATTTTGGCCTAAATATAAGCATACTCCTTCTATCAGCGATCAATCATACATACATCCAAGCGAAAATTAAGCTGGTTGTAAGTATCTCGAGACAACATAAGTACTGTAATGCATTCCCCACTTAAATATTACTGGGGCAGGCTGATTCAATATGGGGTCCAAGAGGACGGACGCTATGTAGGATGAATAAAACACCGCCGGTCTACTATATAAAATAAGTCTTCCTATTTTCACAGTAGTATATTTCTATTTTCACAGTAGTAGCCTGTGCCTGTACTAAAATTAATGCGCCTATACTACCGTTTTTAGTAAGTTATATTAAATTACAGTATAATGCCCTAGTGTATTACGTACTTAGCGAAAAAATATAATATAAGGTTTTAACTTTGCGTTTTTTTAGCTTTATTATTAAATATTATAATATTTAATATTATAATTTATATTACAATAGCTTTCTCCTTAGGTAATAATCCCCTTAATCTACTACTGTTATTAAAGTTTTCCTAAGGTACTAGCTTTAATAAAATTAATACTTTTTTTTATTATTAAATATACTAGCGTTAGTAAAAGTATTAGTTACTAAAGTTAAAGATAACTTTAACCTTAAATAATTATAAGTTTATAAATTTTATAATAAAAGAGTAATAATTTAAATTAAAAATAATATTAAGTATTTACTATTATTTTTATATATTAAAAAAGTATTATAACTATTTATATATATACTAAAAGTATTATAATAAACTAAAAATATTATAAAAGTATTATAATAAATTAAAAAAATTATAAATACTTAATATAATATTATATTACTATTAATAATATATAACTTATTTAAAAATTTCTTTAGTTTTTTATAAATATTTTATTATTATAATAATATTACTTTTTATATTAAAAAAAGTATTAATTTATAGGTTATTAATAATATAAAAGTTTAAATATATTATACTTTTATTTATAATTATACTATGTGACAAGCTGAGCTCCTATAGGGTTAGTATAAGAGGAATTCCCAAGGGATAAACCTTATACTAGGTTTATATTAGCGGATAGGCCAGGCTGGACTAGCAGGCAATTAACAAGGATAAAAGGGGTTTATTCACACAATTAGTAAATAATACTTTATAGGTATAATTAAGTATTATTTTATATTTACAACTAGCTATTTAAACTATTCTTAAACAAGCGTTATAAAATAAATATATAGTTTAGAGCTTACTTAAGCTCACTTATCCTAGAGTAAGCTGGTTTCCTAAATAAGAAGTGGCTTACTCTAGCTCACTTGTTATAGCATAAGCCTTACTATAATTAGGTCCTTGGTCTATTATAGTTCCAGGGTACCTTACCCTGTAGGCCTATTATTATGATTATAAAATGTATTAGTTTGTAATATAGTACTCCCCTCCCGTTGGTCTTGTCCTTAAGGCTTAAGCTGCATCCTACATAAGCGTTACAGCCCCCTTATTATTTAGGTAAGTACCTTTTCCTTTTTTTATTATTATTATATTTAACTAAGTAGAAAAGCCTAAATCTAAGTCTATAGAGAAATATTATTCTTACGTAGCTTTTATTTATTCCTTTAGTTTTAAAGTATTACCTTATTCTTATTACCTAAATAAACGTTCTTATCTAGCCGTTAAGGGTAGTAATATATACGCCTATTATTATTATTTAGGTTATTTATATAATAGTTCCTTTATTCCTATGTTTTCTTATAAGTGTTATATTTTTCTCTTAGGTACTGTTTATACTAACGTCTACTTTTAGTAAATTATATTACAGAGGAGCTTAAATAATTAAAGCACTAGGAAGAGCTTACGGAGGAGGCGTTAATTACTTAACAGAAGCGTTATAAGGAACTTCTTACTTAGCAAAAGGCGGAGCGTGACGAGGCTCTGGCTTATTTTATAAGGCTGCGGAAGCTTTATTAATTGCTTTGCGTTTATAGTATAAAGATAGTAAATTGTAGATTAAACACCGAGGAAATAAAAGAGGTAGATTATTAAGAAGAGGAGGAAAGGTAGGCTGAGCTAGCTTATATATAGCGTAAAAAGGTGTAGCTTCTTCGTAAGGTATAATTTATAAGCGGGGTTAAGTGGCCTTCCTTAAACGCTGATTTAGTATTCTTAGGTTTAAATCCTCTTGCCTTATTAAAGGGTGCTGTTACGACCCGACTCTTAAGGTCGCAATAATGGGCCAACAGGTTAGTCCGGACCGGATTAACTTTAATCCTTTAATTAATTAGGGAAGGATTAAGACATAACTTCTTAATCTAACAGTAGATTAATAAATTATTTATTAATCTAGGGAAGGATTAATATTCTATACTGTCACGACCCAGCTCTTATGGTCGCGACAAGGGGCCTACAGGGTAGGTACTCCCGGATTAACGTCGGGCCGCGCAGCCAATTAGGAAGCGGTCGACGGGAATCAACGTCGATTCTAATTGACGCAGGAATGAATCGATTAAGATTATGAGCGATTCTACTCGACTCTAGAATACACAACTGGATATATAAGTTTACTTTATGTCATTTATTAGAATACTTAAATAGCCAGTTGTTATTATAGCGTTTATAATATAATTAGATTGGAATACAGACATCTATTTTTATTTGTATTAACTAGCTGGTGATAAGATTGCCCGTTACCGACCTGATCGCCTCCGCCAACATAAACCATAGAACCACTCTAAGGTTTGTCCCTTGGAAACAGTTAACCTATAGAGCCTATAGGACCCGGTTTGTCACACGATAACAACTCTTGTTCGGACGGTCACCTTGGACCTACGGGTAATAAGATACTAAGGACTTAATAGCTGATGAGCTTCCGAGTCCTAGATAACGACACTGATTACAAGAGCGAAGCTTAAAGTAATTACAACAACAGCGACATTAAAATATAAGATAATTTCAAAGAAACCCCTGAAGACGTTAAAATGGCCCCTTAACCGCTAGCTAATACGTAAGAAGCCGAATAATGCTTCTTGGTACTTAAAGAACTTGTGGATTAGTTACGCTAAATAATTGCTACCTAAGTAACTACTATAATGACGCTTTAAGGATGAACACCAGTGGTAAACCCCGTGGTAAACCCAGCCCCTGCGGTATGTTAACGGGAACCCGGAGAAATTATTAAACCACCACTGCTAGATAAATTTAAAGGAGATCCTAAGTAAATTTAGAAATTTTTTACGGATATGAGAAACTACTTTAGTTACTTTCCGACCACTATGGCTAACGATGTTATAAAGATTTGAACTGTAGGAACCTGTTTGTCTAAAACCGCTAAAGACTGGTTTAAACTATACCTTAGGGATTTTGAATAAACTAAGACACCTAAGAAATAATATATAATTGACTTATTCGACAATTACGCTACGTTTGAAAAACAACTTAAGAAACTATGTGGAAAAACTGATAAGTCTAAAGAAGCCGAAGATGCGCTCCTTTAAATTAAGCAAAAAGGACCCTGTGTAAAGTACACTACCGCTTTTATACGCCTAGCTGCTAGGACTAACTTAAATAACGAAGTATAACGTATGCTCTACTACCAGGGACTTAACTTAGACGTTAAGGATAAACTCTCTAGAGATGAAAAACCTGATACCCTTGATAAACTTGCGGAAAAAGCCACTTGTATTGATGAACGATAATTTCAGCGACGCTAGGAACGCAAGAGAGAGGGAAATCCTTAGAAGATAGTTCTGAAGCATCTTTACTCTGGTAATAACGCTAACTAGGGAAAGAAAAGGGACTTTGCGATATACAACGATAGAAAGCCAGGACCTATGGACCTTAGTACTATTAAGGTATAACGTAAGAACGTTAAATGCTATAATTGTGGAAAGAAAGGATACGTGAAGAAATATTGTCGAGCCCCTAAGAAAGATGGCGATAAGAAATTTACGCCTGTCCCAGAGCCTAAGGAGAACCGAACTATTAATACTATAAGACCTTCGGTAGACTATGACATCCTACACTTCTTAGCGTGCTATGATAATAACTGTTAGACCTATTGCAGCGATAAACAAGGATCGGGATAGTACCCTAAAGGGTGTATATAAACCTTGAATATGCTTGAAGAAGATACCTAGGAGGACCTTAGCTACGTTAAATAACTTGTTTAATAAAGCCTTGATAAGTAAGAATAAAACGATAAATTCGAGGATAAGGAAGAGGTACTCCGAGAATGGAAATAAAACAAAGATATACGCCAGTACAACGAGGATCTTCCAGATACAGCACCTCCGATATAATATAACCCTTATGAAGGAATAACTTAGGAAGAAATCAACGACCTTGAGAAGCATATGTGCGACCAGTGTAGATCGGTCGAACCTAAGGGACTATATTACCCTTGTAAGATAACCACAGCCGACTGGGAATAACATAAAGATTAATACGGAATCTAAGGTATTATTAAAGAAAACCAACACTACGACGAAATTATATAATAAAAAGAACTCGAAGACCAACAGAGACTCCTTGAACAATGGGGACAGATTAAATAGATTAATCTAAGTACTGCCTACGACCGGATCCAATTACACAAAAATCAGTTTCAACAATACATTAAGACCAACGTAGACAAATACCTAATAGCTAAAATACTAGAATCGACCTTATACTACGTCGATGATATCCTACTTACAGACTAATGTAATAAAGCTAATATTATCAACTGTAAGCTACTACTGTGTAAATAATATGCCATAATTAAACTTCAGGAATAGTATAAGGACTACGGGGCTGTAGAATGTGGACAAAAAGAATTTACGCTCTGCAATAAAGATCGTTGTAAGAAACATCAGTACTAACGCCGAGCCCTTGCATACGTTACCTACAACCTGGAACGACAAGGATTCAACCTAGTAAGACATGGCGATGACGACGAATTACGAGGAATCAACTGGAACAACCTTCGGAAATACCATAAGCTCACCGCCAGACACGTACCTAAACCCGGATGCACCTGGTGTGAACGCTATAATATTCGAAATAAAGAACCAGGATGGATTACCTTAGACCTAGACGACATTAATATTGACCCTTACGGTAATAATTATTACAACGGCGCCGACGATGCGACCTACTATAACCTGAATACTATAACAGGAGGAAAGAAACTACGGAAATTCCTAGTAGACGGATGGTTGAACGATAAACCAATTATAGTCTATATAGATTCCGGAGCTACGACAAGCTATATTACGCCTTAACTAGTTAACCGCCTATAGTTAAACTATCGTAAGAAAGAGAAACCATATACCCTTGCGAGTATTAAGAAATAATAATTTATATATAATAACGGAACTGTCGACCGCGAGACCGATCACCTTATAATCTAGTTCAGTAAAATTAAGGATACGTTTAAATTTAATATTGCAAATATCGCAGAATATAATATACTCTTAGGATACGATTGGCTTAAATTACGTAACCCCGACATTAACTAGATCAGAGGCCAGGCGAGATAGCGAACTTGCCCTGAACTAATTGATTTTAGAGATATACTGTAACTAGATCAGGAGGATCGACAGGATGCTATAACATCCCCGACGACAGGATCGGTGACCCCTGCATTAAACCAAGAAACGAAAAAACACACGGAAAAATAAAAAATCATAAAGCAAGTATGATTGGAGGAGCTAAAGAAGCTCCCGAGGATAGTTAAATACATCAAGAAACCAAAAAAGAAATAGCTTAGATTTCTTAACTTGATTATACAAAAGGTTAAGGAATTATACCACCGAGACTAATAAACACTAGAACGTTTAAAGAATATACTAACAGACCTCTAGTATATACTAGTCTTTAATAAAGAACTTAACACTAGACTACTAGAATATAGCTAATGGGATTATGAGATTAAGCTTATGGACGATAAAGTCCTAACGTTTAATAAAATCTATAACCTAAGTACTACCGAACTTAAGATACTTGATGAATAGATTAAAGACTAGCTGAAGAAAGGCTACATTAGACCTTCTAAATCCTCAGCAGGATATCCAGTTATATTCGTGCCTAAAAAGAACGGTAAACTTCAACTTATTATAAACTACCAATAATTAAACGCAATAACTAAGAAAGATGTTACGCTACTACTACTGATTCCGGAAATCAGAGACCGGCTTACAGGAGCCAAGATCTTTACTTCGCTAGATCTTAAAGGAGTATATAACCTTATCTAAATTAAGAAAGGCGACGAATGGAAAACCGCCTTCTGCATAAGATACGGACTTTACGAATGTCAGGTAATGCCTTTCGGACTCATAAACGCCCCAGTATTTTTCTAGAAAATGATCAACTACGTACTATGAGACTACGTAGATTATTTTATTATTGTATACCTTGACGATATCCTTATCTACTCTAAGAACTTGGAAGAACATAAGGAGCACGTTAAGAAGGTATTATAAATACTCTAAGATAATAAACTCCTGGTGGAACCTGAGAAATGCAACTTCTATACATAGAAAGTCATATTCCTAGGATATGTTATTACCCTAGGCAGAGTCTAAATAGACCCTGAGAAACTTAAGGTGATTAACGATTGGGAACCGCCACAGAACGTTAAGTAAGTATAAAGCTTCTTAGGACTTGCTAATTACTACCGACGCTTTATTAAGGACTTCTTAAAAATTGCCACGCTACTCACGAACTTGACAAAGAAAGACGTCAAATTCGAACTTACATAAGACGCTCTAACAGCCTTTAAACGCCTTAAACGAGCCCTCACTAGTGCACCAGTACTTATGATGTTTGACCTAAACAAACCTATTATAATCGAAACCGATGCCTTAGACTATGCGATCGGAGGAGTACTCAGCCAACCAGATGAAAAAGAGAAACTCAGGCCTATTACCTACTTCTCTGAGAAACTATATAGACCAGAACTTAGATATCCCATCTACGATAAAGAATTTATGGCTATATACTAAGCGCTTAGTAAGCAGTATTAGAGACATTATTATAAAGGAAGTCGATTTCTAATAATAATCCTTATGGATCACTGGAACATTACTTACTTTATAACGACATAAGAACTATCCCGCAGATAAGTTAAGTATTATAAGCGACTCTCCGAGTTTAAGCTCATTATTAAATACTGCAGCGGATCAGACAACGGACGCGCTGATGTACTTAGCAGGCGCCTAGACCACTTCTAAGAAATCCCGGAAGTTAAGGCACAAATACTGGAGAAAAACCAGTATGGAGACCTAGTTATCCGATCGATCGACACCTTATACCAAATCGAGATGGACGACCCGATTATCGACGATATAAAGGAATACGTTAAGAACTGGGAAAATAAATAATACCCAGAAGGTGTTTCTATAGACACTGGATACCTGATACTAGATAGACTTATCTGGGTACCAGAAGACTTGCGAAGTAAAGTGGTGAAATCAGTCTACGTACACAAACTTAACGGACACCGTAGAATCAGAAAAACCACATAATAAATCGCATAATACTTTAAATTTAAAGGTATTAAGAAATAGATATAGAAGGTTGTATTAGAATATATGATATGCAGACGAGCTAAAAGCTTTAAGCATAAACCCTACGGACAGCTACAACTACTACCTGTACTACAGCGACCATAGGAATCGATCTTATTTAACCTAATCACTAAACTACCTTCTTTAAGAGAACCAGTCACGAGGGTACTCTACAACAGTATCTTCGTAATAGTCGATAGACTTACGAAAATGGCCTACTTTATACTATTTAAGGAAGCCAGTAATACAGAAGAATTAGCTTATGTAATAATAAGATACGTTATAAGTAACCATAGACTACCGGGGGACATGATCTCCGACAGAGGAAATACATTCGTATCCAAATTCTGGAAAGTACTTACAGCCAGATTAAGAACAAATCACAAGGCCAGCATAGCCTACCACCCACAGACAGACGGACAGACGGAAAGGATCAACCAAATAATTAAGACCTATCTACGCTATTACATTAATTTCAAGTAAAACGACTGGGTAGAACTCCTCCCCGTTGCATAACTCGCTTACAACAGCACAAAATCAGAATCAACTAGGAAATCACTGTTCTTCCTAAACTATGGATTTAAACCCGAAGCCTACCGACCGCCAAGGTAAGGGGAAGATGTTAAAAAAGCTATAATTAAGGCAGAAGACATAATTGAATTACACGACGAACTGCGACGATAACTTAAATTCATCCGACAAAGGATGATCAAATACGTAGATAAAAACAGGATTAGAGGACTAACCCTTTAGGAAGGGGACATGGTCTGGCTCCACCGACATACACGAGGAAATAAGCAAGCAAACATCAAAATAAACAGGCCAAGCGACAAACTTGATTTTAAGAAACTTAGACCTTATAAAATTTTGAGAAAAATCGGAGAAGTAAACTATAAACTTGAACTTCTAGAACGATAGGAAAAACGAGGAAAATATATACATCTAATATTTCACATCTCCCTGCTAGAAAAAGTATAAATTAACGAAGAAACTGGAAGATTTATCTAGGATGAAATTATTGTTGAAGGAGAAGAAGAAGAATATGAGGTAAAAGATATTAATGTGATAAAAACAGGAGAAGACGGTAAACGATGCTATAGGGTATAATAGGAAAAAGGGGAAGAAAAAGAAGAAACATAGGAACCTATTGAGCATCTTAAGAACTTAATGGCGCTAGTAGAAAAACTCCATTAAAGCCTAGGGATTGTGCCAGCTTAGGATCTATTAATAATATCCCTAAATAATCTACTGATTCTAAAGAAGCGGGGACGACCTTAGAAGAACCCTCTGCCGACTGCGTTGTAGCAGCCTGAAGAGCGGCCTCCGCCTTACGCTCCTTCTGCTCCAACTGCTCCAGCTCCGCTAAATTGTTGATACCCCGGGACACTGCATGCGCTGCCTTTTCAGACTATTCCTTACGTTATTTCCGAAGATGAATAACTTTAGCTATAAGATTTGCGATTTCCTCTTCGACGGCTTTAACCTTACTGTCAAGCTGGTCGCGCTGATGGGAAATACGTAATAATTGTTAAGGTGTAAGAAACGCCTTACAATAAGATTTATAATCCTCGACATACTTCGAGCAGCGACTTAAGTTAACCTCGGAAGCTAAATACTAGGATCCCTTCTTTTTGTAATAGAAGCAGGGTTTTATCTCGACGGATTGCGATAATATAGAAGCAGTAAGTACCACACTCCTGTTAAGTTTCTTCTTCTTTCCTTTTGTATTAGCTAAGTTAGCAGATTTTTAAACGCGGAAAGTTATTTTGGCGACGAACAGGTAACAGAACAAGAAGAACACCTACAAGTAGGAGGTGTGGATACTTATATACTAGATCACCTGGTCTTAGGGATAAGACTAACAGGAGGGGGAGAATCGTGTTACGACCCAGCTTTTATAGTCGCGACAAGGGGCCTATAGGGTAGGTACTCCCGGATTAACGTCGGGCCGCGTAGCTAATCAGGAAGCGGTCGACGGGAATCAACGTTGATTCTAATTGACGCAGGAACGAATTGATTAAGATTATGAGCGATTCTACTTGACTTTAGAATATACGACTGGATATATAAGTTCACTTTATGTTACTTATTAGAATACTTAGATAGCCAGTTGTTATTACAGCGTTTATAATATAATTAGATTGGAATACAGACATCTATTCTCATTTATATTAACTAGCTGGTGATAAGATTGCCCGTTACCGACCTAATCGCCTCCGCCAATATAAACCATAGAACCACTCTAAGGTTTGTCCCTTGGAAACAGTTAACCTATAGAGCCTATAGGACCCGGTTCGTCACATATACATTAATCTAGTCTAGATTAACTAGATATATAAGTTTACTTTATATTACTCATTAGAATACTTAAATAGCCAGTTGTTATTACAGCGTTTACAATATAATTAGATTAGAACTTAGACATCTACTTTTATTTATATTACTAGCTGGTAATAAGATTACCTGTTTACCGACCTAATCGCTCCGCTAATATAAACTATAGAACTACTTTAAGGTTTATCCCTTAGAAACAGCTAACCTATAGTACCTATAGGACCTAGTTTATTATGTAATAATAACTCTTATTTAGACAGTTACCTTAGACCTACGGGTAATAAAATACTAAAAACTTAGCAGTTTATAAGCTTTAGAGTCTTAGATAATAATACTAATTACAAAAGCGAAGCTTAAAGTAATTACGACAGTAATATTAAGCTTAAAAATACACTAGCTGAAAACATAGCTAATTAAGCTAATTATAATAAATTAAAGGCTAAGTTTAAAGCTCTTAAGACCTAGCTTTAGGACCTCTAAGATAGAAAAAGAGAGAAGGGTAAGGTTATTAAACTAACGAAGCCCGAACCCTTTGACGGAGATTTACGTAAGATAGATAAATTTTTCTTAGAACTTGTAACTTATTTTAAATACTTCCCTTATACTTTAAAAGATAATAAAGATAAAGTTATTTTTGTAGGCAGTTGTTTTACAGGAGACGCTAAAATATAGTTCTAATCTATTATATAGAATTATAAAGAAGGAAAGATTAATTTAAAAAAGCTTAAAATATAAACTAAAGAAATTTATACTAAGTATATAGAATTTTAGAAATAACTTAAAAAGTCTTTTAGTATTATAAATAAATAATAAGAAGCTAAGTAAGAACTTTGTTTTATTACTTAAAAAAGACTACTAAATAAGTATACTTTAACTTTCCTACGCTTATTAACTAAAATTAACTAAACTAAGGAAATAAAAAAAGAAGTCTATTATAATAATGTAAAACCTAAAGTTAAGGATAAACTTTTTAAAATTAACTATAAAAAGATAACTTTTATTAATTATACTTAAAAAGCTATTAAAATTAATAATTGTAATTAGGAATAATAAAAAGAATAAAAGTAAGAAAAGAATAGGAACTTCTATAATATTTAACCTAAGTAAACTTAAAAATACTAAGCTAACTAAGGAAAAAAGTAAAATAATTATATTATTTTTTTTAATAATAAATAACTAGGCCTAATAAACCTTAGTACTATTAAGGCTTAACGTAAAAACGTTAAATACTATAACTGTAGAGAAAAAAGATATATAAAAAAATACTACCAAAAGCCCGCTAAAAAAATAAAAAATAAAAAATTTACACCTATCCTAAAACCTAAGGAAAACTAAGTTATTAATACTATATAACCCTTAGAAAATTATAATATCCTATATTTCTTAGTATACTATAATAATAACTATTAAACCTATCGCAGTAATAAATAAAAATCAGAATAATACCCTAAAGGGCGTACATAAACCTTAAACACGCTTAAAGAAGTTACCTAGGAGGACCTCAGCTACATTAAACAACTCGTTTAATAAAACCTTAATAAGTAAGAATAAAATAATAAATTTAAAGATAAAGAAGAGGTACTCTAAGAATAGAAATAAAATAAAGCTATACACTAGTATAATAAAGATTTTTTAAATACAGTACCTCTGACGTAATATAACCTTTGCAAAAGAATAACTTAGGAAGAAATTAATAACCTTAAGAAATATATATATAATTAATATAGGTTAGTAGAACCTAAAAGTATTTACTACCCTTATAAAATAACTATAGCGGACTAGGAATAATATAAAGACTAATATAAAATATAAGATATTATTAAAGAAAATAAACGCTATAATAAAATTATATAACAGAAGGAACTTAAGGACTACTAAAAGCTCCTTAAATAATAGAAACAGATTAAATAGATTAATCTAAGTACTACCTACGACTAGATCTAATTACTTGGAAATTAGTTTCGATAATACATTAAGACTAATGTAGACGAATACCTAATAACTAAGATATTAAAATTAATCCTATACTACGTTAACGATATCCTACTTACTGACTAATATAATAAAGCTAATATTATTAATTATAAGCTACTACTATATAAATAATATATTGTTACGACCTGATCCAAAGTACGTACCTTTCGGGAATACTACGGAAGGAATAGCTAATCATAAGAAAGTTTTACAGGCTTACTTAAATACATATACTATAGTGCATAAGCCTTAACACTAAGGTTACAGGCTTACCAGGTATAACGGAACTTTTTAAAGTAAGCTACTAGGAATAACTAAATATATAAGATTTAATTCTCTACGCTCTTTAAATAACTTAAATAGACAGTCGTTAATAAAGCATTAAGATTAAATATAAACTAAATCTTTATTATATTTTACTTACTTTATAATTACATTTACTTAAAGCTACTTTTTATCCTTTCTGCTAATATAAACTAATTAACCTTAGCTTATTACCTTAGGAACTTACCCTATACTATTTAAGTATTAGGTCGGGACGTTATACATTAACGACTCTTATTCAGAAGAATACCGAGTTCCTTTAAGTAATAAACTATTATAGCCGGAGAAACGGATGCTAATATAGAGGGAATCACCCCAACCACTAATCCTACTCCTATCCCCGAACCCGTCTAACTTAAAGACGTTAATGGAGACCTTACTTTTACTAATGAACCTGAGTAGGATAAATTTAAAGGGGACGCTTTGAAAGAATACCTTTAAGATATGTTTTATGCTAATAAACAACTCCTTAGCATCTTAAATAATAAAAAGAAGAAATCGGATGGATTTAAGAAAGAAGACGGAGATATTATGAAACTTAAACGCCCTGGACCCTTTGACGGAAGTTCTGAGAAACTTCGCCTATTTGTTGCTGAACTTCGTTACTATATTTGCAACTTCCTACGAACTTTTACAAAAGAAGAAGCTAAAGTCGCTTTTGCTACTACCTGCCTTAAAGGAGTTGCTAAAAACTGGTTTCAACTATTCTGGGAGGACTATAAAAACAATAGCCCAACTAATAAAGAATCTACCGCCACTGTTTAAATGTATTTAAGTATTCGCTACTTTGAATAAGAATTAGTTAAAATGTTCCTCGATATAGGAGAATAACGAGCTTTGGAAAACAAACTCGTTAACCTTAGGCAAATAGGGAAATGCGCAACTTATATAGTTAAGTTTAACGAAATTGCCTTTTGACTTAGATAGGATGCCGAACCCCTGAAGAAAATATTTTACGACGGTCTTAAGTTCAAAGTAAAGGAAAAGGTTAACGAATACTGACGAAAAGCCATCACCTTGGTGGAATTTTAATAAAAAGCTATGGATCAGGATAACCTACTGTTTGAACTCCGCATGGAAAAAGGACAGAAGAACTATAAGGGCTACACCTTTGGCTATTAGGTAAATTAAGGTAAGAAACGCCATAAAGAAATTGCTAAAGATAATAGCGGAAGACCCGGAAGAATAGATCTGGATGTCCTATAGCGCAAAAAAGAATTTAAGTGCTATAACTGCGGTAAGACTGGCCATATAGCTAGAAACTGTCGAGTACCTAAGAAAGAACGCAAGGATAAGATTCCAGAACTAAGAAAGGAGGTCCATATTATAGATAAGAATGAACGATCCCTCGATCTATTGCAACGAGAAGATAACAGCTACCTTTAACATAAGGAGGAACTGGAGGCTACTATTTTTCAGAAGATAATTCGGTAATATCACCAACTTCGTTGGAAGCGAATCCGAAGAAATTAACGAACTTGTTGAATTCTAACATCAGGTTAACATCTATGACCCTGAGCAAGATATTGAATCCTTTGTCTACCGAGAACTCTGAGATAGACTTGCGTAATGGCAACTATATAATAATAAATAATAAATTATTGTAAGCCTAGACACAGACGAAATATAGGAACTCCGAGGAGATTACCAACGGATGCCTTAAGATCACCCCTAGATTAACCCTATAAACGATAACTATTATAAAATTTGTTAGATAAGCTGTATTGCTTATTAATGTCTGTATTACCTAAAGTGGAAAATAGAATATAATACGTTTCCACGAAGAAATTCGGTAATTCCAATTACGGATCTATATCGCGAAGGATACTACGACGGATGGAAGGTTACTTATAAGTTTCGAGAACTACGTATTACAATTCTTAAACCACACCCGACTGCACCGGAAGAATACAGGAACTACGGACGGATTAAGAACTGCTTAAGCTATTAATACACCATCCACCAGACCAGGAAGATCCTTCAATAGTACGACTAGAACGAAGGAACTACAGCGTGTACCTTTGAATAGTATTAATAATGCGACGAGCTAGATTACCTTAAGTATCGAAGGCATAAACTAAAAGCCTGGCATAATAACGTTTCGGAAGAAAAACGAATCGAAGGACAGTAACTTATGAACCAGTTGTATAAATTAGGATTCAACTTCAGGACTTATACAGGAGCATCTGAAGGACTCCTTCGAAAATACTACGAATTCCGAAAGACCCCTAATAATCTGTAAGACGATGAAATTACCTGCGACATATGTATTAGGTAGATGAGACTATACTGTAGAGCAGTAGAATGGATTAACTGCGAGAACCTATACTGTAAATTACACGTATTACGTAAAATCGAAGACTGGTACTTAAAAAACTAGAATAGTCTTTGGATAAAGGGCACTATGAGACTAATAGAGAATTTATGTCCTTTGAAAAGGAATATGAATACGATAGTGATGAAGAACGAAAAGTTCTTAAGAAAAAGATTACTTTTACGATAACTTAGAATAAGGAACTGCTTAAAATCTTAATAGACTCTGGAGTAGATGGGAATTATATATTAGCTGTAACTGTAATATGCCTGTAGTTGCCATGGATACGAAAGAAATGACTATACTGACTCTTTTATGGAGAAGGAAAATAGTTTAAATATAATAATGGATGGGTAAAGAGACGGACTGATTACCTGCATCTCGAAGTATTTGGTTAAATTACTCCAGTAGTATGTAATATTATTAACACCCTGAAATACGACATTATCTTAGGTATACTATGGTTATACTAATACGAACCTTTGATAGTATAGAGCGAAGGCCTAATTTGTTGGCGAAATAACGAAAGAACTTTAGATTAGAAGGAGGACAGAGGAAGCCAGAAACCTTAACTTCTAAAGCCTAAAGATATACCTGCGCAGTATTAACAGAAGCGAACGAAAGCTGCAGAAGCTTAATCCTTAAAAAGGTTTACTAAAGGGAAATAAGACCTATATAAACTTAACTAATTCCTGGAAATTGTAAAAGGAAAACGTAATAATTAGGAAGGAGAAAAGGAGGAACTTGTGGACCTAATAGACAGTATCCCGAAATAATATTAGAAATTTAAGGCTTTATTTTAGAAGACCTTAAAGAATCCTAATAAAAGTATATAAATACTACTATATACTAAATAGGACTATATAATAGAATTGAAGGAAGGGAAGTAACTGAAATACTTTCCGTTATATAACCTTAATTAGTTGGAACTAGATACTTTTGATAAATGGATATAGGAACAGAAGGAGAAGGGATACATTAGAATCTCTAACTCCCTAGTACGATACCCTGTTATCTTTATTCTAAAGAAAAACAGGAAACTATGATTGGTCGTTGACTATAGACAATTAAACAACATTATAATTAAGGATTAAACTCCCCTACTACTGATATCCGAAGCAAGAGACCAGCTATAAGGAGCTATGATATATATTTAGCTAGATCTTACTAATGCTTATGGATTAACTTGAATAAAGGAAGGATATGAGTAGATGATAGCCTTCGGTACCTTAGGAGAATCTTACGAATTCCTGGTAATACCTTAAGGACTAATAAATACACCTGTATCCTTCTAAAAAAGGATTAACCACATCCTTTGGAAATATCGAAATAAATTCGTTATTGTGTACTTAGATGACATCCTAATATATTCTAAAAACGAGGAAGAACACGAGGAATATATACGATTAGTACTCCAGGTACTATAAGACAACTACCTCCTTGTAAACCCTGAGAAATGTTGATTTTATACCTGAGAAGTGGAGTTTTTAGGATATATTATTACCCCTGGAACTATTTAAATGGATCTAAAGAAAGTTGCCGTAATTAACGAATAGCCTATACTAACATTAGTTAAGGAAGTACAGAGTTTCCATGGACTAGCTAATTACTACCGACGTTTTATTTAAAACTTCTTAGTCCTAGCCCGACCTCTGACTAATATGATAAAGAAAGACTAAAAATTCAAATGGATAAAAGAAGCAGAATAAGCGTTTTAAGCAATCAAGCAGGCCATAACTTCAGAACCTGTTTTGGCCATGTACGACCTAGAAAGACCAGTGGAGATTGAAACCGACGTATTAAAATACGCGATCGGAGGAGTACTAAATCAATGGGACGATGAAGGAAAACCTCATCCTATCGCATTCTACTTACGAAAACTCAACGGAGCTGAACTTAACTATGCAGTCTATGATAAAGAATTCTTAGGAATTAAGAGCTGCCTAGAACAGTAGAGTTAATACTACAGAGGAAGTAAATTCTGAATTAAGATCTTTACTAATTATTGGAATATTACTTACTTTGTATCTACTTAGAAACTATCTGGACGATAACTAGGATACTTTGAATTCTTGAGTAAATTTGATTATAAATTGGTATATTGTAAAGGATCGGAAAATGGAAAAGCTGATGCACTTAGTAGAAGAATTGATTATTTCTAAGAAATCCCCGATTACTAAGGTACTATGTTACACCGGAATGCATAAGGTAACTATGAACAAAGATTCTTCGACTTGATCTTTAAAGTAGAAGAATATAATGAACTTTTTGAAAAAATTAAGGAGTATGTGAAAGATTGGGAACTGCATTAGTTTCTATCTTGGGTTATATTACAGGATGGATACCCTATGAATAAAATTAAATATTAGGTACTTCCTGAATTATAAAAGAAAGTTGTAAAGTACGTTTATGAATACCCTTTGTTTAGATATCGAGGAATTACAACTATATATTAATAAGTACTTACGATATACTGATTTAAAGGAATAAAAAAGATCGCCGCTAATATTATAGTAACCTGCGATAAGTGTTAATGCGCTAAATATGGAAGATATAAACCTTATGGAAAACTATAACCCTTACTAGTACCTGAACTACTATAGGAAATAGTTACCTTTAATTATATTATAGACCTACCGCCTTTTAAGGAACCTTTTACTAAGGTAACCTATGATAGTATCCTAGTAGTAGTAGATAAATTTATAAAATAAGTATATTTTCTGCCTTATTAAAAATTACACTTAGCAGAAGACCTTATATATACGTACCTAAGAATAATAGCAGCCGACCATAGTATACCCTGAGAAATTATCTTTGATAGAGGATGAACGTTTGCCTTTAAATTTTGGTAAGAACTTATGGTAAGACTTGGAGTAAACTATAAACTTAGTAGCGTATACTATTCTAAAACGGACGGTTAGATAGAATGAATAAATTAGATTATAGAGTAATACCTATGATATTTTGTTAATCTATAATAAGATAATTGGGTTGATAAATTGCCTTTTGCTTAGCTATGTTATAATAGTACGAAATCTGAATTAACTAAGTTGATACTATTTTACGCTTTATATGGATATACTCCTTTAGTATATAGGCCACCTTAGAAGGGACCTAATGCTGATAAAGCACGACTTTAAGCAGAATTAATGGTTAACTTACACGAAGAATTAAAAGTATAGCTAGAACTTATCTAGAAATACATGGAATATTATGCGAATAAGGATAGGATTAAGGGACTAACCCTTTAGGAAGGGGACATGGTCTACCTACTTTAACATATATAAGGCTATAAAATACCGAATATTAAGACGAACTAACTAAATAACAAGCTTAATTTTAAAAAAATCGGCCTATTTAAAATTTTAAAGAAAATCGGTAACGTTAACTATGAACTAGAAATGCCAGAAGGCATGCAGCTAAAATACCCTGTATTTCATATATCACTCTTAGAGAAAGCATAGATTAACAAAGCAACAGGAAGACTAATCTTAGACGAAATTATTATTATCGAAGACGAAGAAGAATAGGAAGTTGAAAAAGTCTTAGCGGTACGAAGGAATCCAGAAGAAAACAATAGGATCGAATACTAGGTTAAATAGAAAGGGTATAACCTAATTTACGACACTTGGGAACCAATTGAGAGCTTTAATACAATAGAACTAATCTAAGACTTTTAAAACATTTTAGAATTGCACTTAAAACTCCTAATACCGGCTACCTAATAACTAAAGAAACAACCTAAGAAAAGGGCATGGGAATTTCCTCTTATACTACAGGAAGATTTAGACCTTTACACCCTAAATCGGAGATTTAGGAAAAGGAAGGATTAACAGCGACTTTAGAAGGATCTAAGAAGGTATTACCAAAAACTGCACTTTAATTAATAATATCCACTGCCCCTGCTGCTTAAATATTAATTACCACCTCTGCTTCTGCTTTTTCTACCTCGTCTAGTTTATTAAGAGAATGAGTACTACGACGAAGCATTTGCTTGCTATAAACGTTAATTTGTTTTCGCTGCTCCCGTAATTGAGCTAACTGTAAAAACCTCTTATTTATTTACTAAGTTAACAACATTATTTGCTGTTGTTGTTAAAATAACTCCTGTTTAGTTTAACGCTCTTTAGTGTTTAAACGCTCCTTTTCAGTAGCTAATTGTTGCGCTGATTACTGTCAGCTACTGAACCCTGCACTAAGTGAAAACTTACTTACCTGCTGCTAAGGAAATCCTATTTCTATCGTAAGAACGCCTACGACGTGTATACTCCTTACACCTGTTATACCCCTTTGCTATCTTGCAAGGTAAATTTTTTGCTTTACAATAAGAATAAGGTATAACGATGATACCAATGGTCTTAATTACTAGTACTGCTGCTTTTCGATTTTTCGTCGACTTCTTCTCGACAGATAATTGTTGCTTGGCAACCCCACGAGGTATTTTATAAATAAGAAAGGATCTACTCCTGAAAAGAGAAGAGGACAGCCCGACTTATATACATGGCCTTGAGGATAAGACCAATAGGAAGGAGGTATTGTGTTACGACCTGATCCGAAGTACGTACCTTTCGGGAATACTACGGAAGGAATAGCTAATTATAAGAAAGTTTTACAGGCTTACTTAGATACGTACACTATAGCGCGTAAGCCTTAACACTAAGGTTGCAGGCTCACTAGGTATAACGGAACTTCTTAAAGTAAGCTACTAGGAACGACTAAATATATAAAATTCAATTCTCTACGCTTTTTAAATAACTTAGATAGACAGTCGTTAATAAAGTATTAAGATTAAATATAGACTAAATTTTTATTATATTTTACTTGCTTTGTAATTATATTTACTTAAAGCTACTTCCTGTTCTTTCTGCTAATATAAACTAATTGACCTTAGCTTATTACCTTAGGAACTTACCCTATACTATTTAAGTATTAGGTCAGGACGTTATATATATTATAACTAAGCTTAATAAATAGTATAAGGATTATAGAGCTGCTGAATATAGATAAAAGGAATTTACGCTTTGTAATAAAGACTGTTGTAAGAAATACTAGTATTAACGCTAAGCCCTTGTATATATTACCTATAACTTAGAATAATAAGGATTTAACCTTATAAAGCATAGTAATAATAACGAACTACGAGGAATTAACTAGAATGACCTTTGGAAATATTATAAACTTACTACCAGATATATACCTAAACCCAAATATACCTAGTGTAAACGCTATAATATTTAAAATAAAGAACTAGGATAGATTACCTTAGACCTAGATGATATTAATATTAACCCTTACGGTAATAATTATTATAATAGCGCTAACGATATAACCTACTATAACCTAAATACCCTTATAGGAGGAAAGAAGCTACGAAAATTCTAAGTACCCGGTACTTTAAAAAAATATTTAATTACAGTCTATATAAACTCCGGAGCTATAATAAGCTATATTATACCTTAACTAGTTAACCGCCTATAGTTAAATAATTATAAAAAGGAGAAACTATATACTTTTATAAGCATTAAGAAATAATAATTTACCTATAATAATAGAACTGTTAACTGTAAAATTAATCTCCTTAAGATTTAATTTAGTAAAATTAAAAATATATTTAGTTTTAATATTATAAATATTACAGAATATAATATACTTTTAAAATATAATTAACTTAAGTTACGCAACTTTAACATTAATTAAATCAGAGGCTAGGTAAGATAGTAAACTTACCCTAAATTAATTAATTTTAAAAATATACTATAACTAAATTAGGAGGATTAATAGAATACTATAATATCCCTGACGATAGGATTAATAACCCCTATATTAAATAAAGAAATATAAAAATATACGGAAAAGAGAAAAGTTATAAAATAAATATAATTTAAGGAGCTAAAGAAACTCCTAAGGATAATTAAATATATTAAGAAATTAAAAAAGAAATAACTTAGATTTCTTAACTTAATTATACAGAAGATTAAGGAATTATATTACCGAAACTAAGAGACACCAGAACGTTTAAAAAATATACTATAAGACCTCCAGTATATACCAGTCTTTAATAAAGAACTTAATACTAAACTACTAAAATACAGCTAATGGGATTATAAGATTAAACTTATAGATAATAAAGTTCTAATGTTTAATAAGATTTATAACCTAAGTACCACTAAGCTTAAGATACTTAATAAATAAATTAAAGACTAGCTAAAGAAGGGTTACATTAGACCTTCTAAATCCTTAGTAGGATATTTAGTTATATTTATACCTAAAAAGAATAGTAAACTCTAACTTATTATAAACTATAGATAATTAAATATAATAACTAAGAAAGATATTACGCTATTACTACTAATTTCGGAAATCAGAGACTAGCTTATAGAAGCTAAGATCTTTACTTTGTTAGACCTTAAAGGAGTATATAACTTTATTTAAATTAAGAAAGGCGATAAATAGAAAACCGCCTTCTGTATAAAATACGGACTTTATAAATATTAGGTAATACCTTTTAGACTTATAAACGCCCCAGCGATATTCTAGAAAATAATTAACTATATATTATAAAACTACGTAAATTATTTTATTATTATATACCTTAATAATATCCTTATTTATTTTAAGAACTTAGAAAAA